GAGAGAGAGAGAGAGAGAGAGAGAGAGAGAGAGAAAGAGAGAAAGAGACTAACAGTATCAAACGGCGCTCCCAAAATCGCAATATCAAACTTTTCCACACCAACACTCTTTTTCTTCTTCTTCTTCTTCTTTTTATCCTCATCCTCCTCCTCCTCCTCATCATCATCAGCAGCCAAACAATGCACATAAGGTAAATTCGCAAAAGTCGTCAAACCCGCAAATTTCGTTTGAGAAATATCTTCGTCGTCTAATCCAGGCATCATGGCTGCACTCCCTAGAGGTTGTTGCCGTTGTTGCTGTTGTATAGGAGGAAAAGTGATTTCTCGAGCGAGGGAGAGGGTTGCAAAGGGACATGTCGTGGTGGTGACTATTATGGCGAGGAGGAGGGGGAGAGACATTTTTTTTAAGAATAACTACCTTAGGTATGATTTCTTTTTAGAGCCTGCTTTGGGGTTTCTTCTTCTTCTTCTTCTTCTTCTTCTTCTTCTTCGGGGTGGTCGTGGGTGGTGAGTGGTGACGAGGTTGAGTTTGGTACTGTCCCTCCCTACCTTATATATACAGCCTACAGGTACTTTATTGCCTGCATAGGCTTGCCTATCTCGTCGTATTACATAACGGTTCCTGTGCCGAAGCTCCGCACGCATCGTATCGCATTTCCAGTAGGGACAGAGGACTCCATCATATATGCATCGAAATGTCAATCCGAACCCTGAAATTCTGTCTCTTCCATCGCTTGACAGGAAGTGGTGATTGGAAACTATGGCTGTCACTACTACCTATGTGAATATCCTCAGCTCATGCTTTCTTCCCACCCAGTATTTCTTCAGCTTCTTTGTTCCTGATACCTCCTGCGGGTCCAGCCTCGCTCTCAGATGGTTTTTGATCAACCGCATCCCCTGTTCCCGTGCTAACGCTGCTTTGTGCCGCCTGCTTGAGTCGCTCCGTGTCTTCCTTTCGCACATCGTCGGCCTTGTCCTTGTCGTCATCGTCATCGCCGAGAGAGAATGGATCGTTGTCGTCCTCAGGATTTGGCGCCACACTGGTCAGGGGTTGCCATTTCTTATTCTTGTCGGCGCTTGATGCGTCCTTGGCCGATGATGCCCTGTCAGCGGCGTCCACCTCATCGACAGGCCCGCTCTGCGGCGGCTTGGGCTGTGGCTTGAAGAGGTCCGGATTGGCGGTCTTGCGACTACTGGTTCGCGGAGGCTGAGGCGGTGCTATGAAGTAATTAGCGCTTGTTCACGAGGAACTCCATTTTCTGATACATACGAGCCTCATCGTCGCGCATCTCCAGACGCTCAAACGCTCCCGCATCCAACTCATGCGGATCTGCATCGTATCGCTGTGCATCTGTACTTCTGCGTTGTTGCTCTGCAGACTTGCGGATCCCGTGCAGCTGTTCGCTCTGGCTAGAACCAAAGTTCTGCCTGCCAGTGTTCGGTCTGGATCCCGAGCCGTAGAGATCCTCCTCATCATCCTCCTCACCATCGATCTTCTTTTTGAACGTCGTTATCCAGCTATTCACCTTCTTCTGTGTCTCCAGAAAGCCCTGCTGGATGTTACGCCCAATCTCTGGTAGTTCATCGTCAAAGAAGCTACGCTCATGCTCCTCGTCGTCGTCATGGTAGGGGCGCTGTTGGTTCGGTCCACGACGACCTGGCTCACGCTGGTTGTAGCGAACTTGCGAGCGCTGCCCTCCGTTGTTGTATTGTTCCGCTAGCTGTCGTGCATAGAGCTCATCGGCCTCGAGTTGGCTCAATGGCTGCTGCTGCTGGCGCAGTGCTGGTCGTGGAGGTTGCGTCGGCGCTGCAGGAGCTGCGTCCTCGGGCTGGAAGTTTTCATCGGACATGCCCAGCAACGCATTGAAGGCGGGTTCAATCTTCCCGCCGCTCGCTGTGAGGACAGCCTTGACGACTTTGGCGTCGATGGTGGGAAAGGCCTCAATCAGCGTGTTCTCCGCTTGCTGGTTAGGGCTCAGAGGCCGCGGTGGCTTCGTGGGAGGGATCTCCTGGTGGCCGTCCTGGAATTGGACACGCGGGCGTGGAGAGGGTACTGGGGCAGGAGGCTTGGTCGGTGTCTCATGGCCCTGCGGCGACACGGTGCCCGTGTCCTGCTCGTCGTCGAAGCTCATCTCCTCCCGCGTTGTGGCAGACTCCTCTGGCCGGAGCGGCGATACAGGCGGACTGCTGCTGTCGCCGCCCTTGGTGGTGCTAGTCTTGCTGGCCATGGCTCGCAGGCGTAACGGGCGAGTCAGATATGCGCTGGCGCTGGCGTTGGCGGAACCGCTCTGTTCTCTACCGGCGTCGGTGTTGGTGTAAGTGGTGGCGGTGGAGCGAGAAAGAATGTGCGATGGCTCAGCAGGTCGTTCACATTCGCAAAACACTGCTTTGCATGTTGCCTGATCTCCAGCTCCGTGTTGGCGCCTTCGTCATTGCGCATCCGTGACCCCATGCATAACTCTAAATTTAGTTAGGACATGAACCGAAAAAAAGCCGCCTCCAGCTCTCAAACATCCAGTAGTGCTGTCACCTGATTACAAGGTCATCATCATCATGAAGTGAAGTGAAGTGAACCGAAGTGAAGTGAAGTGCACTCGCCGACCCAGAAAGAGGCACAGCATGGGCGACTCCGATGTCTTTATTCCGGGACTCCACAAGCCTTCCTCTCTGCTGCCCATCGCCCGCCATCGCGATGCCTTGCTCTACGCCGTCGAAGAGCACCAAGTCACCGTCCTGATCGGTCAGACGGGGAGCGGCAAAACCACCCAACTACCGCAATATCTCGATCAAGCCGGATGGTGTTCAGATGGCAAGCTCATCGCTGTCGCGCAAGCATGTATGGCCCCATCAACACTCGCTGCTTATGATTGTTGACGGCGTCTTACAGGTCTCTTGGTAGCCCCGTCGAGTGGCCGTGACCACTGTGGCACGGCGCGTTGCAGATGAGATGGGTTGTCCGCTCGGTCAGGCCGTTGGCTATAGCATTCGATTCGAAGATGTCACCTCGGAAACCACTCGTATCAAATTCCTCACGGATGGTCTCCTATTGAGAGAGGCCCTGGTCGATCCTCTACTGTCCCGCTACGCCGTCATCATGGTTGACGAAGCGCATGAGCGGAGTCTCAGTTCCGATGTGCTGCTGGGAGTGCTGAAAAAGGTCTTGAAAAGGAGATCTGACTTGAAAATCATCGTTAGCTCTGCCACGTTGCATGCCCAACGTTTTCTGGACTTCTTCGGTGGCGCTGCAATACTGGGAAATGAAGAGAACAAGTCTCCCAACACCTGCATTGTCAGCATTGAGGGCAGAGCTCATCCGGTGGATATCCATTATCTGGCTCAACCGTGCGAGCAGTATCTCGAGCGCGCTGCGAGTCTCGTCTTCGACATTCACTCGAGCGAGCCCGATGGAGATGTGTTGATCTTTCTCACGGGGCGAGATGAGATTGAAAAGGTCATCGAGATCATCGCTGATCGTTTGCCATCTTTACCCGCTGGCTCGCAAGGCATTCTCCCCCTGCCGCTGTACGCCGGGTTGAGCACAGAGCAACAGATGTATGTGTTCGAGCCCGCGCCAGAGAACACGCGCAAAGTCATTTGCGCAACAAACATTGCAGAGGCCAGCGTGACTATCGACGGCATCGTGTACGTGATTGATTGTGGATTTGTCAAATTACGAGCCTACAATCCCACCACTGGCATCGAGACTCTCGCCACCACACCAGTGTCCCGAGCTTCAGCTACACAGCGAGCAGGCCGCGCAGGGCGTACCAAACCCGGTAAATGCTACCGTTTGTACACGGAGAACGACTTCCATTCCCTCGAGGAAGCGACCATTCCCGAGATCCAGCGCTCCAATCTCGCTCCAATGATTCTCCAGCTCAAAGCTTTAGGAATCGACAACATTGCCCGCTTCGACTTCCTCACTCCACCTCCAGCAGAGCTAATCATCCGCGCCCTCGAACTCCTCTTCTCTCTCGGAGCACTAGACGACTACGCCAAACTCACCACCCCGTTAGGAACTCGCATGGCAGACCTCGCCCTCGAACCCATGCTCGCCAAATGTCTCCTGAGCGCACCCTCATTCGGCTGCTTATCCGAAATGCTCACCATCGCAGCCATGGTCAGTTTACAAGGCAAAATCTGGTTCAGCACGCACGAAAAAACCTCCTCCGAAAAGACGGCACGAAGGAAATTCGCCGTCGAAGAAGGCGATCATTTGACCCTCTTGAACGTCTATCACGCCTTCATCACCAAGGGGAAAAAAGAATCTCGTTGGTGTCAACAACATGCTTTGAATTTCCAATCCATGATTCGCGCCGTGAGCATTCGGAATCAATTGAGACGTTATCTCGAACGCTTGGGAATCGACGTCAGCGAATCCTTGAGCAGTAGCAACAACAACAACAGCGGCAGCGGTAATAATCATCATGATGGGTCATCATCCACCAACAAAGCGTCTTCCATCATGCGCTGTCTCACCAGTGGATATTTCGCACATGCAGCACGAATGGCGCCCGACGGCACATTCCGAACGATCAGTAGTGGAGGTGGACAAGGAGAAGGAGGAGGAGGAGTAATACTCCACGCCCATCCATCCAGTCTCATGTTCCATCGCAAAGCCGATTTTGTGATTTTTAGCGAAGTCATGGAGACGGGCGAGAAAATTTTCATTCGCGACGTGTCCAAGATTGAAAAGGGGTGGTTGTTGGAATATGCGCCCGAGTACTATCGAGTCAAAGAGGTGAAAAAGGGATGAATCAATCAATCATCAGAGGGAAATGGCTATATATGTAAAAAAAAAGTGCTGAAGGGTGATTAAAAAAAAAGGCAAAAGCCTTCGCTGCTGATTTGATTGGGGGGGTATCATATTACACAATCGACATGTCCAAAAATCGCGCCAACGCTCTTCTGCGCAGAGCGACATGGATGATCAAAGTCGTCCTTTATCGTGATGCTGCCATGCTAGTGCCATCTCCTCCAGCACATTCGCCATAATCAGAGGACTTGCCATGAGCCCATGGCCTTCTCCTTCCAATATGCGTACTTCACAGCCACCTTTTGCAGCAGAAGAAGCCCAGCTCTCTCGACTTCCTTCTCTGCCATTCCCGGACTCAAAACCAGGTCCCTGTGCTCTTCTATTCATCTGCTCTGCGAGCCACTTGACGTTTGCGACCGGCACTCGCTTGTCCTCGGAACCATGAGTGATGACCACTTCACGTCCTACGTCGGTGTAGCGGAATCCCACGTCACGGTTGCGCTCGAGACATACGAGGAGATCTGTCGCGGGGTTACTATCCCTCGTCGCCATGTCCCACGTTGCCTGTGTCAGTCGACTGGTATATTCGACTTGACGTTCCTTTTCTGCATGCTCCGCAGCATGCAGACCGATCGAAGCGTATGCAAAACTGGGGTCCATGGGTGTCGATGTTGCAGTCAGTGTTAACGAGCCTCGTCTACGTCGCTCTTCATCCTCCTCTTCCTCTTTGACCGGAATCGGGAAATTGTCCACGGGATTAGTAGACGGCATGAACTGGTCCATCAACATGAGAGATTCACGTCTATTGTACTCTGGCCGATCTCGCGACGGAGGTCTGTCTGCAACGGCATCATCGGGAAGGACTTGACGTCTCGGCGATGATCTGTTGGCATTGCTCTTCATGGTGCGCTTGTTGGCAGGTTTCAGCGACGCTGAAGTGGCCGTCATGAATGACGAGTTTGCTGCCTTCAAGAAAGGCGTTGGTAGCACTCGAAGAATGCGCTGACTTCGTGGTAGCGGGTTAGAGGGTGGCGCTGATGCAGTGGGGTGCGAAATAGCCTCCAATTGACTCGGAGGTACCCACGGCGCAAGCAGATGGACTTTTCCTCGTACCAGGTGCGGAAGAATCAGAGCTGTCGCGAGTGCATATATGGCTCCAGCAGAGTGGGCAAGGATGCTGAACTTCACGATCCCCAAATGCTGGCATATGGTAAGCACGTCTTCCGGCCAATTGAGCGGTCCACTTTTGTCAGAGGGCGGGTATGGCTCGCTGCCACCCACGCCAGGCCGATCAAGCGTGATCAGGCGCAGCCGCAGAGTCGTGGCCAGCTCATCATAAAACGCAGTGACATATCTAGTCAACCCCATGCCTACACACACGAAGACCGCAGCACCATTGGGATCGCCCACCTCGGAGTACGCAATGGTACGACCATTCAAGTGGTTCTTGACCTTCCTGTTGAGGCGTGGGGCCTGTAGATATTGCGAAACGGCCTCTTCGATGCTGTCGCGTCGCGCCAACGCCAGCTCCTTCTCCTCCGCATTGGTCAGACGAGCATCGCTCATCGACTTTCTTCGGTGTCTTCTCTTCTCGAAAGCCAGTGGAAGATCCGGATGATTGCCAGTCCACTTGTCTTCTGACTTACGTTTTGGTTTTTTCACCTTCTGCTTCCCTGAATGTAGCTCCATGGTCGGCGTTTGTGTCGTTGGACTATCAAATCCGACAGCTTTGACTGCCAGTGGTGTTTCCGACCAATCTTGCGTTTGTCGCTCGGCCTCTGGACTCTGATCCTGGTCGTGCTTCTGGAACAAGTTCATTGCTTTGACATAGGAGTAGTCCAAATTGAGCCGCTGCGATCGACGACTGTCCACAGACATAGCAGTAGTCGGTCTGTGATGTGCTGAGGAAGGTCGCTTGATGTCTAGGGAGAACTTTGGTCTGGGATTGACATCGATAGATCCCACAGCACTTCTGGTGCCATAATCAACGTCGCTCCGCCTCGATTTGTAGTGTTCACTGTCCAAGCCCAGAGTTTTATGTGCTTTAGCAGGTGTGTTCTGTCGATTGAGCGATGCCCGTGTCTGAGACGTTGCATCTTCGGCAAGGGGAATTGAGAGATCACTGGCATTGTCTCGCTGAGGCATAGGGTTGGTTTCCAGCCCTGTCATTACAGGATCCACAACCTTTTCCTGCAAACGAGATTTCCGCTGTTCTCTGAGTTCTCGGATCCGTTTCACCGTATCATCATCGTCCCCCAAATCTGCCCAGCTCGACTCTGGTATCGGCGAGGATGGCCGGTAAGCCGTCGCCTCAGTTTTGCCAGAAGATTTGGCGAAAGGGTTGTGTTTTTTGGATTTCTTCTGCTTCTTCTTTCGTGCCGGGGTGCCAGTATGCAGAGAAGAAGTTCGGGTTGGAATTGAGTCAGAAATGGGACTCGGTGTTTTGCGGGGGATTTCAGACACGGATAGTCGCTGATCTGATGCCTTGCTCTCGCTTTTGGCGCTGCGCCCGTCAAAGGAATTAGACGTCGTGAGCTGCGGAGATGCGATCGCCGACTGGTTCTCAGGCGTCGTGGTGGTGGTGGCATCTGACAAGTAGAGCCTGCCCTTGACAGGAGACACCTGCGACGGCGCTTGGGGAATGATATGCTCTGCCAACGACGCGGGATCGCCTTCCTCGCTGATCACCTCAGACGACGGCCGACTCTCCTCTAGCCGCAGCATACCCTGAGAACTCACTCGTCTCAACCGACTCTTGTGCGCCGTCCTGCCTCGTGCCTCTCTCGGCTCGTCCTCGCCTTTGGACAGGCTCCTCCGCACCCAGCTTTCTGAGCTCAGTTTATTGCGCGCACTTCCCGCACTTGTCGTCGACCCCAGGGAACTTTTGCGGGAGTTCGGGCTCGGTCGTAAGGTTGTGGGCCCCATGGAGTGCTTGCCGTCGGGTTTCAGGGTCATTTGTTGCTGATGGGTCAGCCCCGAGGGGCCCCGCGAGGTGGGGATAGTAGGCGGCAGCGCAGCATCGGTGACGCCGTCGACGTCGTCCAGCTCCAGGCCGGCGCCATACGTGACACCAAAGCCGGGCGATGTGACGAGGGGCTTGTGGATGGAGGCAAAGCTGGCGACGGAGCGGGTGGATGAATGTTTGCTTGCCGTCTCGGAGAAGTGATCGTTGGGCGGAAGATCGGGCAGAGGGGTGAGGGTGTCGAGCGAGTCGATGATGGAGGACAGGACGTTCAAGTTGGCGGGTTTGGACTTAACGCGATTGGGAGCGCGAGTAGAGCGTGGCGAAGCCGTTCGTACCGTGCTCCAGTGTGCCGGCGGTTGACCACTACTGGCATTAGTATTCACGGCGACGTCCATGGCTCCAGGCACAAGGGTGTGGTTGGGTTGAAATATTGGCAGATCAACGTTGTTGTCGCAGTACAACCAAGGACAAGGTATACGGGATGCCCAATGGCACTGTTCCCGTGGGCAGCAACAGTGGTAGCACCTGTGGCACCGTAGGCGCGCGCGCGGTGGAGGTAGTACGGACGGGAGGGCAGATGCTGCTGGAAATTATTGCTCCGTGAGTGTGTTTGGGACATGCAGCGACGCCATATCCCAGACAACGTCCAAACACTTCCAATTGTACCTTACTAGTGGTGGTGGTGAAGAAGATGATGATGATGGTGGTGGTGGTGATGATGCTGCTGCCTCCTCTGTGCTCCCGCGCACACAGACCGGATCCAGGAGCCTGCCGAGGGCATATAATAAGAATAGGTAATAAAGGTGTAAACACGCTGTCGAAGAATGGGGAAGCAGGTGGGCCAGGCCAGAGGTGTATCCAATGCCCACGCGATCGAGCGAGCGAGTCACACGTGCAAGCAAGGAGGGGTGGTGATATTTTTTTTTTCTCTTTTTTACTCTTTCAATATAATTTTACAGTACATGTACGACTACGGAGGCAGCACTAGTGTGGTGGAAAGAGTGAGATAGCTCCCTCCCCGTCCTAGCGCGTTCAAACTTCATGGAGCTGGAGGTTAGTTTAGGTGGCTAGGTAGTTAGTGGCAGGGAGGCAGCGGAAGATGCCAAAACGACGCGAACTCTGACAGAGAAGCGTGCCCATTCGACGCCTCAAGCCTCAAGGACGCCGGGAAGGCCGCCATGGTGTTGGGGTGTTTTTAATCGACGCAGGCATTGTGCATATCATGGCATGTGGGTAACTGGGTACCTTACATGTAGCCTGTAGGTCAGGTAGGTAATGTAAGGTACATGTAAGGTATACATTATACAAACGACCGGAACCTCCTACACCACTATACTAGGATTAGGAACGTTCTTGGCAGGATATTGCAACTTTTCATGTTCCCTTGCATGTCAATTGTCAAGTGAAGCATTTCATCATGTGCACGTGACAGGAAGATCAAATGGAGCGATCAGAATGTCCAAATGTCCATTATTCGTGTTCGTGCTCCAGTTGACCAGTTCGCGCCGCTTGTAGATAAAATTAATGCCGAAATTATAAAAAGACTAGAACTACCTGTACTAGTACCGGTCTGTACCTGCAATCTGGCACGAGCGCATATACAGTAGGTAATCAATATGCAACCGAGGTGTTACAGTGGTACCTACTGCAACAGTGCAAATGCATCATCATCATCATCATCATCATCATCATCATCATCATTGTTATTATTATGTATATTCCATTCGCCCATTGATCATCTGATTCATCTCATGATTCTCATATATACTGCATTATTCTGGTTTACTGCTTTTCGATGCTGCCTCACGTCTTTCGCCACCGCATGCGTTTCGAAGCCCGGGCCCGGGCCGGTCGGTTTGCCGACTTGGAAAGGTACCTACTACCGACAGCTGAGGTATTATTACTGATAGTCTCAAGACAATGTCGTACTGGTTGACTGGTAGCCCAGTACGAACGGCGCCTTCTGTACATGCTAGAACATGTCATGCGTCACCCTTCGCCTCGTCTTCAATGTCGAGCCCGCCTCTATCCAACTCCTTATGTACCTCTGACCTACGAAGCGCAACCTGAAACCAAAGGGTCGTTTCAGAACAACGCTGGCCAGTTCCAAATACTTGACTTTCGTTGTGACGAGTAATTGACTAGTTCCGGATAGCAATCATGGACCTAAACAGCATGCTTTCTCCTCTCTGCGCTCGCCAGACGTTTGTAGATGTTAGCAGATCCTCGCAGCCTTGCAGCAGGAAGCCCCATCGGCGCATGAAGCCAACCGATACCTCCCAGCTCTGCACCTCATGTGGGGAGCTCCAGGAGACCACTAGTCCACACCTTTGCCATATGCCGTCCGGATTATGTATTAGAGCTCCAGATCCGCGTAGTTCAGCGCTGAGCGCCTTCGCATCAATCTGCGTACTTGCAATCGCGCTGATCATGTTATGCCTCAGACGTGGATGAGGTATAATATCAATGATGGGGTCGTGCAGTATGCGATATTGTAGGGCTACAGGTATCAAGTCAGGCGCAGCTACAGACTCCTCACGCCGGGGAGTCAAGATCGGGTTCAATTGTTGTAGAGCCAGCTGATCGATCCCCAGCTCTCGAGCATTGGCCAAAGCGGCAGCATGAAAATTGCGGTTAATCAGGTGAGCGAGCACATCAAAATGCCGGGCCGCGTGGGAGTCTGTTCGCTGCTGTACTATAGCCAGATCAGCTTGGAACTGGTCTCGCAACTGTCGTCCGAGCACCGAGACGACACCCTGACCTTCTTTGCGAGTCTGCTCATCAGCCATTCCCATTCGTGGTGGAGGAGAATCGCTTGATATGGCCCGGAACTGGTGATTCCGTGCTGATTCGCCTTCACGTTGACGTTGACGGTGACGGTGACGAAATGCTCTCTGGTTGATACGATTCTGGATCCGTCTCCTCTCGACGGGGTCGTTCTTGCCTTTCCAATTCTCATTCGTAACTGTCAATGAGCATTTCTGGTACATCTCCATGGCATGTCACCTTGACGAGAAGGCTTACTTGCGTTACGGATCGCTCACGTAGGGCCAAAACGTTGTAAGTACGATGTATATATGATGCGGCGATTGTGCGAAGCCTGGATGACTTGTTGCATGCTTCATGCTTCATGCTTCATGCTTGTCAGATCAGTCTTGTCATCTTTGGGGCAAGACGCAACACCTACATTAGGTAGCCTGAGCTGTCTGAGTCATCTGCATGAGAGCTGTCCGTCACCCAAGTGATTTGCACGTACCTATTGCTCGGTATAGCCTGACGTGCGTGTGTGTGTGTGTGCTGAGAACACCCCAACAATGAGAACCTAGCAGGCTGGCTCAGGCTGGATTGTGTGCTGGTATTCGGCCTACAGCATTGAGCAGCTCTCTGCAATGCAAGCCCATGCACAAGCAGCGAATGCGACCGACTGACAGTGATGTGGTACAGAGGTAAGCTGCATTGTCCAAATGCAAGCAATGACGATGTATAGCTGGGCTGGAAGGACGCTTTCAGCTGATAGATATTGCGACAGAATTCAAGGCCTTTCCAGTCTCACTCTCGGGCGAGCTCCGGATAGCCAGTATATGTTGTGTACGAGAACGTTCACTCGTTCTGCCCAGATGAGCTGCAATCCAGCACCGGCTATAGCTAGTATAGTGAGGTGTTCTTCCACGTCTACAGTGATTCTGATGCTGTGATTCTGCTCGAGGCATCGTTGATCAGCAACAGAGAGGAGCACTATATGGCGGGCGCGAGGTAGTACTTTCCATTTTGAGACTCTCCTCGACTTCTGGTTGACGCCCCATGGCCTTCTTCGACGCTTTCGCTTATTTGGTAGCACACAGCTTGGCATTGGCATGCAGTGTGAGACCATCGGGATGACTGACAGTCAGAAGAACCCGAGCAGGTACAGGGCCGCGATAATTCATGTTCCAACATCGTTATGTCAACCAAGGCATCAGACAGAGCTGGTCTACTTGAACCACATCCATAGGTACTCAAGGATGCACCCTGAGTGCAGACAAAACTTCCCACCAAGAAGATCCGGGCATATGTAGTATCGAGCGGCATATCGACCTCTTCATTGAACGCAGCCAAATACCTAGCTCCAAGGAATGGTGAACCCACTTGGGCCAACATGTGGATTGAATGAGATGGCCAGGGTGGCTCAAATGGCGACAAGAAGGCGCTCTTGTTCGTAAACGGTCATTGCGCAGTTGCGCAACAATTGTGCCTGCTACGGTCTTGTCTCCGAAAGAAACGAAGAAGGATGATCAAGGATCAACGAGTGGTCACACGCGAAAGTGACACGGCAGGATTGAAGCTTTCTTGGATGCATCCTCCCTGCAGGGCAAGTATGCCAGCATTGACAACAACCTCTGGATGCTATATCCGATCGATATATGAGATTCAACGAGGCAGCACGACGAGGGATGGTCACGGTGGTGCTCGACGACCAGCCAAGCGCAATTTATAGCATATAAATGCGAGGGACAGACACCGTGCACCAGACCATGGCCATTGGGTACCGACGCAATTTTAGACCGTTGACAGCACTGGCAGCAGGCGAATAGGAGGGACTCGCTCGTAGTGGAAAGGGTGTGCTGTCACGAGGAGGGAAGGCATGGGAAGGGATGGGAAGGGAATCTGATGGCTGGGAAGGATACATGTAGTCATGTACTATACCAGCCCGTATACCTTACTGTAGGTACAGTAGGTAGAGGCTAGAGGGATGGGAAGGGGAAGGGGAAGGGGAAAGGAAGGGAAAGGAAGGGATGGGGATGACGGGAAGGGAGATCATCACTGTTGCCGTCGGCTCTCCTTTTTCCCTCCATCATCTCCTCTCTCACGGGCAGACGAGAACTGCCTAGAACCTTGAACTACCTCCAGGCTCCATCTGTAATAATAACGTAGGCCTTCCCTGATGCGACTCCACCACTCACTCGTGCTTCCGCCGTCCACTTCACCCTTGCAGCCCAACGACACGCCGTGCTGTCTACAGAGACTACCTCCCTCCTAGCCTCCTACACTGTCCAGTAGTCGTTGTCGCCCGCCAGACAGACTTGTTATTATCCCCGACTCCCCCGACTCCCCCGAACCACCGACCATGTGTGGATGAGCAGAAGCGTGTTTGATCAATGTGAGTAAGGCACCTACCTACGCGCCCACCCCCTCTCATTTGCGACGAAGCAGTGTGTGGTGTTTGCATAAGGTGCCTACTGCATTATACGGTACTGTGTGCTGTATGACAGTAGGAGTCGAACGGCGCCCCCGGTCCCTGGCGGCGTAAGAGGTAGCTGCTGCTGGCGCCGTTTCACCCTTTGCTATACGGTACCGTCAGGTCCGTCACCACCACCATAACCACCACCACCACATCCTGGTGTCTGATCACTCACTCCCGTCGTGGAATGACCAGGCTGTGTCGCGCTCCTGCCACCATTCACCTGCATCATGCCACAGCTATGATGATGATGACTACTGTGCCTTCTTCCCATGGGACTACACGCTGACTGGTGGCTGCAAGAAATGTCCTCAGAACGATCGTCGTCCGCCGTCAGGAATCTCCGCTCCCTTTTTGAGAACAAGACCACCGCCTCAGATACCTCCACGACCGCCGGCAGAGGCAGATCTCCTGGAGGACTCGCTGCCGACGATCAGCAGCGACCACGCTCCAAGATTCGAGCCTCGTTCATTGCCGTCGAATCGCCCAACAGCAAACCCGCAATGAACATGGCCTCCGCACCGGACTTTAGCAAGATCCCCAACAGTGACGCCAAGGAGACTGTCGACGCAAACACCGCCTTGAATAGGCAGCCGAGCACGGGCAGGCGGACGAGCTTCAGCGAGGACAAGAATAGTGATACTGTGCAGGCGCTCAAGGCCACCATGGCAGAGGAGGGCGAGCGTCGGAAGTCGCATGCGGTCGCGGAAATGATACCGGAAAATGCGCTGGAGACGCCGCTGGTGGAGGCTGACAAGCAGCTAGGCGCACCAAAGGTGACAAAGGGCTCACCGCTGAAGAAAGAGACGAGCATTTCGTCTGCGAATCAAATGGAAAAGGGGAAAAAGGAGGACAAGAAGGAGGATAAGAAGCAGGATAAGGAAGCAGCCAACCCGGATAAGTCTGTGACTGGCGTGGAGGAGGAGCCTGCAGTGATGAAGCCTGCAGAGCCGACCAGTACAGAGGCTATCAGTGGTGAGAAGAAGACTGCCAGCAAGGCAGCCTCTGCGAAGCCTGCGACGCTCTCGACCGCAAGCAAGCCCTCGAGACCGTCTGCTGCGAGCTCGAAATCACCGCAGTCAACGACGTCTTCAGCAAGACTTGCTGCTTCGCCCCATCAGATCAGCAAGAAGCCTAGCCGTGCATCGCTGAGTGCACCGACTGCTGCGTCGGTAGCGAAAGCCGCTGCTGCTGCTGACAAGGTGGCCTCCTCGAAGCCAGCAGCACCGAAACCGAAGCCGCGCGAGCCAACCAAGCCTGTAGAAATCTCCTCTCGCCTCACTGCTCCCACTGCGGCCTCCCGTGCCAGGGTCGAAGGCCCGTCTGCATCTGCGGCCAAGGCAGCGCCAACATCGACTCGAACAAAGCCCACCACCTCAGGCCGCCCGTCACTAGGTCGACCTGATTCCCGAAGCTCACAGACGACCACCACGAAAGTAAGCGCCCCTGTTGACGGTAGCTTTCTGGAGCGGATGACGAGACCCACAGCCGCCTTTGCGAACAGGACAGCGAAAGAGGCGGAGTCCAAAGCGGCTGCACCCAAGCAGAAGCTGCCTTCGCGACCGAAGACCAATGGACAGCCCAAGAAGACGCGGCCTTCGGCGGTGGACTCTGCAGATCCCAGCGACGTGAGCATCATTGACCAGCCATCTGTCGTCCTCGAGGGTGAGCATGTGGGAGAGCCGATCGAGCAAGCACAAGCTACCGCTGCTGCCAACCGGCCAGAATCACCTGCAAACGATTCCGTTCCACATGCTACCACCAGCAACGGTCACCACGAAGAAGCGTTGGAGGGTACGCCTGCAGGTCTAGGAACGGGAGACTCGATCCGTTAGTCGCGCGAGTCCACCACGTCCAAGGTCAGAGGTATACGTGATTCAATCTCATCGCTGGATCCGGGTCGGTCGCGCATGATGGACATGTCGCCCAACATTGTCAGATGACCCCCCCAACACAGACAACAAGTGCACACCACGAACGCGAGGGGTGGCTGGAGGAAGAAGGAGGGTTCTGCCGGAAAGCCTCCCACTGAGCCAGCCATCGAGCAAAGCAGCAAGCATTGGTATGGTAGCGAGCGTGTTCTATGTTGATGTTGCGAGATGTTTTTGATTTCACAGCTTAGATACCACATCATTGATTCTGACCGATTATGTATATTCATGGATGATCATGTCTGTGCTCAAAAGCAAAAGCAAAGTCTTGCAAAATTCGATAGTAGTTGAGCTGCCTGCCCTTTCGGGTTACTGACTCTTTGAGCAGTGCTAGCAAAGAAAGCACGGCCAAGGTAATGCTGTAATAACATCTGTAGCACGCCAACCTATTGCTTCTCACTTTTGTCACTTTTTCTTCAGTGTTGGTGTGTCATTTATCATCATGATCATGATCTTCATTTTCCCGTCGTTAATGCAAACTCCACCTTCCACCCTCCTCCACAATCTCCACCGGCCTCTTCTCATCAATACTCCTCCTTCCGGCCTCGAGAATCGCGCCCGTGGCAATGGTATTTTTCAACGTCGGTAACCCTCTCCGGTCCAAATCTGCAAGTGTCGCACGTCCTTCTTTCAATGCATTGATGCCGTGAATGAATTTTTCAAACGAAATGTATCCGTATCCTGATTGTCCTGCGAAATTTCCTTCTTCTGTTTTTTGTTTTGTTGCATGCGGTTAGTTTCTTTGCTTCTGGAAAAGAACAGAAGAAAAATAAGGCGAAAAGAAAAGAGAAGAACTTGAAACGTACCATCAGGAGCATATTTCATATAAAATGGATTGAACCACATTAACCCTTCGTCCTGGGTCACTTCATATCCTCTCTTGGCCTGATCCACTCGGATTTCTCCCTTGGATGCCATGTAGTGAAAATACTGATTGGAATGTACACCAGCCTTTTGCGGAGCAGTCCAGCTCGCAGTATACACTCCTGTCGCGCGTCTCTTGCTGCTGCTGCTGCTGCCTCCATCTTGCTTCTGCTCCTTCTTCTCCCAATCGACCAATAGCGTAATCGTATCTTCCGTCTCCGGCACACAGCCCAAGTCGGTCGCAATCCCCGTCGAAGCGCTGCCCGTCACGCGGATAGGTTTCCAGTCAGGGACCATGGATTCACAGACATCGATGTGGTGAGAATTGAGATAGTAGCTGATATCCGAGTCCTTGCCTGCCCAAGCCTTGAACGTCTCGAGTTGGGATTTGGGTTGGGACATGTAACTGTAGAAGTAGTTGAACTCGCCCAGACTCCCGTTGGTGGCGCGATGGCGGGCATCAGCGTAGGCGGGATCAAAGCGTTTGTGATGTTCCACGTAGACGAAGACGTTGTGCTTGACGCTCTCTTCCAGCAGATGTTGATGTTCTGCGAGCAGTTTGACGGCGGGCTTGGTGATCATAACGTGGATGCCTTTGCGGATGGCGTAGAGGGCGATGGGGTAGTGGGTTGGGTCGGGAGTGAAGATGGTAATGGCATCGCCGGGGGAGAGGGCATCGATGGCGCGTTGGTAGGCTTCGGGGTCGCGCTGGTCGTTTTCGGGGAAGCTGTCGAAGGAAGTGTCGAGACCATTGTAGACGTGGGTGATATTCTTGGTCAGATGCTCGCGAATGGCAGGGAATTTGTGTCCAGAGGTGCCCACCATCGACAGTCTGCCTACGAGACCTCGTCGACGGAGGTCGAACAGCGTCAAGCCGACGACGCCGACCTTCTTGTCACTGCCCGACTGTCCGCCGCCGACGAAGCCCGTGGTGTACTCGCCGGTGCCGACCATGCAGACATTCAGCGGGGCCATCTTGACCGACCGGACGTGGACGAGCTGGTGGTGGATGAAGGAGGTAACGTGTAGAAAACGAGCATCTCCAGTGATATGTTAGCTTGATCTCGTGGTAATATACATGTACATAATCAGTAAAGCTTGAGAGCTGAGAGCTGAGAGCTGTCAAATGCCGAGCATGCGGGCCGGCCGGCAGCTTCGGCCTGGGACAATATTCTCCGACGCAGCGGGGGCGTCGCATCGTGAGTGGTCGAGAGCAAAGACCGACTGCCGACAATGCGGAGGAGGCTGCTATACACTATATACATGTACCTTTTCAACTCAAGAGACTACTTACTCTACTCAGGACTAGATTATTGATTTCTAGTCGCGTAATAGCCAGGAAGAGGGATACGAGCGGCATATGTTGCAAGATAGCAGGAACAAGCTGTGAAACGTCTTTTTTGAGGTTTCGGGTTTTGCCAATTAGGGAATACCATTGGACTGCCTGACCAATAAGTCTTGCCAAGCCTGATCCTTCGACTTCACCTGCTCTCTTTACCCTATAGGAGGTACGAAACAAACAAGCCAGGCAGTTTTCGCTCGTTCCAATACAGTGGAAGATCGCAATCACAAGAATAAGACGCCTTGCAGCTGTCAACGAGCAACGACCTGAAACGAGTTATGACTTCGGCCAGGTCAAATTTCACTTATGGATTACAATAGTGGTTGCCAACTTGGAGGGTTTCGTGGTCTCGAAATGAGTCTGGAGATCAAGGTTGTATCGTGCTCGTTCAGCCAACTTCCGCTGCACAAATTGTTCGGAGTCCGGGGACCAGAAATGTGAAAGACTCTTATAGAAGGCTTCCTCCTCTTCAACCGTTTGGTCGAAGCCGAACATAGGGAATATGTGACCCTCTACAATACTTGACATGCCATCGATCGATGTGAAGCAGTGATTTATCCAGTATGTTCCTGATCGCAAAGCTTGGTGCATAGCATTCGCGAGAGGCGCGGTTTGCTCCTTGTTCCGTTTCTTCTCTACGGCGGAGAAGTTTTGCACAAACGAGTCGTACATCGCGGTAAAATCTTCTATCTGCTCGCTCGCGCTGTCAATGTAATCGACACCGAACCTGTAAGGTACCGATAGCATGTCCGGGGGCAGTGAGCACATGAACTCCAGATCGATGATTCCAGTAATGTTCCAGTCGGAATCCACGAAGATGTTACTGTGATGCAAGTCTGTAAATTGCAAGACAAAAGGTCCTGTATATTCTAGATTAAAGGCCTTTGGAACTATGCTCCTAAGTAAGACCATCTGAGCCATCTGTAGTCGGCAGTCTTCTTCATCATGTACAGCGTGCAGTTGAGAGGCGAAGTTGTTAGCTCGGCCGTCCTGGAGAGCCTGCAAAAACTGGCCAGAAGAGGAGTAAAGGCCTTCCATCCTTGGCGCTCCTTCGTTTTCCAAGATGTTTTGAGCGCAGAGCATAGGACGGTTCGATAGGGAGACAGAGCCATCCTTATTGTACCGAAGTGAGCCAATTTGGTGTTGCGGCTGACTCGCAAGTGAAAGCATTATCTGGCTGAGCCCGGTGTACAGGCGCGCCGTCTTTGCCGCATTATGTTTTCCTTCCTGCCATGTATATGAGAGCATAGAACCCGTGTTCACAAAGTCGATAAGCATGTAACCCATGCTGAATGGAATAGCGCTGGGGCTCTGCGGCGCATACTGGCCGAAACACTGCTTGGGGGAAAAGATGGAGCGTATCCATCGACCTATCTGAAAGCGCAGGCGACGATACCATGGAAGGTAGCGCTGATGGGTGAACTGAGCAAAATTAGCAAGATTTTCCCATTGGAATAGCAGCTATGGCCGCTTTACCTGTTCGCCAGTGGACAGGCCAAATCCGATTAACTGAGGAATAGGAATATCAGGACACTTCTGTTCCACCCAAGCATAGCTCGCCGCCTCGGTTCGGATCTTTTCGTCAACAGCGCCCGGCATAGTGAGGCCGACTTTGTGAGGCATTGGGCAGCGAAAGATCTTCCGGGAACGCTCGTTGCGGTTATCGGTGACGTGTAAATGCACACAGATATTGAAGTGACCGAAATTCCATTCAGCGGGAATTGTGACTACACACTGTTCAGGGCTACGGAGTCCTAGATCCCGTGCGACAATAGCTTGAATCTGAGAGCGCTTCTTCCAGAGTCGAGTGTGCATCTTGCTCTTGTCCTCGCAGTGGCGAAGTTTGTGCAATATATTGTCATCCTTTTGCAGTGCTTCCGTGAGAGTCAACTTTTCTCCGTTTGAGAGGATCAAGGACATGTTGAAACAAGGTCTGAGCTGTGCCGATGTTAATGGTGATGTGCTGATGTGTGGGAGGATGGCGGCGCTGATGCTGATGTGTAGGATGATGGCGGCGCTGATGATGAAGTGTGAGTTGACGGCGGCGCAGGTGTTCAAGTGCGATTTGATGGGAGTGGTGAGAGGAGTAGGAAGGCCAAGTACGTGCAAACATGGCCAGGTGCCAATTCGATGGAACCAATGCTCTCACATGCGCGCCAAGCTACGACCCCTTAGCTCTCGCAAGGGACGGGCCGCATCACTAGGCTCAGGTACGCGCGGTAAATCACACGTTCTTATTGGCCCTAGCGATCACGATCCCGCTAAAGTGTGCGCCTCAATCGTCTTCGCTGTATGCCCGTGGAGGTAATATATACGATGGAACGGGAAGAAGGACTCCAGAAAATCAGGAGTAGAAGCTTGTTCTGATAAACGGTCACGGCACAGAGCCGGATGCGATGGGGTATCTTGAGATAATATATAAATAAACATCGTGCCTCCTCGTCGACACCAGAAGCCCAAAAGAGGCGGATGGACGGGCTTGCATTCATTCCAGATCCTACTCTTATTCGTGGTCTTCAGGTGTTCTGCCTCCACTACTGTTGCTCACGTAAGACCTATCTATTGCCCATATCCATTCTCCTCGTTCCTTGTCATTTCGACATGCGAAAAGATACGCTCGATTGGTGGTATATACCGCAAACACTTCCAGTCGGACGTTGGGTCTCTGCAATAAAGCTGCGATTTCAGGGTCGGCGTCGATGCGGGAATTCGTGAGGTTGATGGCGTTGATCTCATCGCCCTCTCGACCACCATACAGGTGGAGGAAAGGGCGTCGAAGCTCGACAAAGGTCTTCTCCCATCGTCTCCCTGAACTGTCAGGTGCGAGAAGCCAACCTGCTTTCAATACGTTGGGTGACTTTATCTGAGTCTCGACACTGGCCGCTAATGCAACGGGCTCGGTGTTCCCATCGGCATCACCATTGCCCACTGGAACTCCATCTTGTGGAGATTCGGTATTGGATTGCAGAAGTAAAGTTTCACTCACAGACGGACTAGTTCTCCACATGTCGAGCATTTTGCTCACGAGCTCCTTCTGCTGTTCGGTCATCTCGCCCTCGAGCGGCGGAGACTTGGCGGGAGGTGAGAGTGCGCTGGAGCCTAGTGCGCCACGCGCGGCTTCGATCTCTGCACTGCGATGTCGGATCTTCCTGAGGTTCATGAAGTCCCTCACGAGCGAAACACCTCTCGGCGCCCAGCTGGACAGACCTTCCTGGCCAGAGATGTAGTCGCCAGTAGTGTCCATGCGCCACAGATCGCCGGCACGCTTCGCCTGACTGGGTTCCAGAGTCACGGCATATGTGACGGCTGATGAGTGCACAACTCGCTGATTCTGGAACAACTGTCCGAGCAGGGAGTTCTGCCGGTACCAGTTGCGAGGCCGCGTTTGCATGGCAATGTCGAAATTGAACCCCATCGGGTGCGTGACACGAGGCGAGTGTACCTCGAATTTGAGGGTGAGTTGCACTCGGTACTTGTCTAAAGTTGGGCGATCCAATAGTGCAGAATTGTGTGCACTCGAATCCCACTGCGCAGTCATCTTCGCGATTGTCGTTCCATCACTATGCTTGCGAATAATGGGTGGGGATACAAGTGCCAACGGAACGTCGGGCTGGCTGCTATCCTCGTCTGATACCTTGCCGTCGTTGTCCAACAAGCGCACTTTGCCAATCTTGAACCGATCAACGTCTTTCCAGGGTAAGCTGTCGCCAGAATTGTGCTGTAAGAACAGTACAACTCGCCTTTGGATACCCTGATGGAGCTGATATGCGCCCTGGTCCAGCGTGTCATTCTGCACGACCTCCACAGGCTGGTAGCTGCCATCCTCGTCAATCTCAAGAACTTGCACGCGAGCAAAAACATCATGGCGCTCGTCAGTGTAGTACTCATGTTCCGGTATTCTCGATCGTGGTCGCTTATCTCGTGGCTTCACGTTCGCTCCAACAGACGCATCGCGCATGTCGTCCCAACTAAGGAGTTTGTCGAGATGCATGCTCGTGACTTGAGCGAATACACTTACTCTGAGACATGCATCCGGCGGCGCTTCGAGCGGTAGGCTCATGCTGTGCACGCTTTCAAAGCGAGCTGCGCTTTCTCCAAATCCACTGACTAGTGCTGTGGTAGTTGCCCCGCCCTCTTCGGAGACCCCGGGGATGAAGAGCTGAGCGTGAAGATTGGTCCCTTCTCTTTCCGCGAAGCCGCAAAGTTCATGCATGACCACGTTGAACTTCAGAACATTGCCAGGCGCTTCTGCGGAGCTTGGCTCCAGAGATAAGTTCACTACGCCAACAATGCAAGACGTGTACGGAGAGTAAACATCGAGGCTGAAGTCTTGTACTCGACACTCGAACACCGCCGTAAGTGGTATGTCGGCATCGCCAATCCTGGTGTAATCTGGCATGCACTCTTCATCAAACGGATTACTCAGATTGAAATGCTGCATGTACTCTGGACGATCCAAGAATTGTAACATCTGCCGCATCGTCTGTATTCGTTTATGCAATTTCTCAATCGACCAGAGCCGGATCACGTTACTGTGGAAATCGATGACTCTGACTGCGAGGCATGGTTTGGGCGCCAACTCCAGCTCCGGATCAGTGCTTTCTTCGGTCGAAATGCCGTTCAAGACCAAGTCATATGATGAGCTCAAGGTGTGTCCGACGTCAACAATGGCAAACTGGAAGACCACGCTTCGACCAATTTTCTGGCTCATGACTTGCGCCTCCTTGAGCGCCGAGGCGTTTCGCAACACCGCTGCCGCCATGGCCACATACCGGTGCCTCCTCCAATGAGTAAGGACCCACTTCACAAGCCATACTTCACGTTCGCTGAGACCAGGATCAAGACTTTTCCTCTGCGGTTTGCGTCGGACTTGCAACTCGCGCAACTGCTTATCAAACTGCTTCTTTTGCTCCGCCAGCTGCTTCTGCATCGTATCTTTCAATTCCTGGAGGGACGCCTCCATCTTTGCTTTTTCCGTTCGCAATTCCTCAATCTCGACACTTCCTTCTTCGGCGTTCTGTAGTTTTTGCTTGTATTCGTCCTTTCGTTGGTCGAGCTGGTCCTGCATCTCATCTCTAGAGTGTTTGAGTTGCTCTTCGTCTCCGCTTTGACGAGGCGTTGAAGGTATGGTGAGAGCGGTGTCTAGCGAGATGTTGTCTAAAGTGCCGTTACTCAAGTACTTGTCTCGCACTGGGTGAGATGAGACAGATTCGCTGTCAGTGTCTCCGCTGTAGGTCTCGGATAGCTTGGGTTCCGGCCTTGCTTTGCGCACAGCACGCACGCGCTGTAAATCCTCGAACAGGACGTCTAACTGGTCATCCGAGAGATCTGTCATCTTCTGATCCGGTCCTAGAGAAGAAGAGATGGCCTCGCGCCGTGCGAATGCCCAATCGCTGTCACGTCCATGCGTTCGAAATGGCGCAGGAGACTCGTTCCCCGGACTTCTCGTTTCGCCCTCATCATCAGACCAGATCCGACTGATCGAACTTGGAGTCCGTTCATGCCCATTTGGTCGAGGGGATGGCGAATCGAGCTGGTCCGCTGTGACGGAAAATTTCAGCAAGCTACCCTGCTCCGCACGCTCTTCACGAGCTTCTTGAGGGTGGTTGAAACGGAAAATGTGGAAATCGCCCAAAATGACACGGTAGCCCGAGCGCAAACGCTTGGGCGCTTCAATGCGAATGCCATTGACCATGATTGCTGCACCGTCTTTAGGCACCACTGTGACCACTCCGTCCACATTCTCGAATGCGCAATGGTCATGCAGAATCTTAGACCCGTTCAGGCGAATGTCGACAGATGTCGGCCCTCCCGACTCACTTGGCGCAGGGTTTGTCTCCACATTGCCAACCGTCGTGGTACCGGGCTTCAGATTATAGACCAAACACTCAGCAAGAAGTGGGTCGTCACTCAGATTGACCAGATGCGGCATCTTCTTCGGTGTGCTGAGCCCCACGAAGCCTTTCTCAATACTGATTCCCAGCTCTTCTAGAGCAGCCTCCCGCTCTTTGTGAATCTGTTCCGTCTTCGTGAGCTTCTGCTCCCAGGTCTGGTTCAGATCGAGATACAGCTTCTCTGACTGGGACAATTGCTCTTGAATCTCGGCTTTGGAAACTTTCTTCACGGTACCGTCTGCCTGGGTGAAGCTCACAATCTGCTTCTCTAATGGAGTATCTGCACTGTATTGCTCCTCTGCCACAGTGCCGCCGGTGCTCAGTTTCGAACGCAACTGTGCCAGCTCCTCTTTGAGCTCACGGATCATCCTGGCGTTAGGATCTTCGTTGACCACTGCATGGTTCTTGATGCGTTTGGCCGAGTCGGCATAGCGCAAAGTCGACAATGTCTCCTCAAAGTTGATGTCGGCGGGAGAGATGGCTGCAATCATGGCGGTCAAGCTATTGCCGCCCAAGCTATCCTTCAACAGCCAAGTGAGAACCGAGTCACGATAGGGAACCTGCACACCTTTCGACTTCGCCTTACTGCTCGTGCTCAGGTCTGCCAAAGCAGCTATGACTCGCCCCAAGGTGGAGAGCGAGCGGTTGATCTCGGCACCTTCCTTCAATCTAGCTCCCGTCGCCCCTGTACTCGTTGCTCGCTCGGAACCAGCCAAATCGACAAGACTGATCTTGGCCACCTTCTCCGAGTCCATATTCGTTTCTACGTCGTGACGCTTTTGTGTGAGTGTAAGAGTGAAAACTGCGTGGGAACGTGACGAAGTCTCATTCATATTCGTGGCGGCGACCGTACGCGCCTTGTTGCCCTCGTCCATGAGGTGTTCAATTTCCGCGAAACTGCGGACGACCAGCTTGGCGAGATCTTCCACGTACGGCCCTGTAGAAGGATGTTCTCGAACTTTCAGGTTGCCTTTATTGCTGGGATTGAGCAAGTCGCGAACACGCTCGTTGTAAATTTCCAAGTAGGAGACCTCGACAGTACACGTATTATTTGCATCCTGCCCGGTCAGACGATCGATGCGCTCGTACATCTCTCTGCAGATACGTGGTATCACACCTTCCTCGTCGCCATAACCCATCATGCTGTAACTCTTGCCGGATCCGGTTTGGCCATAGGCGAAAATGCAGTTGTTGAAGCCCAAGAAGGCATTCTCGAGCAGGGGCTTGCCCAGATCATCGAAGACGTCCTGCTGACCAGCAAAATGGCCGTCATCGCGATTGAAGGACCAGTAGGACTTGTCGAATGCGAAGGTCTTGCTACCCTCGAGCGCTGCCTTTATGGGTTTACCCTTGGTGTCGGGCGGAGGGGAAAGCACCGTCTGAGAGTCCTTCATCGACACGATACATTTTGCGCTGCGGCCAATTTCACGCGAGTTGAATGGTCGTACACGCACGACCACCTTGATGTTGCCGCCTCCGCCTCCGCCTCCTCCACCGCCTCCGCCATTGGCAGAAGCCATTGTGCTGAGCGTCACCGAGTCTCTCTGCGGCGCGCAACCATGTACTGTACGTCCCCGAGCCTCTCTACGGCACGCCAACCATGTGCAGATTGGGGAAACCGCCTCGCCGGCGGTGCAGCCTTTGTCGGAGGCGGTATTTTGGATGCACGCTGAGCCTTCGGGTCGGAGTCACTCGCCGTCGGCGTCGTCGTCGTCGTCGCTCGGGTGGCTAGGCGGCAGCCGCGGAGTCCTGTGAGGAGATATGCCTGAATACCGTAACAATGTCTGTCCTGTGATTGCAGGTGGGTGGGCGCGTTCATGTCTCAAACGTAGGGACGCGCTGCTGCTGCAGGCACAACCTTGCGGGCGGCACCAACCTTATTTAATTTCTTATTTCATATACGTGAATGACTCTCTCTCTTCGACCACATATCCAACTCTTTTTCCTACACTCCATGGCTGCAGAAGACATGTGGCGCCCGCCCGCCAACCGCTTGATGCAAACACTGGATCGGTCATTCTTCCAACGCACCATCAACTTGCGGGCCGCGCGAGTCTTCGACAACAAAAACATCTTCAAGATTCGAAAAGCCTTGGAAAGCAGCAAGGATGTTCTGGTGAGGGAACGCATGGGAAGCGTGCACCCCGATCCGGATCCTATTCAAGCACAGACGGGAAGAAAATGCATCCTTTTACGACCCGAATCGGACGAGAATTCCGGAGACAACGTTATTCCGCACTCTGCCACCGTGGCCCAGCTAGCCGACCAGGGCTTGATCGCAGTCGTGCCATTCCAACTGAAGCTAGACTACTCGTACTGGACCTACCACGACATCATCTCTGCGGTGCTTCCCGAAGACGAACAAGGGGAGATTCCGTCGGGCTTCACGCAGGTCGGACATGTTGCTCATCTGAATCTGCGGGACCAGTATCTCAAGTACAAATACATGATCGCCGAGGTGCTAGTGGACAAGAATTCCGGCGTACGCACCGTCATCAACAAAATCGACGATGTAGGCGAAGAGAGCGAATATCGAACCTTTCAGTATGAGGTCCTAGCTGGACCGGAGGACATGAATGTCACCGTTTCAGAGGAGGATTGCATATTCAAGTTTGATTACAGTAAAGTGTACTGGAACAGCAGGCTCAACACCGAGCATCGACGCCTAGTTGCGACCTTCAACGAAGGCGAAGCTGTGTGCGATGTCATGGCTGGCATTGGACCATTCGCCGTGCCTGCTGGAAAGAAAAGGGTCTTCACATGGGCGAACGACCTCAATCCGGACAGCTATGAGAGTCTACGGGATGCCATATCCCGCAACAAAGTACACGAGTACGTCCAGCCGTTCAATGAGGACGGTAGGACATTCATCCGCAGCGCCGTCGAAAAGATATCCGAGACTGAGCACAGCGTGCAAATCAAGACACGTCCTTCGAGGAAAAACGCGGACGCAAAGCCCGAAGTCGTCAAAACTCTCCGTCAACCACTAACCTTTCAGCACTTTGTAATGAATCTTCCAGCCACGGCCATTACGTTCCTGCCGAGTTTCATCGGATTATACCCCGAGCCACTGCGTCGACGGCTCGGGCCAGCTCTCAAGATGCCATCGATTCACGTCTACTGCTTCAGTACCAAGAGTGACGACAATGTCAAAGAAAGCATCGAGATCGCAGCAGAAGTCTCACGACAGCTCGGTACGGAAATGAAACCCGGCAAGCTGGAAGATGGACATGTAGAAATCCATGATGTCCGAGATGTCGCCCCTAAGAAGCGCATGTTGTACGTGAATAATAAGAAAACAAAAAGTTTCGGACACTTTATAAAAGAAGAAATCATGTATATGCTGACTTGTATGTGTAGTTGTGCCAGCTTCCGTCTACCAGAGGAAGTCGCCTTCCGGGAGCCAAGTGTACTCACCTGAACAACAAAATACCTTACCTAGCCTCTTATCACCCACTACCTGCAGATCTTGTCGTTCGAGATGTGCAAAAAGCATGTGTGTATACCTAGGAACAGGTATCTGCTTCGATTGAGCCCAACTAACTTCTATCAGAACTCGAATCCAAGCCCTAGCGCCCCAAGAGCAAAAAGAACCCCCCTCCCCCAGCTGGACAATCCATCTGCAGCTATAGAGTGTAGAGTGTCCAGACCCCAAACACGCGCACCCACGACTGTACGAGGACCAGCCCAAAGCTACGATCGCGGTTTCTTTCTCTCTAGCTCACACAGCCTCACTCACCCACCTGTCCCATGGAAGAAATGTAGCACTCCTAATCTACCTTATCATCAACCTTGCCCACCAAAAGATAATAATTCCCTCAAATTGATGAATCAGGGGTGAAAACAAAAGCCAAGGAAAGGGCCCGTACGAATAGATTTAAGACTACCCACCTAGAAGAATACTCGGATATGGTACGATAATGATGATAGATGATGATAATGCCGACAATATAGTTTTTAGATTGAGCGGTACTTCATAAATTCGTCGTCATTATTCTAAGGCAAGCCAAGGAAGAAAACAGAGAAAAAAAGAAAGAAAAAAAAGGAGATTTCATAGCCCCTCCTTCTTCGTCTCTTCATTTCTCATGATAAAATCCTTCTCCGCAGCAGCAGCAGCAGCAGGTTCCGATGATGATGATTGGGATTGGGGAAGAGGACTCGAAATTTTCCCTTGTGTGCTTCTTCTCCATTGCTTTCCTTTCCATTGCACAATCGCCATGGGGATGATGCTGAAAAGGAAAATCAGACCCGCCATCAGTCCGCCTGAACCGGATCCTCCGAGCGAGGATAACATGCTAGGATACCAGAAGGGACCTGTTGTATGTGTGTCAGAGATAAGACTTGTTGTTTAGTTCCATCGCCCGCTGAAGAGAAAAAAAAGTTGTAAAAGATTTTGTGTGTGTGTGTCCCGTCGCAGTGGCATGGGATGGGATAGGGGTGGGGTAGGGATGGGTTGATTCTTTCTCCCTCCTCAGCAGCAGCAGACTTACCGATGAAAGCCCACGTGGATCGAATCACGTTGATAAAGATGCCAATACTGGCACTGTGTTCGAAATGACAATCAATAGCATACGTCGTCGATACAGTCGTGACAATTTGATTTCCCACGGCAGAAATGGCGATTCCGACAATGGGCGAAACGTCGTATTGGTGTGCAGGGAGTTGTTGAAATCTCACGCCAAAGACGATGAGACCGACCATGGCAAGCACGAAACCAAAGTATGAGAGCCACAGACGATGTTCGGGAGGAGGAGGTGCGTGATATGCCATTTGCTTGGCTTTGCGATGCATCCAGAAATCACTCAGTCGGCCGCCGATTTGTTCGCCAATGAGACTTCCGATGATGATGCCGAGGAATTGGAGACCGATCTGTTGCGCGTTGAAGCCGAATTTGGGGATGAAGAGTTGTGGGATTTCCACTGTGAGGAGCACACTGCAGAAGCCAAAGACCATGGAATATGCAATCGTGGGGATCAAGATGGAGGGATACTTGAATAGACTGAGCGGTTGGATGAATTCGTACATTTTGAGCGGTTTGGGGTCAAGACGGCCAAAGGTGAGGTATTCTTGCTTAAACGCCGATCCGACGTGTTGGACTCCTTTGCGAATATACAGAGTTTCCGGTTGGAGGAAGAGAGCGAAGAGGAATTGGACGCCGTTGATGATGGCGAGCACGCGGTAGATCCATCGGTAGTTTCCTGTCTGGGTCACCACGAAACCCATGACGAATGGTCCGAGAGGTGGACCTGAGATGGATTCATCAGCATAGATATCGTCGACACAAGACAGAATTTCTCGATGAATCGCCACTAACCGAGAGTGAGGAGCAAAGTCCACAGTCCCATAAACTGCCCTCGTTGCTTTTTAAAGTACGTCTCCGTGACAACACCACTGCCGATGCCCACGGGAGGGCTGATGAAGAATGCCGCAAATGCTCGACATACTGCCATGGTGGAATAACTGTCGGAGAAGGCACAGCCGACGTTCAAGAGTGCGGATCCCAGCGTACTGATCAGCCATACTGGTCTCCGACCATAACGATTCGAAATCGGCTTCCAGAACAGTGGCGCAAATCCCACAATTGCAATTTGCAACGACGTCAAGTACGACGCCTTGGTGATGGAGATGCTAAAGTCCTCGGCGATATTTTCATATGCGGGGATGATGGCTGCGGCAATGAAGTGGCTTATCATGGCGTCTAGATGGATGCAATCGGATCGAATTCTGTCAGTAAGATCTGTGCCTCCACTGGGACTGGGCTGATGGGAAGGGGACTACTGCTTACGAAATGCCACACACATGAGATTCGAAAGTTTCTTCCATTCTGGCCCTGTGGATGTGTTAGTGGAGCTCTCTCTCTCTCTCTCTCCCATGTGCTCGAGCATCACTCATCATCCTCTTGGAAAAGGGTCAGATAGACAAACAATTATACGGATCTGCCGGATCCGCAGAAGGAACCGGGTCGAGATCGAGGGTGCCATGGCGGCGGATAAGATAGTCCTGGTGTTCTTGTGGTAGATGTGCCACTTGGCCCAGACTGGTATTTGTTGCTCGCTGCCCGATTTCGAGATCTGAGCTTGCAACCATGTCTTGCGAGATTTCAGGCGTGTGATCTTGCTGCGTGGGATGATCAAGAGCGAAATCATGCTTTCCCTCGGCATATGAAGGTGGTGTCGCCATGTTGCTGCTCGTTTTGGACTATACCTCCTAAATGTGCAATCTTAAGGTAGGTAGGTATATATGCTGGAGTACTGTTCAATTGGTTCTCAGGGCCTTCCTGTCTCGACAAACCAAACGGTTAGGTAGGTATGTTTTCCAGCTAACACTTTATCTTCTGATCTGCTCATTCGATGGATCCTGGAAGACTTTGACCTTTCCGCTGACATGTACGAATGGCCCGAGTACTCCCTCGTTGTGGGGGAAAAACTGGTGAGGATATCGATAAAGCAACACTGTATAGAGCCCAGACAGCGCTGGTATAAGCACAGTGAGCAGACGGAAGTGAAGAAGAAGAAGAGGAGTCCCCAAGAAAAGAGAAGAAAAACAAAAGATACGCGCTCAGAGAATCAGATAGTGCCGCCGTCACGTACATTATCAACAGCAGACCGAATAAGGAACCTTACCTACCTATGGAAGTGATGCCAGCGGATTGCATTCATGTACCCTACCTTAGCCTAATGCAAAACGACCTCAATAAATGACGATCGGAGCGCAAGCTCTCTCAAGATGGCTCCACTTTGTAAAGTAACAGAACCCACATAGCCGAACTGCTTGCCCCGGGCCAGAAGCTGTGTTTGGGTCCAAAAGTAAATCTGCCAAATGCCGTTCTCCGTCCACCTTTCTCCGCGACCAGCTCGATGTAGACAAAAACGCGCGCAGATCGCTTCTCCCGAGACATGTGGTATATGCACAAACACGCTTTCGACTGTCGGTCTGTCGGTCTGTGGGGGGCAAAGGTGCGTGCTCGCAAGAGGAGGTGTGAAGATAAGGTGTATGTACCTGATGCATGTCTGTACCGCGTCGTTTCGAATTACACAACATTTGCCGAAGGAGTGTCAATTGACAATAGTAGCTACTAGTATCGGTGGAGACGGAATCCACTGAGCCGCATCGGAAAACCTTCGCTCGCTTCGTACGAGAGAGAGAGAGAGAACTCCAGTACGGGTGTGTGTGTGTGCTGCGTTGCGTAACTGGGATCTGCTGCTGCTGCTGCTGCTGCTTTACATACCGCCTCATCCAATGAACCTCGCTGCGGAGATGATGGTGCTGCACGCAGAAAGTGTGCGCCACCGACGTGTGTTGCAGATGAGAGAGAGAGGGAGAGAGTCCGCTCAGGACGAAGCCTTTCCTCGCTTCGAGACGCGCACTTCCAGTCCTTCGTGGACCACGAAAAAGGTCGAGTGGTACTTCAGCTCCTCGTTGGGTCTCAGAAGCTCGAAGTTGTAGTCGCGGAACAGCAGTGGCAATGTCTTGTTCATCTCAAGCAATGCCAAGTTCTTGCCAATGCAGAGATGAGCTCCACCACCAAACTGAGTCTATAGTGAGCACAACAACAATATCGTACCTGAGGTAGATAGGACGAGCGAGCACTACTCACCTGGAACATGTATCGCTCCATCGTCTTCGCGTCTCCCTCGATCCATCTCTCCGGACGGAACACATCGGCATCTTGACCGAAGATTGGTTGCCATCGATGAAGCACCCAACCATTGAGAGCCACCCTCGTCCCTCCTGGGATTTTATGGCCATCGAGTTCAGCGCCTTCTGGGGGTACAAGTCTGCAAATGTTTAAGCCGACGGCAGGACGCAGTCGCATGGCTTCCTTGAGACATGCCTGGAAATACGGCAGAGCTTGTACTTCCGACCATTGCGGCATTTCAGAGAGCTTGCCCGATGCAGTGGCATCATCGAGCTCTTTCTTCAGATTAGCATATATCGCGGCATCACGAAGGACGTGATAGCTAAAGCTCTGCATAGTGGAAGCAGTAGAGTCAGAACCAGCGAAACTGAACACAGGTTAGCCCGAGATACCCAAGTCGAACCCATGCGCTCGCTACCCACATTGCTCCGTGTGCGACTGCAAACACATCGCCTTGCCCAAACGCTTCTGGCGCCTTTTCGTGCGCTGCGAACAGCTGGGAAAGGAGGTCTTTGCGCTCAATCTCCTTGCTGCCGAGAGAGTTCCGCTTGTCTATCTCTTCCAGCGCCATACGTGTGATCAGGAAGTTGCTGGTGCTCAAAGACGGCACATATTTCCACAGGGGATTGCGTCGGAAGACAAAGTCCCACTCCGGGATTTGGCCAATGATACCATCGTACCATTGCATATCATCAATCGTTTTGATGGCTTTTTCCAGATCCTCTCCAGCTTCGAGAAATCCAAACTTGCGGGAAAAGGCAATCTCCCCAAGAACGTCGAAAGCGTAGTAGTGTAGTGTGTTGCCCAGATCGCAGTATTGGTCACTTCGTTGGCACATGCTATCCAACTTCGCCAGGAGCAGACGTTCGGTGTCCTCGATGTAATGGGTCATGGTGTGCATCGTAGCCATGGAATATGGGTTAGAGGCATACCGCTTCTTCACCGCATGAACCTCCTCTCTGGTCTCCGTGAAAATATCAGGATTCTCTGGAGGGGGGAAGACGCCATAGAAGTCTGTCTTGTGGAAGCCTTTCCCGGCTGCGAGCACTTCTTTGGCCGCATAAGGCGATGCGAAGCTGAGTTCATCTGGGGCAATTCGCACGACGGGACCATACCGTCTGTGTATATCGATGTGATCCAACTCGGTGTGCCCGGACCATGTGCTCCAGACTTCAAGGGAATCAGCGACAATGATGCAAACATCAACTTCAGGAAAGAATCTCGTTTACCTTTCCAGGCGCGACTGCCCGAGGCAAGAAGAGGCCCAGGATATTTTCGCAGAGGAGATGCGTATTTGTAGTACAGAAATCGAAGCACAAACACCAGTGGTACAGCCAGAGCCCAGTACGCTCGTACGAGCCTGTATACGAGCAGGATAGCTGGCTCTCCGCTCTCCCCTCGACTGACGACAGCCATTCTCTATCGCTGCAGTTCTGGTGGGCAGATGATGGAAAAGGCGATGAGACTGGGTGATGAAAGATGAATTTTAGGTGGGCGCTCACAGCAACATCAGTTGTTAGGTACCTATTTATTAGTATAGTAACACTGATAAGGACTTCAAGGAGGCACTGCAGTAATATCTGCGACCGTAGTGGTCCATCATCGTCTTGTTGGCTTCAGCAAACAGGTATTATTATTCGCCCTATGAGTTACGTACGTGGCACATGAGCTCCGCACAATGCCGGTCAGGGAGAGGCAGCAAGGTTCATGGTGGCGCTGGGTTGGCATGGGCCATAATAAGGCCCCTCATGATGAGACTTGTTGTTGATGAGCAACGCAGACGTGTAGTCGTGTAGTCGTGTACTTTGTAGACTTGTTGCACACAAGTGCTTGGCCATTTTCGGCAGTTGTAACTCGTGTCTGACTGTGATGAGTCTGAGGATGAGACAAAACTGAGTTTGAACTTTTGGTGGGGTTTGGCGGGCCGCGCTCATGGGACCAAGGGTGGCGCTTAGTCGCTTACTCGGCTAAGGCATGTGGCAGCTTGGTATGACTTGGCGACGCATTCGTGTTGGCTGGGTCATCCAAGTTCTATGAAACCATCGCAAGGATCCCTCACCGGCGTACGTGTGAACGGTGTGTGTGAGATGTCGCTCACCCACAATCCCACATGGTACTGTTTGTGAACCAGCTCTCGGCATGCATCCGAGTGGTTGTATTTTTGGGGCGTATTTCTTCCGGTATCCATCTCGGCACGGGCTCGTTGTGGTTCGCACGAATCCCATGTAGATTTCGGACATAGCGATGCGGTCTCCAATTCATGATCGTCGTCACGGGGAGCGCGGCTGTCATCAATCGTCCTCTTCGCTCAAGCCAGCCTCTCTCGCAACTTGCGTAGCGATGAAATTCTCCATCATTTGGCTACCGCCCGCAGGCTGAGCATCGTGCAAGGCACTCGTCAAGGCTTCCTTTCTGCCCTTCCTCGTAACAATCAAGCATAGAATTCTTCCATATATGCTAAACCCATCGAAGTTCGTGTTGAGCGCAAACTTCTTCTTGTCATCTCTCTGCTCATCATCATCATCATCTTCGAGCTGCTCGATCTCAGCCTGGCGTGATCTCTGTCTTTTCCTGGATGGCTGCGCGCGCTGCGTCGCAAAGAATTCCTCGTCACTTGAGGACACAAAGAGCGCATCATCTGCATCCTGCCCTTCGATTTCGCCAGACCGTCTCTTTCTGCCAGTCCTTGTGCTGTCAGCCTCTGGAATGTCCTGCATTTCTACAACATCTCCCTCGCCTTCGTCTCGGAGAATCTGCGGCATCTCATTCCCCTCCTCCAGATCAATTGCATCCTCCTTCTTGTTCCCTTCCAGCCATCCCGTGAGACCTTTGCCGTTCGATCGTAACTTGGGCTTGCTACTGAACTCCTTCCTTTTTGTTAAAAGACTGTGTCTCGTGCTCGTTTCCTTCAAAAAGATGGAGACCTCAAAGTCGTCCTGACTCGCCACGTCTTTGATGCCTCGCTTCTTTTTGCCCTTGGACTTCAACTTTGCATTCTGATTTTCCTCGCGCAGCTTTGGGAGCACTTTCGGACGTACTTCCTGGATGACTCTGTCCAGGACGTTATCGCGCGAGGAGAGCAGCCATGCCGCGTCGGAGGGCGTGTGCAGATAGATTCGCACCTCGAGGACCGAGAATTTGGTGATGCGGAGATAGCGGCGAATCGGTGCCATAATGGCTCGTGGTCGACGTCTGGCCACGGTCCAGCTATTGCGATTGACTGCGATGTGGACCAGCCACGGAGCAGGGATGCCTGAGGTTCATTAGTTGTTGAAGCAGCTTTCGTTCTATGTCATCACATGCAGCTCCTCGAAAGTCGAAAGCGCAGGTGCGGCAAGGCCCGCGCTCCCGGCGCGCGGAGACAAGTGAACGTGAATCCGACTCCGAGTACGCTCCACTGCAAGCATCCTTGGTTCAATGTACACCATCTCAACCCTCATGTTTCGCCGTACATTACGCACAGCCTTGCAGCACCCCCGAAGCAGAAGCATGGCTTCCGCACCGTCACAGACACCCATGGAAGATGCCATCAGGCGAAAGGTGAGCCTTTGACGTGCTATCGGCCCTGTTTGCCATCGCGCTATGATTCCTCCGTACTTATACTCGTATACCTAGGTCACAGAGACTTTCCAACCTATCACGTTGGAGATTCACAACGACTCACACAAGCACGCACATCACAACGCTATGAAAGGGAGCACTTCAAGGGAGACGCATTTCAGGTGAGGCATGTCGTGGATGCTAGGGCTGTAAGCTAGGTACGAGTGAGTGCTCACGGTTTGTTCAGAGTTTCTGTAACATCCGATGCCTTCAAGGGCAAGATGCAGCCAGCACGTCACCGAATGGTCTATCACCTATTCAAAGACGAAATGGCAGCGGAGGGCGGCATCCACGCATTACAACTGACGACGAGGACATCGGATGAAGAGGCCCAAATGAAAGCGAAACAAGCCGCTTCGTGATGAGAAGCAGTGTAAAATTACATTCGTCGTCCCATTGGCTACGCGCGCGTAGCCAGGTTCTCTCTATGCTGAATCGAGTGATGTTGTGCGGCATCAGTGTGGCATAATTCGCCCGGTATGCCGCAGGTGTACGCAATATCGATTAGATGAATACAGCGTGGGCTGCTCCGTCTCCCGATTGCGTCTGTCATAGGTTCCGTCCCAATGTCCATCCCATTGCTCACGGAGGCAGTTCACCGCCGTCCCTGTCGTGGGCTCCGCCTGGTTGACTGTTGAGGAACGAGAGGTAGCAGTTCCAACCTATCGCAGAGGGGTCAGTATACGTCTTCTGCTCTTCTCGTGAACCTGTGACCTACCCAGCGAAACCACGTTGACCAACAATACCCGATGCTGAAGTGGCACAAACTTGAAGTTCGTGAATTGCACGATCGGCCAGATCATCCAGTTGCTCTTCAGGGCATTGAAGTATGTGCTGTCCAGCTTGTCCTTGGGGCTCGTGCCCTCCATGATAGCCATACTCGACAGGAATACGAACAGGTTGGTACTAGCAAACACAGTCTGATCCGTAGCGACTCGAGCCGCAATTTCGAGGTTTGGCTTGCCAGGAATGACCACCTTTTTCTGAAGGAAGCCGAACCACTTGGTAGCTGCTGGACCGAAGACAGCGCCTCCGTAGAGGGCCATGCGACCCGAGCGCGCGAAGTCTTGGTTCTGCAATCCCTTCTTCTCGACCAGCTGTTGAGCCATTGTGTCGCCAGTTGCGAAGAGCACCGCGGTGGTGACGGACTGGGTGAGGAGCGGACTGGAGGCCAGCTTAGCCTGGTACCTGTAGAAATTGTCTTTAGTTCCAGTATCAGTCAGGACAAGCAACGCATTGCTCATACCATCGCAGAGCAGCGGCCATGATGGAAGCTGTGTGCTTGAGATGCGCTCTGCCGCTGTTGATGGAGGAGCGGTGTGCGGGTGATGGATACGGCCGAGTTGGTTGTCGAGATGACAATGAGAGGAGGACGGCGGTGCTTGTTGCGCGTCTGTGTACAGGAAGGAGAGGCGGAAAGCGCGTTCTGCAGCCTCGAGTTTAGCAGTTGCCGCGTTTTAAAGTGGACTTTTTGTTTGGGGAGCTCTTTCCTGTCTCGTTCTGCAGGGATCAAATGGAGAAAATCGTCATAGCTTTCAGCATTAGCGTTGAGACCCCTGTTTCACACGGTCGATAACATAAACTCCGATTGCTCAAGCCTCACCCCACATCTCAGGTATGTACCAGAACTGAGGTAATACATGAAGCTTGCGGCCTACTACAACAGACTGACACATTATTCCGCTCCGGTCGATGAATTAGGAGGTAGTACCTCCTAGCACAGGTACATATATGCTTTTGGTCTCTCCGACGTGGACCGTCCCACGACAGCCGTATCGTGCCGTGCCGTGCCGTACAGTATACTTTTACTCATCATGGCCCTGTGCCAGAGAGGCTTCCATTGTCAGTTGACGTCCATAGTCGCGTACCCTCCGTCCATCTGGATCGTATGTCCGCTTCCATAACGCCCCACTCCGACTCCCGCAAGCCATCATCTTCCACCCGCCCTCTCCTCTCCCTCTCCTCTGCCTCTACCGCCTTCACCTATACGCCCGCCCGATCAGCCCCACGACATCACCGCCCTGGTCCGCTCTGCTCCGCGACGTGGCAGCATGGAACGCCCCGATGGCATCGATTCGCTGCTCGACACGGACTTGTACAAGCTGACAATGCAATGCGCTGTACTCAAATACTTCCCCGATGTCCTGGTCGAATATCGCTTCACGAATCGCACGCCCCATATGCGCCTGTCGAGAGAGGCCTTCGATTGGCTATCGTTGCAGATTGACAAGCTGGAGAATGTGAAGGTCACCCACGACGAGCTCGAGTGGCTCCGGAAGACATGCCCATATCTCACGGCGGAGTATCTTGACTATCTGCAGACATTTACTCTGCGCCCGAAAGAGCAAGTCACGGCCAGCTTTACCCCTCTTGTCGAAAACAGCGAGACTCCTACAACCTTGGGCGATGTGAGTCTCGCTGTGCATGGAGGGTGGAAAGAGACTATTCTGTACGAGATTCCGCTGCTGGCCCTCACGTCCGAAGCATACTTCAAGTTTGTCGAGCGTGACTGGACGCATGAAGGGCAAAGAGAAAAGGCGAAACACAAGGGTTTGCAGCTACTTGAGGCGGGCTGTGTGTTCAGCGAGTTTGGGAGTCGGCGACGCAGAGACTACAAGACACATGATCTGGTAATTCAAGGACTTCTGGAGGCCAAGAAGGAGTCTCATGGCAAGGAATGGAAGGGTGCCCTCACTGGCACGTCAAATGTTCACCTTGCTATGCGGTACGGCCTGAACCCGATCGGGACGGTTGCGCATGAGTGGTTCATGGGCATTGCAGCTGTGACTCAAGATTATGCAAACGCGAATGAGCACGCACTCCAATATTGGACAGGTACTTTTGGCCGCGGCGTGCTGAGCATTGCCCTGACGGACACTTTTGGAACTCCCGCCTTCCTAAAAGCTTTTTCGAAGCCGGCGCCGACCAGTGGTCACATATCTGACGCGACAAGGGGTAACCCTACATATGCTGAGATCTTTACTGGAGTGAGACAGGACTCTGGAGATCCTCTAAAATTCATCGAAATGATGCGCACGTTCTATGATAGTCAAGGCATCAAGGATAAGAAGACGATTGTTTTCTCGGACAGCTTGAATGTTGAGAGAGCTATTGAGTACAAGCAGGCCACCGAAAAGGCTGGCCTCACTGCATCGTTCGGAGTCGGCACGTTTTTCACGAACGACTTTTGGAATCCCAGGACTAACGAGAAGAGTGTACCCCTTAACATTGTGATCAAAGTCAGCAAGGCTGGCGGCAACAATGCAATCAAGTTATCAGATGATGTTGGCAAGAACATGGGCGATGACAAATTAGTGAAGCTGGTCAAGGAACAAGTAGGATATGCAGACAAGTCATGGGCGGATGGCGACGAGGCACATCGCTGGGATAAGTAAAAGTCTACGTCTTGCATGACAGAAAAGTCGCTGGCGCAGGTCCAGATCGGAGCGGAGAACGACCCCAGCTTGACCTTGACAGTCATGGTGTCTTCTGGATTTGAACCTGCGTGGTGCCGGCCTAAGTGAATAGAAAGACGAGCCCGAACAAGGAAGCGGAAAGAAAGAAAAATCACCAAGTGTGATGTGAACTGAGCAATCATAGAATAGACGAGATACCCCCCCAAATAGCGCGCGTGAAAAAGAATGCAATTTTAGCATCTTGGATCTACCTAAGTACTCTCCAAGTTACGTGGACCATCTCGATCTTGGAAAGGAACCGCAAGCGAAGTAAGTCATCTTCGGCGACAGGAGAGGACATGGAAAAGGCACATTGAGTACATATCGAAGGCTTTCATTGCAAAAAAAGTTTGTAAACGAGGCCGAGCAGCCTATTGCTCGCACTACTCGGTGAGGCGGGCCACCAGTATAGCTGTAATAGCATACTATCCCGTTGACCATGACACCTCTCCCCCATTCTCTGCTCGTTAACGCAATGTATCTGCTCGGTAGGCCTCCACTCTGTGACTGTCATGTATGCTACCAAGCAGGTCCCACGATTTTTCTCTTCTTGATTGCGTACCCTTCTTCTCCGTGAGAATGGAAAGCAAAGGCTTCCGCTCTCTAACAGTGTCTCGTCATCGATTTCTATTCGTACAAGTTGCATCATTGCATGCACATCACAAGCCGTCCATTCTCGAGCGCTGCGAGAAGTTTGCGCTCGTGCGCCCAAGAAGCTCAAGTTCAAGCGTCAATTGCCTGAGATCGATCCATCATTGAAATAGTCCTTCAGAAGTGAGAGCCGTGGCTGCCAGAACTGCCGGACCGGCTGCCTTGCAAGTTACTAGAAGCACCGTTGATGTGGCATTGTGCCGGCTGAGAGCAGGCCTGAACGAGGACTTTTTCGATAGCGTCGTACTCTTTCTTGCCAATGGCGGCCAGACTGAGGTTGGATGCATCCCGGCCATAGTTAATGTTCCAGTCACCCATTGGATTCTGCGGCTGGCCCGACAACTGGACGAGCTTGCGAGCAGCGAGGGAGGTGTCCTTGTGTCCGGAGGTAGCCTGACGGAAGAGCGCAGCGAAGTACCGAACCACATCCGGATCAGCATCGGGAACGATATTCAGAGCTGAGAATGGCCACGTGGTGCTCAACTCATCGTTGCCACCAAGTTTGACGTTGGAGGTACGACCGTCAGCCATGCTCTTGTAGCCACCTTGGACAAGAAGGCCAACAATCGATGCTTTCTGCTTTTCTGTAAACCCGGGACAGGAAAGTGTGGCAACAGCAAGCTCTTGCAGCAGAGCTGGCGTTGGAAGCAGCGCGCTGTATTTGCTATTTGCACGTCGAAGGTCTGTGATCAGCGTCTTCATGAGGCCAATTGCGCAGTCGTAGATGGCGCGACGCTCGCGAACGGTAATCTCTTCGACAGCCTTCCATGGGTACTTGTTCAGCAAAGTGATGATGGACTCGTAGACACGGCAAGGGCTCTTGTTGGCGAATGGTGACTAGAATGTGTGAGTAGGAGATCGATGAGGTCTCGCAAACTGTCAACACTTACGCGTTCGGATAGATTGGCGTGCTTCGCCATCGCAACCAGCTCTTCTGGGTGCAAAAATCCTTGAAATCCAGCGGCGGGTCTATCCTCGTAATACTTGCGTTCACTCCTGTCTACCACTGGCTCGCCATTGCTCCACCGTACGTGCTTAGCGCGCGGAAAAAGCTCAACCATGAGCTCATCCTGAGAACTGTAAAGTACCTCGACCTGGCGGTCGCCGACTATAACATGTTAGAGGGGTTAGATGATTGATGTTGGTTTGGCATCACTCACCCTTTGGCGGGCGTTTCTGTTCGACACGTCGCCCGAATTGGCGTGCAACCCAAGCAGCTTCTTTGGGGTTCGTGACCTCGATGAAGCAGTCCATAGTCTTACCACTCTCGCGCTCCATTAGGATGTGGACCGCATGATATGGTGAGCCCTCTGGCTGCCGCAATATCTGAGCATTGCGACCAATGAAGGCGGTCATCTCCTGGCGAGTCGTACCATAGGGAATGTCTTTGATCCTTACTACGCCTGCCAGATTGCTTGTCTTGTTGCGGCAGAGCTCACCAAGGGGAAGTGCGTCGAACGCTTCTTCAATACTTGGAACCATTAGACCTTGCATGGCGAGGTCGAGCCAGTCCGGTCGCATCTTCATCTTCTTCTCGGCTGGAACCACGGCTTGCATCTGGGGTTGCACCGCGGAACTCGCAGCAGCATTTGGATCATCAGCCTCGCCTAACGTGGCAAACACCTTGCTGTCCTTGAAGCGCGCAGGTCCCAGAGTTGGGTTTGGTAGCTTGGGGTGCTCGGTGAGGCGTCTCATTGAGTGGTCAAATGGGTCTTCGCACTGTCCCTTCGTAATCATAATTGCAAGCTCCCGAGATCTGCCTTCTTCCTGACGACGGCCAAGGCGCGAGTCGTTCCGAGGACGGCCAGAGTGGGCGGCGCCAGAATCTTCATTGTGAACGTTGTTGAGGTATCTGCTCTCCAAGTTGTCGAAATTGTAAGCACGACGTGGCGACGGACCAGCCTTTGACATTCCATCGATGCGCAAGTTGCCCATGCCGTAAGCAGGGGCACCGATATCATCTTCGTCATGAGCACGGTCGTGGTTGCCATTGCCCTGGCGGGCTTGCTGCGCACTGTTCGTGTAACCTCGCGGCGGGTTATAGGTGTTGCGGGGATCCCAGGCTTGCGGCGGGTAGTTCTGAAGCGCCGGGATATGTGGCTGCTGGGCCTGTGTCGCGAATGTGGCATCGGTGGTATCGGAGCCAAAAGAGCCACGCTTGGAGATTGAGCCACCGTGCTGCTGTAGGCCTTGGTAGCCATCTCTGTCTGCATCCATGACGCCGCTCTTGTACGAGGGCGTGGGGTAAGCTGAGCGGCCAGGAGGAGGGCGGCGCGATATGTACTCGCTATCGAAACCGCCGTCAGATCCTAAAGCTATGCCGTTCGAGGTGCGTGCTGTTGAGTACGACATGTTGCCGTTGCTCGTGCTGTCGGTGCTGTGCGATAGCTTCACGCCTGGCACGAAGTTGCTGTTGACTCCGTTGCGAAGTGCGCTGGGGGCTGTCGTGTAGTTGGTAGCGTACGGGGCAGAAAGTGGTGGAAAGCCGCCGAGCGTCGTGCGGTCATCGATCGGCCGCAGGTTGCGCGCCGATGGCCAATTGTTGCTGGCCATGGGAAGGTTGCGGGCTTGAGCTCGATCAAGGGATTGCTGAACACGCGCGACAGTGAATGTGTCGCGCAACGGAGCCGTGCCTACTGGTAGTGCTGGCAAGGTCAGCTTATCAGCGGTGGATGAAGTGCGTGACGAAGAGGCAAAAGTTTGCAAATGACTGTGGGTGTTTCTGGGAGAAGGACGGGCGAGCGAGCTTTGAAATACGAATTGAGAAGGTGCGGTGTGAGCTCGGGCCACATCTCAACAACGTCTCGTGTCCAGGAGTGCGCCACCGAACGACTGGTACGTGCAGTGAATGCGAAGTGAAGTGTGAAGTGAAAGGACGGCTTACTTGTTCCACTGGGCAGAACCACTCCCTGGAGTGTTTTCGATTCTTCTAGGTCGTTCATGAACTCTCGAAACTAGTCTCAAATGAAGGCCGAGTCGTGTCGCTGGATCGGATCTGCGCTGAAATGGCAAGTACCTAAACCTGCGGGCCCGGAGGGGGAGCGTCCGCACATTCATGACGCGATGCTGGCAAAGCATTGCGGTGAGGACGTCTACGCGTAAGCAGGCAAAGCCGTTAAACAGCTACATGTACATGTGCCTTACCTGATTTACATACCTACAACGCACCGTGGCTGATGATCCTGATCTCAAGATTGCCTGACCTGTGTCAAAGTGAAGTCGCGTCTCATCCCAACGCCGCTCGCGTTTGGGAGATGCCATCGAGCTTGTGAATATGATGCGCAACATGTGATAGAGTGTGCAGAGTATGTACTCTGCATTACTGCCTTACTGTCGTACGCCTACAGCACAAGGAGGAGTTCTCCATCTTTCCAAATGCAGATTCCAGCCCGCGCCCGAAGCACTCCTCCAGGCTCACGATACATCTGCGCACGGGCATTACCCGTCTACCTCGTACTTGGATAAGGTCGTTCTTGACATGCCATACCAGACTACAGACAGTGTTCTTGTAAGGGCTTAGTCGAAGGGTGTTAAGAAGCTTTCGGCAACGAATCGAGCGCGCGCATTCAACTGACACCGGTGTTAGCAGCTGATTACAGGGCCGCAAATCGGGCATAGTGGGGTCCTCACGAAAAGCTTCATCTCCGAAATCTCCTTGTCGACCTCCTCCATGAACTGGATTATAAAGTCCACGAGCTTGTGCTTGAGCATCTCCTCGGTGTGAAAATTCGTGATCAAGAACGAGATATCATAGCCCTGCTGAATGTCAGGGTCCGCAACGAAGTGGGATGTGCACTTGTACCTACTGGCACTGGCTTCCTTCGTAAAATGAAGAATGCTTCCGCTCTTTGCGTCAAGAATCTGGTGAACTTGTGTACCAATATGTGCTCAATCTCGTCTGCCTGCTTGATTCTTATACTGACGCGCACACTGTTGACCGACGGCTCCACCAGCACTCGCTCTTCCTGATTTCGGGACACGGTGAGCGGGTTGAGGACGACTTCTGGTGACGTCTTTGCTTCGATTTCGGGGACATTATGTCGCTCGGAGGCTTGCGAGGCGAAATTCGATAACGAAAGAGCTGCCGTGAGTGTTGACCGTACGCAGGACAGGTATGGACGGAGAGATTGTGACTACTCGTGGTGAGCAGAGCGTATGAGAAACTCGCGGCGATAGACGGACCATTGTGGATCAGGACAGCGCAATGCTGAGTGAGAGGTGCAAAGTCGTTCGCTATACAGCTGTGCGTACGCGTGAAGCTGGCAGTGTTCTACTAGAGCACTCCAGGATGTCGATGTTATTTGGAGCAATTGCCTTACATACGGGCATGTAGAGAGAGGTGTAGTTGCCTTGACAGATGATGTCTTGGACTTGGCAGGTCTTGGCGCTGATCAGAACTTCAGGTACCTCCCAAGCTCCTAGGAGGTAGGAGGTACCTCCTACATGTATCTCCTAGTACGGTGGACATGCTTCACTCGAGCTACGATACCGGCATCATGAGCATGTGATTCACGCGTGCCTCCCTTACTTTGGACAATTTCTCTTTCGACTGCATCGCCAGTCGAGAAAAGAGTACATATAGTAAGGTACATGTAGGCACCACGTACCTGACAGACGAGTGGGCTCGAGCTCAGAGATGGGCTGCGATCAATCTGCCAGAAGCCCACATTGTGGTACTACCAAGACTGAATGGCCTAGCAGACTGTCTGTTCGCACTCTTAGTCGGTCTGAAATCTTGTACTCTCATCCCAGAGATCGGGTGTGTGGAAGTAAGGTAAGAAGTCGGACATCCACCAGACGGCGGCAGGGGGAAATGCCGAGACATATAATATGGAAGAAAGCTTTCAAAATTCGCTATAAACACAAGTTGCATATAAGATAACAATATGCCTCGTCCATGAGCCGCCTTTGGACAGCTTCCAATGCACATACAATCTGGAATCGAAACAAGACTCCCTCTTTTGCCTCTTACGGCTAATCGGAAAAGCATCGTTCCGTCATATTCTGTTCTTCTCTACATCCCTCCTCTCTCTGCCGCCGGACACCAATATGGCGTGTCCAATAAAAATGATAGTATGCGGTCAGTGGCTGCACATGGCTTGGATATTGTGTTAGAAAGCCGACCTACGACTCCCAGCCGTGGAAACCAATGCTGTCGAACACACTTGTGGGTACATGTGCACAAAAATGGGCTGCGCCTACAACGCGTAAGGATTGAGGGATCTGATAGTCAAGCATCTAGGAACAAGTCAGCTCATGAAACGACGAATGTGCTGGGCACATGACTTACGGTGGGCTCTTCGTCAAATCAGTCTTTAGCAGTACCGGTACTCTGGTCATCTCCTTGACGTCCTGAATGTAGCTGCCGTTTTCTTCTCGCAGCGTAAACAGTCCCAAGTACTTGTCTTTATTGGTGAGACGAGTTTCTGGTGCCGAGCTCTTGAGAGCACGAGAGTCAGACTTAGACCTCTGTGGGGCCGATCCATTTCTCGTTGGCGAGGTTGGTCCATTCTGTGCGGCGCGATCTCCATTGAGTGCCACATCACTAGCAGTGTTGCCAGTAGCTTCTGAAGCATCGTCGTCGTCGTCGTCGAACAGAGCGTCTACATCGTTGGCATCGATGGACCCAGTTTGCATAGCTTTGCGCTCAGCCTCGTCGGCCTGTCTCTGCTTGGCGGCGATGTCACGAGCGACCATGCTGTGCGTAGGACGGTGACCCTTGGCCTGTGGACGCTCATCCTCTGGTACAAACGCCGAGGATGGAACCCCCTTTTCCCAGTAGAGCTCCAGCAGTCGCTTGTGCTTGTCGAACTCTGCCTTCTTGAGCGGCAGCTGGTCGCAGTGAACTCGCTTCTCGAAGCCGTACTCTGGGATCAACACGTCGAAAGCCGACTCGTATACACACACCACGATGCCAACAGATATGAGGTCGCCTCCTTGCTCTTCGCTGAGCCTGTTCATCCTGCGGCAGGATTCGATGTGCACGCTCTGTTCCTGAGCGTTGTGAGCGGAGTCCTTCTTGGTGTTGCATATCTCCGCTGTCTTGTGAAGTGTTTCGGGATCCTCGGTGAACTCGACAGCGCCACTGGACAAAACTGCTTCAAGCTGACGATGCACAACGATGTCGGCGTAGCGGCGAGAAGGGTTTGTGAAGTGAGTGTACAGCGGCAGGTTCAGTGCAAAATGACCAAGGTTGTCGGGTGTGTCCGCGCGTGCCGAAACCTCGTACTTCGCGCGAGCCATGGTCTTGAAAACTAAGGTTTCCATTCCCTTCCTGACCTCAGCGTCTTCAATGCGGTATAAGCTGTTCTGCAGAGCCGCGGAACTCGAGATATCCATATCGTAGCCAATGTTACTCATGCGCTCGGCGAAGGTATGTAGTCTGCGAGTGTTTGGTACTTTCTGCGTCCTCAGCAGGGCACGTTCTTTGAGACCGGCAAAGAGCTTCTCGGCAACGAAAGCGTTGGTCTTATGGCTGAGCTCTTCGATCATCTCGTGTGCAGGACTGGAATCAAAAATGTTGTGCTCGACTGGGACATTTTCGTCGTCGAGGGAGTAGAGCAGGCGCAAGGATGGAATGTCGGCCTCGTCGCTCGCATAGCGAGCCTTGCGGAGTTTCTGGGCCACGTTGTAAAGTGTCAAGATCTGCTTCGCGCGTTCCTCGCCAAGAGACGAAGCAGTGTTACCATTGATAACGGCGTCCACCTCCTCGTACGAGAGCTTGCCAGAGCTGCGAATGACAGACTTTCCGACCCAGGTTTCATCATCGATGACACGGCCGGTAGCTGCATCGACTTTGAAAACGACGGAGACTGCGTATCGGTCCTGTCCAGGGAGCAGGCATATGACGTCCTGCGAAAGCTTCGGTGGGAGCATGTTGACAGTTCTATTTATCAAGTAGACTCCAGTGCCTCGCTTCTTGGCCTCACGGTCAACCAGTGAATTGGCCTTGATGAAGTGTGCGACATCTGCAACGTGTATTCCCACCTCGACATGCCCATCGCCGAGATCCTTGAAGTGAATGGCATCGTCGAGTTCCTTACTTCCATTGGGGTCGATGGTGAAGGTCTTTTCATCCCTGAAGTCACGACGACCTTCCAAGGCGGACTCACCGTCAGCAGCTACAGACCAGTCTTCGTGGCCAACATTCTTTAGAACGGCATCCGAGAAGTCGTCTGGTCCAAAATTGTTGTCGCGCAACAGCGCATCAGTCTCCACCTTGAGATCACCGGCTGTTCCAAGCTGCTCAACAAGAGTTCCGAACGGATGAAGACTGGTGATGGGCCAGCGCTTGATGCACGCGACGAATATTTGGTCGGCGTAGCTCTGGTGCTTGTCGACGAAGTCCTTTGGTGCTTGTTCTGTTGGAATGGCAATGAGTGGGACACGTTTGTCAGTCGGCTTGAACCAGACAATCTTTGGACGCTCCTGCTGACGCTCTGGCTGACGGTGGGAATTGCTGCCTTCTCGAGCTTGACGCTCAGCTTCTTGCTTCTCCTTTGTCGCTTGGCTACTGGGTCGAAGAAGACCGAGTGTGCCAGAAAACATCTGTCCAGCAACGCGCTCAATGACAGCCACGATGTGGCCAGCGTACAAAGGTTTCTGCTCGTCATTGATCTCGTCCTCTTCCACAAGAAGCAAGCTTTGACCTTCGACCTCCACGTCGTCGTTCTTTTTCTGCGTCGGACGCTGCTTCAAGCTGCCCCGGCGACGCAGACCGCCATCTTGGGCGCTCTCGGGTTGAGTGGTCGCATCGTTGACAGCGGTCATGCTGCCACCACGCTGATCAGTCACATCCTTACGCTTCTTCTTTTCTTCCTTCTCGCGCTTTTGACCCCACACCTCGTCGACATCAAGCAGCTCGACGGCAACATAGTCTCCCTCGAGAGCACGATTGCGGTCTTTGCTGCCACAAATGAAGATATCGGCATCGAGATCGAGTGTGGTCACGTACGCATCACTGCGGTTCTTCTTGTTGACGCGTAGGGTTCCTGCGACAAGCTGACCATCTCCAAGCAATGCTGGAAGTGTAGCTTGGGGCAGGTAAGGGGTGAACAAAGTCTTGCGTTGCTGTTGCTGTTGTGGGCCAAGCTGTGGTCCATTGTGCTGGCCAGTCAACTGAGCAAGGCTTGGAGGCTGAATGCCGGCTTGCTGGTAGGCCTGTAATTGCGCAAGCTGAAGAGCGTTCAACGGCTGGCCACCATAAATGGCAGGGTTCTGCACCAAGACTTGGCCCTGAGGCAACTGCATGAGCTGTGGCTGTGCATTGTAGCCCCCGAAGTTTTGGATGGAGTTAATTGACTGATTTGCCATCGATCCACGAGTACGGTGGCCAGGTTGGAAAGGCTGCGCTGTGGCCTGCTGATTCATTTGGAAGCTGCCCATATTGTTCTGCTGCGGCTCGTTGCTATTCGGGTTAGGGTTACGCCAGTTGCCTTCGAAGTTGCGCGAGCCGGTGCGGCCATGGCCTTGGCTGCCGCGACGTGCGAGCTCTGAGACATTGCCTCCATCATTGGTGGCCTGTGGTGGTGGAAACTGGAATCCCTGTGGTCCACCTCGGCTGGTCGGTGCCATACCACGACCAGAGCCGACAGCCATGCTCTGGCTACGTCCGTGTCCGCGACCTGCGAACGATCCTCGAGAGGAGCTCGTGGATGCAGCTTGAGTACTCTCAGTATTAGCTGGACTCGCTGCGCCATTACTTGTTGACGTGGAATCTCCAGCTGCGACACCGGGTGCACCAGGAATCGGGAACTGGAAACCACTTGTCTTGCGTTTTGCCTCTGCCAATTCCGCTGCCTTCTTAGCTTCGGGCAAAGCCAGTGAGTGTCTGCGCGCATGGCCTCCGCCTGCCGCGCCTCCGCCTCTTCCTCTGCTGGGTGCGCTGTTCTCATTTCTGCTCTGGCCGAAGTTGCCAAAGTCCCCAAACGCAGATCCGGCAGCACCACTCGAGGGTGCGGGAGGCGGCCCCATGCCCATATTGGGCATGGCTGAATGGTTTCGTCGATGTCCGGTTGGCTGTGCGATGCCGCCCGTCATGGGAATACCAAGATGTTGTTGTCCCATCTGTGCTTGCTGTGGAAATTGGAAGCCGCCAGGCTGGGTGACATTGAGATTCTGCATCTGGCTTTGCAGCTGCTGGAACTGGTTAGGCAGCTGCTGTTGCTGTGGAATCATGCCCATGTTTACATATTGCTGGTGCGTTGCCGCAATCTGCTGTTGCTGCTGTTGCAGCATCTCAATCTGCTGGGCAAGAGCCAGTTGCTCCACTGTGGCAAGGGTCAGCGAGCGCGCTGTGCACGACGAATGGAGAACATACTCATCAGGGGCGTCATCTCTGATGGACTGCGGCGGTGGGCGATGTGCAGACGGCGGCCAGCAGACCCCTGTGGGCCTTGCTGTTGCTGTTGCTGCTGGCCTTGTTGGTCCATGGCGAGCCAGAGGGGGAAGGCGGACGTGTGCTATGGAGCGGGAGTCGAGAGATGGCGGGAAGGACAGAGCAAGTGGTGTGCAATGCAATGCAATGCAATGGTAGTAGTGGTGGTGGGTGGGTGGGCTCGAGTCAGGTAGTGTTCGTGATAGATGCAATGCTCTTGTGACGTATGCTTCGTCAGGGAGAGCCAAAATCGTTGCTCGTGCGAGAACCAAGCTGCTACGGGTGCAGTGTAGAGTGTGCAGAGTCTGAGTGCGTGCGGGTGTAATGTTGTCGTGGTGTATGGGGAGGATGGGAGTGTGTGTCACCGTGGGGAGGTGATGGGCGTGGTAAAGATCGAGGAGGTGCCGGGCAGGCAGTGGTCGTCGTGTCCGTGGGCAGGCACAGCACAGCTCGCGCAGGCGCAGCTCCAAAGAATGCAGGTGACAGCGAGGATGGGAGTGATTCGTACAAGGGAGCGACGAGAGAGAGCGTCAGGTAGGGGGAGAGAGAGAGAGAGAGGGAGGGAGAGAGAGGACGAGAGGATGCAAGAGAGAGAAAGAGGAAGGGAAGAAGAGCGAGAGGGCGAGCAAGTGGGGGCAGGAGTAGTAGGTAGTGGGAGTCTGAGAGAGGTGTGAGCATGATGTCCGTGTGAGAGGCCGTCCAGCCAGCCAGAGCCAGCCAGCCAGCAGCAGGCCAGCTTCCAAGCAATGATGCTGCGGGCTGCTCCCTCAGGCCTGGACAGGACAGCTTTGTTCCCCCGACGTTTCCGGCTATATCTGCACGACATGACGCTACATCCTACTACCTGTACTTGCTATTATTCTCCCTGGTCTGCCCCGTCAGATCGCTCGTTCGCTCTTTGCCGCAGTCAACCACATGTTCCTCGACTGTCGCCGGCGACTGCAGAGCAGCTGTGGCCGTGAAGCGTGAGACCACCTCCTAGGTACCTAGCTCGCAGTGTGGTAGCTGCATACATATGTGGGCCGCTGAGCAGCCAGCGATCACCGTTTCTGTTCCATTTGGATACACCGGACCCAGGAGGTAGGCTGTGGTGGACACTATTCACTGCTTCGTGCCGGCATGCGAGTACCTATGGGCAATTGGATGTGCCCATGCAGTAATGGTATATGTTGCTGTAGAAACAATAAATAGCTATTGAAGACAATCCTTGATCCGGCCCACCCCCAGCACTAGACACGTTGATACCTTTATTAGATTGTCGACAGCGAGCGCGTGGGTGGCCCATACCGGCATGTGCATGTTGGCTCTATGCACCATGCAAGTCTCTGCTCGCGAATTTTAAACTCTCTGGGCCGGTCGGTCGGCTTGAGGTAAGGGTACGAGGCGGAAGCGGAGAACTAGGTAGGTTAGCGTCTGGCGCCCGCTAGTGTCATTTGCGCGCGACGACGCGACTTCTATTATTTTACAGGTAGTTTCCATTCGGTATTCTCGATCACCGTTCCACACCTCAACAACTGCGGCAACACCGCAACAACGACATGAGCTCGTCGTACAAACCGACCGACCCGTCGCGTGCAAGTCCGTCTTCGCACCGCACGACCGGGGCGCCCAATTCAAACCGCAACAGTCTCCATGCGACACAGTCTGCACAGCTGATGGAAGATCTATCCCGGCTTCTTACCGATAGCGATCGCACATTTAAAAAGAAGCTTGATGAAGAGGCGCTGCACCAACAACATCGTCATGTGGAAGCTCTGGAACGAGCGCTGAAGCAGCATGAGGCTGTCCGCAAGTCGGCTGAGCAAACATACGAAACATTCCAGCTTGAAATTGAGCGTCAACGGATCGCAAGAGAGGCGGCGCAGGCGCGCAAACTGGCAGAGGAACGTCGGAAGCTTGAAGAGGCCAAGGAAGCCGAGATAGCCCGGATTGAGGATGCCCGACAGAAAGAACTGGCACGTCTCAGAGACCAGGAACGACAACAGCAGGAGCGGGAACAGGCCCGGAAGAGACAACAGGAAGAGGAGGAGGCGCAGAATAGAGCCCGTCAGCAAGCAGAGCAAGAGCGCATTGCAGCTGAAAAGCGAGCTCAGGAACAGGCAGCCAGTCAAGAGGCAGCAGCTCGCGCGGCGCGAAATCAGGAGCGACAGCGCGAACAACAGCAGGAAAAAGAACGGGAGCAACAGGCAACTCGGGCAGCGCAGCCAGCGAGTACACAGCAACAAGGAGTTCCAGTGGTACCCGCACAGCCCCTGTCGAGCAACATACCTGCGGGCCTTGGGACCACACAGGCGGAGCGCCTACAAGTGCACAATGCCTATCTCCAGCTACATGCACAGTGCAAGGCACTGCGTAAGGAGATCATGCAGATCAAGAGCACTAATCGCCCGATTTATGACAGCATCAGGGATCATGCACGACATGTCAAACTTGCTGTGGGGCAGCTTGCGAAGAACGACACGACAGGTAATCGAAAAAGAGTAAGTAATTCGCCGTCTTGGGAGGACTAATACCATGTGCTGACACCCACTGTGTCAGATTCAAACTATTCAAGAGCACTGGACATGGTCGATTTCATGCTTTCCCAACGAAACCGCAGACATCAATCTCTACAGGCTGCAGGCAGTACAGCCTTCACCAGTTCCCAAGGTATTTTTGTACATGGTCAATCATACAGTCAAAATCATCATCAAGCAGTTGGCATATGAGGTCACTGTAGATCCGGAACGTGCAGAGCCGATTGGGATATTAACAGCGACGCTCTTCTCCAAGCCGGAATTCAAGCCAAATGGACATTTCATGTCGGACATGTTCTGGGCGAAGTTCCATAAAGTGCATGCAACCATATTTGGCCTCGGCTTCAACGAGCTCACTCCGGATGGTAGACTGGCGCTTGGATTTAAACCAGAAATGTACTCGAACAAAACGATGTGGCACGATGCTGTACGAGCTATGTCCCGGGGATATGCCGCCATCACGCTCCGTGACTTTTCACGGTCTGCGAATGAGAATCCTTTTCCGAACCGACTGTATTGGGAAGCTCTGTCACGAATTCTCACGACGCCGGTCGAGCAGCGTATGGCGCTCCATTACGTGACTGCAGAAGGCATGCTCGACCCGCTCTTCATGCCCCGCTTTATCAAGTTCTATGGTAACAACGCGCTCGCTGCCATCAGACTTGGGGTCGTCGAGTTCCCCAAGCCGCCCCATAAAGAGGGACATGAGCTGCAGAAGACGACTCTGCAGAAGATGCACTTCAAATTCCAGGAACAGTTGAATCTTCGGTTATAGGGTAGAAAGATAGATACATGCTCTCTAGGAAACCATCCGTTGCCGAGCGATAGATATCGACCTCGTCAACCTTTCCAGCAGCGGCCTATAAACTCAGCCATATACAATCATACACAAAACCACCCGATGGACAGCAGATGGCTCGGCAAGCAATACAATCTTGAACAATTATACCACCAAACGCGCCACTTCTTGCCGTGCAAAGCATTGCTCAGCCGTCGATGCAAGCTTCGCCATTGGCAATTGCACGCGCGATAAACTTGGATGTCCAACAGCTGACAGCTCAGAGGCCACTGCGAGCCTCACCATTGGATATTCCATCCGCGATGGATTTCAACAGGCGGCCAATGGCTCAGAAGCAAGTGCAAGCTCCGATATGCCCACGATCAGGCGCGACGATATTCAGTGTACAGTCAACAGCTCAGCAAGCACATTCCGACGCCACAGAACATGGTGCATCGCATCGTGGCAACGATGAGAACCGCACCCCAGCAATGGCTTCGACCTTTCAGTCTCGTGGGACCAATGCCGTCAGCAGCAAAGATGGCAAAACACCATTCGAGGCTAGGGCCAGCTGAGGAAGGCACAGAACTATAAAGATTTTTCCTGGTTCTGTTCAGTTCCGCCCAGCAAAACGTGCAGTGAAATGGCAGAGAGGCTGGCCATCAAGCCTGGTCTGGCAGATAACTGGTACCAATAGAGACACTATCTCGACATGCCTGGGCAATGTTGTTGAACGCCAAGCTGACAATCTCTCAAGAATCTTCATAACACTTTTTCATCTTCCAACCAAGTGCCGTTGTCCAACCTCGATCAGTGTCGACCCTCCTCCTCTGTGAGCTTTCAGACCTTACACATTCATCCCTGACTTCTGCATGCTCCGACTGGTGTGTATGCTGAGGTGCTTCACTGGCATGCTTCAGCTGTTCTTCTTCGTCGGTATCGTTTTGATCGGTGCAGCTCCTTCCGTTGCGATAGCGCTCATCAATTGGCTGTCGCCAGATCAAGAAAATCCTATGGCTGATCGCCATTCTGCGAGCCTCATTCCTGATTCACGACTTCTGGCAGGTCGGATTGGCCCTGCTTACCGTTCTCGCGCTTCGGATGGAAAAGTTTGTCGATCTGCTCGAGCTTGTTAACGAGCTGCAAGAAGCCGTCAGAGCTCTCGGAATCGCAAGCAAAATCCGGAGGAAACCATGTTGCCATGTCATCTGGCCAGTCGGCGTACGTGCCGATCGGGAGGCGTTCATTCTTGGAGAACATGGTGGCCCATTCTGCTCTTGAGACACTAAGGCCCCAGCAACTCTTGGATACCTCTGGAGGCAACTTCCTGATCGTGGACTGGCCTGCTGGGAATTTGCTATCCTGGAAGCGCACAAGATCCAGCGTGTAGTCCGTCTGCGCAATGTTGTAGCGGTACTGCACCTCTTGCCGCAATGACTTGACCGGAACAACTGACTTCCAATTCACGAAACGCTCATTCGCAGATCCCAGCGCCACGTCAGGCTTGATCTTGACGCCTTTTGAGAAATCAGTATATGCGTGCTCGATCTTGGCCTCATCCACAGCACGAGTGGCAGTAATATCGAATTGCCACGCGCTCCCGGTGTGCAGATCAGTCAACGCGATAGTCGCCAAATGAGTAGCTTTGCCAGTGTCACGGTCGACGCGCACCCAGCGGTCTTTCCCTTCCACAAGCTGATCCACAGAGGCTTCAGAACCTTCCTCCTCATGCCATGACTTTATGAGAAGTAAATCTCCAGCTCCGTCTTCAAATGAGAAGACTGCCGAGAATTTTGGCCTCACGTCTGCAAGAGTAGCAGTCATTACGTCTTGTGGCACCAAAAGCTTGTTTGCGGCTTGAACCAAGGGGAGAACATGATCATCCACATTCCCAAGTCTGCGGTCATGTCAGCGTGATGCAGACAGACTGGAGATCGGCGTCCGTACTCTTCAGTGACTTCACCTCTAAATTGCGACTCCTTTGTCATGTCTTCATACTCTTCCAGCTCATATACTCCAGCTTCTGGGGGAGCCCACTGTCGAAGCACGAACGTGCCCAGGCGAATTACTAGAGTGATCGTGCCAATATAGAAGTGTATCTTCTTGAGAGCGTTTTCAAGCGTCATCCTTGCCCTCTCGACATTCAATATGGAGCGCTTCGTTGCGTCTTCCAGCGCGCTTGCATCTGTGACGGCGACTTCACCACGAGGAGAGTAGTCGACGTCTTTGACATCTTCAATGGACGCTGTAATGGTATTCGGTCCGTAGTATGGCTCCAAGCTGACGAGTGAAGGCACAATTGACGCTCGCCAGTGTGTCAAGGCAAGTCTGACCGGATTGATCGACTGAGCTGTTAGTTGGAAGCAGGTTCTGCGGATACGCAGCAGAGCTGCCTGCACTTGCTTGGACCCACCCAACACGAGGAACGAGTGGATATCCGAGTGGTAATTGATGTAGCACTCGCAGTCCATGCGGACTGGATCAAGTGCTTCGTAGCTTGGGCCTAGAACATCCTCTGGCCTGTACTCCAGATGCGGCCAGTGAAAGGTTCCTATGGCATCAAAAAGCTCCTCTGGTAGGGGAATCTGACGATAGCAGTTACGCTTCACGTCGTTCCTGAAGCGCGTTTCGGCGCGTTGCCTTAGCTTGGGTGTGAGTGAACCAAGTTTGCGGAACGAGGAGTTCTTTTGTGAGCGATCATTACCGATGGCAGACAAGATGCGCCTCTTGGCCTCAGATACGTCTGATGAGGTACCCCAGAGCCCTAGGCCCACGCCATCCACACACGCCAGGAAGCAGCCCTGATCCAGGGCAAGGCCGGCCAGGTTATCACGAATCGCGCCCGCGATAGCCAAGGGAACAACTACCGTGTCCTTATACGGCTGGCGCGCTCGCCAAGCTTTCTTCCCGGCATTGTCTGGATCGGCCTCAAATTTACGAGCCTTGGGTCTCTTAGAATCTCCGAGCGGCTGGCCGCGCGAGCCCCGCCACAGCCTTTGAACTGGAAATGGGGGCCGGGGATGATGTTGCGCGCTGGGTGGCAGAATGGGCGCAGCTTGCTTCTTTTTCAAGAGAGGTAGCTTCTTGTGATCAACTTGGGTCCAGGTGGATTCTCCAGCACGCACCAGTTCGGGGTCGCCGTCCAGATCGGCATCCCAGCCGTCCTTGTTTTCGCCCTCGTAGTTCTCCATACTGACAGCGATAGTTCTAGCCTGGGTGCAAGGGTGTGCAGCGGCCACCAACTGTAGGGTGTCGTGGCGAGTCAGTTGTGGTGGCGTGGAGCCGTTGTGCGCAAGAAGGAAAAAGGGCAAACGGAAAAGCTGTGTGTTCGGTGTGCTTGAGAGAGGGAGAGAGTACCTAGGTGTGTGTGAGAGTTGTTAATGATACAGGTAGGTAGGTATTGCCTAAACCAGCGTGACTTCCTGCATCGCACATCATTCACACGGTAGTCATGACCATAGCCTATAACGTACCTTCTGCAAGTGGACCGGTATTTCTTCCCAGGAGGTAGGCACCTTCCTATCTTACTGATGCCCAGTGTTCATGCCATCTGTCGCGACAATTCATGTGTCGAGCCTTGCCATTGGGGCTAACGCCAGGTACATTTACATGTATTTTGGGCATCGTGTCGGCTCCTGAGAGAACGAGAAGCGTCGTACTGTACCTACAAGAACCTTACAGATACTAGGAAGTACCTTGGGTGACTGTAGGTGAAGTGACGCGAAGAATTGACTCCTCTTGGCAGCCGCGAATTCGCGTGACGGCGCGTCTTCCTGCACCTCCACCCGCGCGCGCGCATTCTCTTGGGTGGGCATGCCACAACACCGCCGGCAACAGATGCGAAATGCCCCCCAGGCCCAGGCAGAAAAGCTCCAAGGCGGAGCAGGCAAGAAGGTTCTTGTCTGGTGGAGGCGTGCTGCGAGAGGACTCGGACGATGAGCTTGGCCTCGAAGACCATCCCTGGGAGTGGATACGGGACAACGAGAACCGAAGGATTGTAGGCGCTCGCATGGGAGCATTTGAATGTTACGTTGGCGACGCGGTGCTTCTCAAAGCCCCATCGAGCAACGAAGCTTGGGTCGCACTGCTCTACGAATTCTTCGAGGGGGAGGACGAAGACGACGATGGCCAGGGGGTGGTAATGGAAAAGAGGGCGAGCATGCTGTGGTTCTCCTCGGAAAAGGAGATCAGGAACAACAAGAAGAAGCGTGGTGACCACTTGCCGAACGAGTTGTATATCACTACCGATTTTGACAGCAACCCGCTGGGAAGCATCAATGGCAAAGCACGCATTTTCTCCGGGCACACATTTCTTCAACATTTCCCAACTGGAAAGATTCCGCGTAACAACAAATTACATGGGAAGGCTTTCATCTGTAGGCGGGGTGTAAACACCCGTACCACCACATACACCGATGAGTTCGCATGGGAAAGTACGTATGCAGGCTCGGAAAGCCTTGACAGCCTGATTGAGCTCGTAGAGACACAAACTGTCAAAACACGAAAACGCAAGGTCGCGAATGAAGATGTGGAGCCAGACGACTTTGTCGCAGAGGAAGATGATGATAATGAGTTGGGAACTCCACGCAAGAAGCGAAAGATGGCATCCGCACTCTCAACGCCATCACGAGCCAAAAAATCCACACCTCGGAAATTCCTCACACCTACGGGGCGCAAAATTGTTGCTAAGAAGCCTCTTGAGTTTACGCCGCTGGGCACAAGAGTGCTTGCGACTTCACAGACTCAGGCATCACCGTATCAGCTTGCAAGGTCAACACTGCACGTCTCTGCTGTGCCTCACGCCCTGCCTTGCAGAGAGAGAGAGTTTGAGTCAGTGTATGCGCATCTGGAAACGGCCATCTCGGCGGGTACAGGATCGTGCATCTACATTTCTGGAACTCCCGGGACTGGCAAGACAGCCACGGTGCGAGAGGTGGTGAGCAGTCTCCAAACAGCTGTCGCCGAGGAGAAGCTAGATGACTTTTACTTCGTGGAGATTAACGGTATGAAGGTTACAGAGCCTCATCAGTCATACAGTCTATTATGGGAAGCTCTCAAGGGCGATCGGGTCAGCTCCACACATGCCCTGGAGTTGCTAGAACGTGAATTCACTACGCCCAGTCCGCGGCGCGTACCCTGCGTGGTCCTGATGGATGAGCTCGACCAGCTCGTGACGCGCAACCAAGGCGTGATGTACAACTTCTTTAATTGGCCACAACTTCGACATTCACGGCTCATCGTGTTAGCCGTTGCCAACACGATGGATTTGCCTGAGCGGACCTTGTCCAATAAAATATCGAGCAGACTTGGTTTGACACGCATCACCTTTCCGGGATATACGCACACGCAACTGATGACCATCATACAAAGTCGTCTCGAGGGCGTCGGCCAAGTCGTCGTTGATCCAGATGCAGTCCAATTTGCGAGTCGGAAGGTCGCTGCTGTTTCGGGCGATGCCAGGCGTGCGCTTGACATATGTCGTCGTGCCGTTGAACTCGCAGAGCAGGACCTCGCGCAGCATGACCAGGCGGAACAGGAGAATCAGCCTCTGACTACGCCGAGCAAGACGTTGAAAAGCGCCACGAAAGGTATCGTTACTATTGCGACCATCAAAAGGGCCATCAACGAAGCCACTTTGACCCCGTTAGCGGTACATCTGAGATCGCTGCCCATGGCAAGCAAGCTCTTCCTTGCGGCTCTCCTTGCGAGACTGCGTCGAACTGGTATCACTGAGTCTACACTTGCAGATGTCGTCGACGAAGCCCATCGCATGAGCACCATGACGACCAATAAGATCGTCGCAACTCACTTGTTGGCTGTCGTTCCGAACCCAGCTCAACACGATGGCGAAACGACAGATGGTTTGGTAATGACGCCTCAGAAGCGCGGTCGGCCAGCCCAGAAAAAGGACATGGAACGCGCAGCACGCGTCTTGGGGCTTGGAGTGGCCGCGCAGGAGCTATCTGAGGCTGGCATCATTGGCCTGGAGAGTAGACATGGAGACCGTGCAGGACGAGTGCGCTTAGGGACGGCCGAGGAACATATCTCGGATGCCATTAAAGACGACGAAGACTGTATTGGTTGGATGTAGAAATTTTCGCTGAAATGCACGTGCTCGCTGCCGCCAATGCACACATGATATCATCGCTATTACCATGTCAAATTCTCAATGCTGCCTCCGCAATGCTTACTATTTGTGCAAAGCTTCCGTCTTCTCGATGCGATCAGCAATGAGCTTCTTGAACTCTTTCCGAAGTTCAAAAGGCGCCACATGGCCGAGCGTTTCATGTATCGAGGTCGTAATTCCACTTCCATCGCCACCGAGGTCTTTGATCAACATTTCAGCGTGCACGAAGCCCAGCATCTTGTCTTGCTTGCCGTGCAGCACCAGTATGCGTTCACGTCCGATATCGTCGGCAATCTTCTGCAGTTGTTTGGGGGACTTGTGATGGAAACCTGCGGCGTAGAGCTGGCAAATAAAGCCTGTGCCGCTGAATGCACCGGGATCCATTCGTTTGCTGAGCTCCCCAGCGGCAAATCTGTCGCCGTTGGTGGGGAAGGGTTGGACGACGTATTCGGTCTCGTCGGGACGTGCGAGCCACTCTACAGAGTAACAGTCGCCTTTTACTTTGGCGAGCTGATTGTCCAGCGATTTGGGAATGACCAAATTGATGCGGTTCTTGATGTTGTCGAGGAATGGGATCGTTCGTACCACACGAGGTGCTGTCGATATCAGGTTCAGGCTACATATCCGCTCCGGTATGAGTGCGGCCTGGTCATGTTTAGCACAAAGCCTTGGAAGAAACTGTCTTGAGGGTGTTCCTTACTAGTTCCTGAGATATCATGCCGCCCATACTGATACCAACGACGTGAACACTTCTGGGTTGGGTCCAGCCCACATGATCAAGCAATTCCACGACATCCTTGGCCATCTCTGAAGTGGTGTACCGCAGCAGAGGCTTGTCGCTTTCACCCATGCCCCGATTGTCAAACACCAGACAAGTGTACTTGTCCGCCTCGGTATGGCCGAAGTCTCTGGTTTGTCGTTGCCATGTCTGCAGTCAAATCAGCATCTGCTCACGGCCGACAGCGAAAGCACACAGATACCACCGCTGTCGAACACACATGGCTGTGTGGGACAGTCTTACGTGGTACTCTCACTGTGCTGCTATGTACATACCTTCATGAACCCCCCGAGCCCCATAATCCACTATGGACTAAATCAGTGACTGCTGCAGAAGTGCGTGACTGTTGTGCATAAAGGACGTACAATGATCCTGGACGGTCCATGTCCGTGGATCTCGTAGGCGATTTTGAAAGGGCCACCTCGACCCCGGGCGACTTCGACCTTGTCCTTCTGATCGGGCTGGAGATCCCAGTTGGTATGATGGTATTCGGGATGGGCGAAGACTTCAGCTGCAGTGAGCGGAGGCGGTCCCAGGCCGCCGTGGGCCAGCTCGTGCGGCTTTCGAGGATCGGAGGGTCTTTGAACTAATCCGTAAGCTTGTGCCTTTTCTGCCAGAATTTCTGTCCATGTGGGAGCGACGCTGACTGACGCCATGCTCACAGTTGTATCTGCGAGATGTTCTGGAACAAGAACCTTTGGCACTTATCGCTGCCCACGCCGCAGGTCTGCTATCGGCGGGGATATTTCGGCTGACTGATTGTCTACCTATCGGCTATGCACGTAATCCACGTATCGTGTCACTACAAGAAGATAAGGTAAGGCTGGCCTGCAGCTGCGGAGAACCTGGGTCTGGGGCCGAAAAGGTCTAATAAAGCGAGGAATTGAAAGCGCGAAGCTGATACTATACACATGAGAGAGTTGGTATGAGCCTATGAGGTACGAGTGAACTTAATATTCACTGGACCCGACATGTGCATGTGCAGAGGCACATGCTACAGAGCATGATGTCATTTACAGCCACCGAAGTCCATGAATGTGCCTCAGAACTACAGTACATGTACCTGGTACCTTTATATGTGCATTATATTTCCGTCCTGATACTCGCTGTATGCTCTAGGATTCTCACTGGGAATCCCGCATGTCCTCCTCTTGATCTTACTGCCAATGTCTAACAAACGTGTGTCTTAATTGATCATAGTCTCCGCACTCCCGATTGGCCGCGATGCAAAAGCTACACACCCATCTGCAACCCCTTTCCTACATTGCTCACTGCTCACCTTTTCGCCACCAAGGTAGCCTAGCCAGATCAGCTTTGCAATCCTTTCGTCTGCCACAGATCCAAGATGCTGTACGGCATTGTCCTTTGCTGACGCCTCTGGGTTCGCCTGAAACCAGACGTCCAGCGATCCGTTCATATCGCGCGATAATATCATCACGCTACCCTTTGCAGCCTTCCCACCCGTGAAGATGTTCTTGAAATCGCCAACAGCTTTACCGAAATCTTCTTGGTCGTACTCTGTTTCCACGCCCTTAGAATGAGCTTTGGCCTCACGAGTTCGATTTGTAATTCCCGTTATCCACCCATCACGAAGGTGCCCAAAGTCGGTGTTTCTGGTAGGCGCAATCCGCCACGCGGTTTTGATACCTGGGACTTTCAACAAGTCCGACCATATCTCGCGACTTGCACCGGGCTCTTGGAGACGTCTTCGGAGCTCCTCTTTCTCCGAAGGAATCAGTGTTGAAGCAGTCTCGTTGATGTCTTTGATCAAACGCTGTTGCAGATCCGAAATGTCCTTGGTCCGGATGTATAAGCCCGCCACGTACACCTGGATGCTGAGAAAGGAGACAGTACGGATACCAAGACCGACAAGGGTATATTGCTCATGATTCTGTACGTTGCCTGGATTGGTGGACACATCAGGCGTAATGCTGATGTTACCAAGCGGGTCCGCCTGAGGGGCAGACGGGGCATTCGTAGGAAGATAAATGGTTCGAGGGAAGTGAGGCACACTGCTTGTGCCTGTCTCGACAAGCTCAATCTCTTCACCCTGCCCTTGGGCTACTATCCTCTTGCCTTCGCCAGCGCCGATGACAGTCACTTCTTTTCCCTGAAAACTCTTGTCCAAACTACCACCTCCGTCCAGCTGCTGGCCCTTCCTCTTCCGCTCAGCCTGGTCCATTTGGTCGAGATCAAGATTTGCAAGCGTAATGGTAAGCCCCGCGAAAGTCAGCAGTAGTCCCATGCCCGCAAATCGCATGCGCCGCAAGTGAAATTGCCGCCTCTCCTCCTCGGCCAGGTACTGATCCCGCATGCTCATTTGAGGTCGTAGTCCTGCATCCAGCTCGACTTCCGGTGCGTGCTGCAGATTCTGGCCAACGAACGAAGGAGTCTGCGCCGGAGTGGTGGCCGCCCGGTTCCTCGTAGCTGGGTTGCTGTAGCGGGAGGATGAATGGCGAAGCTGTGTGCATCGTGCTGGTCGCTGCAGATATTGGATTCTCGGCGATAGCAGCTTCATGGTCGTACGCGTGGACGAGGCCATATCAGATAGAGGTGATGAGTGCAATTATGCGGCGGCGCAGGTGGTCGGGAGACTTCAAGATGCCTCTACAATACTAGGAGGTACAGGTACTACAGGTAGGTAGTACCTAAAGTCAGGGTAAGTTGTAGATTGCCGAATTATTGCCGGATTCTTGGCGCAGCCACACCCCCAAATCGAGACTTTTACTGCTGCTGTCTGGCGTTCTCTTCAGCGCAACTGTCAACCATCTCAACGCCCATTGCCTTCGAGGAAACCCGACAACTTCGAATCAGCGACAACAAAAGCTAACAAGATGGTGAGTCTCTTTTCGCCAACCACCTTCCGCACTCCCTCACCCTCTGCCCGCAATGGCAGGCAGTAAGAGAAATGCGCACCTCTCCTGCACACGACACTCGTCCGCCCATGCCTTCATGCACATGACCATCACCACTCCCTCGCACAGCTCCGTACTGACACCATGCCCCACAGTCGGACGGAGAAGAGCAACCCCAGGAGGTCGCCGCGGCCGAGGAGGTTGAGGTGGCAGCAGAGGCTGGCAAGTCTGGCTCCATGTCCGTTCTCGATGCCCTGAAGGGTGTCCTCAAGATCGCCCTTATCCACGACGGTCTCGCCCGTGGTCTCCGTGAAGCCAGCAAGGCGCTCGACCGCCGCCAGGCCCACATGTGCGTTCTCAACGAGGCCTGCGAGGAGGAAGCCTACAAGAAGCTCGTCGTCGCTCTTTGCGGCGAGCACAAGATTCCCTTGATCAAGGTGCCAGATGGAAAGCAGCTTGGAGAGTGGGCAGGTCTCTGTACGTCAATCTTCATTGAAAGACCGGATGTTCGTCATGGTGCTAACAGAATTCTTTAGGCCAAATCGACCGTGAAGGAAACGCTCGCAAGGTCGTCAACTGCTCGTGCGTGGTCGTCAAGGACTGGGGCGAGGAGTCGCAAGAGCGCTCTATCTTGCTCAACTACTTCCAGACTGAGCAGTAGAGAGCATAACAGGGCAAGAAAGATACCGAGAGGACACCTAGTCGTTCTACTGCGGCCGGAGCAGGTTCCAGTATCTTCATCCTACTAGAACGACTCTCGGCCAAGGCAGCCCGTTCTTCATACATTGAGTCCGTCTCGGCATCTTCTGCGGTTACTCTGTCTGTGGCCACCAGCACCTCGGCGTACAAAAAGGAAGCATCAGCACATGTTCACTAGACTCGTATGGGAATTGCTGAGGACCTCAGCAATGGCTCAGTGTACATTAACGTCAAGTCTTGCGCCTTCAGATATCCTGTGCGCGCCCGAATAGAATGAAAAATCAGCACAACCTTTTTTTTTCCTTCCAAGTCTGTTCCTGTGGTCCTAGCCAATATTGACTGTTCCAACGCGGCCACTTGGTCGTTCACTGTCCTTCGGATTACTCGAGAGAGACATGAAGCATAACATGTGTTGCAGGAGTCTTCATCTGATGTATTGCATGAATTCATGCACGGTCGTTATATTCCAATGATCGCTACTTATACCAATGCCATGACGTGGGATCCGAAAACCCGTGCTGTATACATGCTACCGTAAATGGGATGCCTAATCCACAGAGCCATACCGGCTCGTCACCGAAAGTCTACCACGCCCCATCCACTACTTCTGCCCTTCAGCCGCAAGCATTGATAGGGAGTCGAGGGAGTCGAAGTTGGATCAAAGTAGAGTCCTTCGACGACCCCGTCACTCCTTCTCAGGCTAACATAATAGAAGCCACTGATTGTCAGCCCATGTCCCCGGTCTTGATCTCCCCGTCGTTCAGACTCCGAGCAGGTGTCGCTCTTGCCGTGCACAAAACAACGTTCTTTCCAGCGCATGAAAATGTAGTCTTTACCAACGTCGGACATGCGATCTTTGCTCAGAAGAACACGGGCCATCTCCTCATCGCCACTGTGCTGGTTGAAAGGGGCAAGCTTGCGCCAGTTGCTCGCGTCGGTCTTCTCATTCGCACTTGGAAATGCTATAGCATCGGACAAGCTTGTATATGGTGTTGAGTTGTTTGGTTCAGTCAGATGTGGTCCCTGGAGGAAGTGGTCTTTCGGACTTGGTGTAAGAAAGCTGTGCGTTTCAAGGTCAATGATATGCCCTTCGAGATATGTCGTGATTGGCGCATTCTTCTTGCCAGCTTTGGGGGGATCCGCCGCGTTTGCGATACTGAGGCTGTGAGGGTGTTGCGGCACATCATAAGCCTCCATTGTCCCTTGAAGCGTCATTCGCTCGGCGTCTATAGAATGTATGATGACACGGACAGGCCAGTGATTATGCGCCGGGTCCAGAGTCTTGTTAGCTGTCAATAGCATGCTGGCTGATGTTGGTTGAACAGGTCCCGGGATTCCACCAAGACTCTGAAATGCTGAAACAGGTTGTTCGATCCAGCGTGTAGAGCCGGGCGGATGATCGAAACCAGTGGCAGTGGCCGCTGTTTGGCTACGGAAGTTGGGGTTAATCTGTTCGACTGAACGAGAAGCAGCACCTGCTCGTGTAGCTAACAGTCCAGCATTGCCGTTGGTCGCGTGCTGATGCCCTTCGAAGATGGTACCGGGCTGGAGCCACGACGAACCAGAAATAGGCTCAATCTCTCCCAAATCCATAACGAAGTCGTCATGCTTATCTGCGAAGAATTCCTTGGTGGCCAGTCCATGGTCAATCGCTGCCGACAGAGCTTGCTCGTAGCTATAACATGACCGTAGCTGGTTCAAGTAGCGGAGCGCATTTTCCAGGAACTGCGGACTTCCAGATGATGTGGCCGTCGAGGACACAGGGGGAGTAGATATCCTGGGCAACCTCGGAGGCGGATTGTCACCTCCATATCGGCGCTGCATGACCTCCGCCCGCTCTTGCATGGTGCGGGTCCGTACGTCGTTGGCTGATGGCGGTAGCGGCCAGGAATCTCGGCCAGAATTTCCACTTCGATACTGATCGCCAGAAGTACGAGTGCTCGAAGCAGGGTTGAACCAGCCGGCCGCTCGCGCTCGCTCCTCCTCTTGGCTCACCTCGGCACCGCTTCGTTGCATTGCATATCGCAGTATCCTCTCAGTCGCGCTCGGGGAGCTCTCTTGCCTCGCCCGCTGCAAGACCGCTCTGCTTCTCAAACTCCTCCGCTGACGATCTTCCACTCCAGCAGCATCGGCGAGATCCGTGCTCGGTGGCGCATGCAAGTCACGATTTCGATCTCGTGTGCGATTTGTATTCACATTGGGTAGACGAGCGGGAATAGTAGAGGAGGTGTCTGGATGCTGATGCCGTAACTCAGCGAGGATCTGGTCCAGCTCGTTCTCGTCCTGGTTCACCGCAGTGGCAGAGGGGTCCTGAGAAGGCGCCCAGTCGTACTGGTTATTCCTGCCCGGCGACGGAGTCCGGTTGTAGGCCGAAGCAGAGGAGGTCGTGGTGGCGGTCGGGTCGTGGATCTGGTTCAAACGGGCCAGCACTCGTTGCAGCCGTAGACGCCGAGATAGATCGTCCTGACTGCTGCTGCTGCTGTTGCTGTCGGCGGGGCGAGCTGTTCCCAGGCGGTTGTTTGCCAATCGAGGATCGCGGCTCATGTCATAGTGCGGTCGCGATCTACTGGCGGAGGTGGACGTGGAGGAGGTGGTGGACGTGGACGAGTCGATCGAGTCTCGTAGAAAGTCGGCGTTGTGCTGGTCGGCATCGGCCGAAGTATGCAGCGTCGCGGCGAGGTCGAGCACAGGCGAGGATAGGTAGGACAACGGGGTCAGAGGCCGTGGTGGCGCTGCTTCGAGCGGTGGAGGCGGAGGGGGCGGGGTCGGCGGAGGGGGCATCGCGGGTGGTGTTCTTGCTGCTGTTGTTGTCGTTGTTGCCGCTGCCGCTTGCTGGTTGACTGCTGCACTGTGCTCTCTTTCTACTGCATCGTCGATGTCCGGCCACTCTCCCACTCTCCTACGCGTTCCCGCTTTCTTTGACCGCACTCCCGGGGCAGAGTAGATGACCGACGGGACAGTAAGCAGCGTGCAGTGAGGTAAAGAAGCTGTCTTCGTGTGCCGCAGACAAAGGCTTCCGTCCCGTATCTTGGTACCGCGCCTTAGTTACCTGTATGCATCTAGTACCGACTGTACCGTATTGCCAAGCATTATCTCCACGCCGATGACATCGCTCGGGCTTGCATGGCATGTTACATCCATGCACGGGTCATGATTTCAGTCTTGACAAAGTGACGCTATTTCCACTGCCTCCTCGATTGCACTTCGGGCTACCTCTCTACATGCTTCTAGGGGTAACTATATGTATTTATTGTACCAGACGGCAGTCTCAGGATCCTCCTAGAATACTTGCTGCTCTCTGCCCTGCACATAGACGACGGGTCCTGCGTACACGTGTCGTCCTTGCACGAAGTAGAAGACAAGTGCGATAGCCAACACGCCGCTAAACATGACAATCGCGTAGTTCATGCTCTGCGACGATACGGGCGTCGTCACTGGAAAGCAGACCCAGATCATAGCAAAGCAGCTGTACACGAACGCAAAGAGGTTGATGGGCAGACCGAACTTGCCGAGCGACCATCTGGATCGTGGGAGCTCTTGGCCACGGAAGCGCTTCAGAGTGACGGATCCAATGGAGATGGCATAGGTCGACATGAGGGCGAGCAATTGCAGGGAGATGATGGCGTTGCTAGAGGAGATGGTCAGCTCAGTATCGGAGTGGTCATATGCATTCCAACTCACAAAGCGATCGTGCTGCCCAGATTAATGAGACTGAGCAGAATTGTGAATGCATAAGTCACCAAGACGGCATTCAGCGGAATCATCAACTTCGGGTGCACAGTTCCAATCCACTGGTAGCCCGGCAGTCCTTTGTCTCGAGCAAATGCGAATGTCTGTCTGGAAGTGGAGGCAAAAAAAGATGTCGCGCCTGCCAGACCAAGAACAATGATGACGGATGTTAAGCCCACGGCGCCGCCAGTCGATCCTGTGCCGGACTGGAAGACGTAGATGTAAGGAAAGCCGCTGCGGCTACTCAGAGCTGCCTCCACATTCGTCAAGCAGAAGCAGTAAGTGATCAGCATCACAAAACCCATCGATCCATTCAAGAGATATGACCATATCATGCAGCGTGGGACCTGAATGGCAAAGTGAAAAGGTAAGCAGATGCCCCTCCTGAAGTGAGACATGCTCTCCAGCAGCCCTTCCTTTACTTACAATGACAGAAGCATCTTTCGTTTCCTCCGCCATGTGGGCGGCGCCATCAGATCCAATGAGGCCATAGATGGAGGTGACTTGTCCTACCAGCATAGATAGACCGGTACTGGACCAGCCGCCGCTGTTATCAAAGGTGAAGAACACATCATCCGCGGTGTTCTTCGGACTAAGCACCCAGAGAACAACAATCACTGTAGCGAATCCGAACACGTGCAGGACGAGGATAATGCCCTCGATCAGTGGGAGCTGCTTCGCGCCCCAGGTGTTGAGAAGAAGACCCATCGTCACCATCAGTATGACAAGTAGGTAGCCCTGGTATGGTTTTGGCTCGTAGCTATCATGGGTGATGGCAATCAGGCCCTGGATTTGGGTCCCAAGCAAGAACATGCCCGAACAAGTGCCGCACTGCCACGATAGTGTCGACATCCATCCAGCGATATACGATATGAGCTTCTGTTGGCTGCGAGGAGCGAACTCAGACGCCCAGTCTGCTCATCTTGTCAACAGTGCAAAGAAGAAACTGCAAAGCACACAGACTCACGATATTGTCCGCCAGCCGTGGGCGCCATGCTTGAGAGTTCCGCCAAACTCAGGACTATCGTACCAAAGCACAAAAATGACCCGACGAACATCCTGGATAGTAGCAGAGGGTCAAAGGTCAGCAAACGTGTTTCAGAATTGATGAATCCCGCTGAAATATGACCAGTTCCTCACCAGATCATCCCACCGGTACCACCATTCGTCAGACCAGCAGCTGTTGCAGAGAGGGTGACCTCCCATGTCCCCATAGCAATGGCGACGAAACCCAGGATACTGGTAAACCGGAAGTTCCTCCGCAACTCTTGACGTTTTCCAAGACGTCGCATATCCTGCTGATCGGCATAGGAAGATCCAATACCAGAATATGGCTCTCCCGTGTCGTCGTCGTCGTCATGACCGCGCTGTATTGTAACCTGATCCCCCTTGCCTTTGAGTTCATAATCCACAGCTGAGGACGCCATTATTGCGGTAGCAAGTGCTCCCTATTGGGAAGACAGACGACCAAAAAAAGTGGCAATGAAAGGGGTAGGTGGGGTCGCAGAATCTCGAAAGTGATGTTGTCGAAAAAAAAAAAATTAAACCCTTATTACCGTCCTCTTTCTGCCATTCAGGCATTCACTGCAGTGCGGGTCACCTGATCGCATGATTCGCATCGTGCATATCGTATCTGTCTCATCAATCTCACAATCTATCTCGCTTATAAGGTCGAGATGGTTATATGAAGGTGAAGCACCAGGCCAGGGTAAAGGTGTCCGCAACGGACTCGCCAACTCGCCATGATCACGGCTTAACATCGATAAGGATCCTGGGCACACGATGGTTGCCGCTGGGTCCCCGAGACCGGTTGATGTATGGGAGAACCATTTGGTTTTCACTAATCATCCTGGTCAATTCAGGCCCAACCCTGGTTGGGGCTCGTATGATAGGTGCTGCACCCCCGACTCCCACTCCACTTCGCGTAATTCGATGCCATGAGTGAATGAATTAGTAGCCCCAAGTGCGGTTTCTCCTCCAGCCTAATAGTAGTCTGAAGCGGTATCACGTTTTACGAGAGAGCTTACGGATGATGGACTGTACCGTATCCTCTCTCCAATCGACGCTTTGTTTTATCTATCGTAGTAGTAAGTATGTGCCAGGCTCGGCAGTGGTAGCGAGGAATTAATGTAGCTGGTTGTTTGCCGTTTTCTTTTTTGGGGGGCTCACGAAAGACATTTTTTGATATTTTTTTTTTCGTTGTCCAGACTCTGGCGGAAAGAGAGAGCGACCCCGGCCCCAAATGTGTTGCACACCGACGAATCCCCAGCGACTGTGAGCAAGTATTGAATAACCGGAAAGAAGAAGAAGAAGAAATACATCCAACCCAACAACCGCATTGGACGAAGACAGGGGAATATAGAAAATCCCAATAGAAAAATGGAAGGTGATTCGGAAACGAGCGCCGAATGGAGCACAGCCATCTCCGACCGCGAACGCGGGCCCTTGGTGACCATCACGGCCTGTCTGATGCTGGTGGCCATGTTCTTCTTTCTCGCCTTTCGCATGACGATCCGGTGGCCCTGGAGGAAGCTGTTGGGCTTCGATGACTTGGTGGTGGTGCTGGGAAGTCTGGTGGCGACGGGGCAGGCGGTGGCGGTGTTTCGAGCGATTCACTTTGGTTTGGGTCAGCATCGAGAGGATTTGGGGTCGGAGGATATAGGAAGGTTGAAACATGTGAGTTTTGTTCGGTTTCGCTCTTTCCCTCTCTTTCTGCAGGTGCGCAAGGAATAAGAAGAAGAGTAAGAGCCACCGGCCATGTACACCTTCGTTCTTTCCTCCAAGTTATTATCATAATGTAAGGTACCTGACCTGTACCTTCCACCTGCTGACCATCATCTACCCGAGCCAGGCAGCCTTGGCAAGCGATATCCTCTCCGTCATTGCTCTCACCTGCTCGAAACTTGCCGTGTCTCTCCTGATCCTACGACTATCCACCTTCAAGCGACATGTCCTTGCCGCGCGAATCATCACCGTGTTGATTTGTATCTGGGGCGTCATCGCCACCACTTCTTCCTCTATCAGCTCTACATCGAACGTGAAAGCGAGAAAAGATGGCTGGATTGGCGTGGGAGCCTACAGCGTTGTTTTGGAGGTGAGTCTCTTCTTTCTACCTGTCTTTCTGAGAAAAAGAAAACCCCCCAGGCTGGCCCATGATGAGTTATTCATCCATCCATCCATCCATTCCCTTGGCATCATCCCCCCCAAAGAAAGAAAAAGAGGAATAAGAAAAGAAAAGGAAAAAGAGAACTAACCTCCACCCTCCATCACCCCCAACACCAGACCTCCCTCTTCCTCCTCCCCATCTACCTCGTCTGGTCCCTCCAAATGCGCCTCTCTGCCAAACTCACCATCATCCTCGGCTTCGCCTTCCGCATCCCTGCCAGCGCCCTGGCCTTGGCTCGAGTGCTCGCTGTCGCCAAAATGCTCTCGATCGAAGCCTCCCAAAGCGGGTCTACCCTCGACCTTCCCTGGGACTTCGTCAGGCCGACGATTTTCGCCATCATCGAAGTGAATTACTCGTTAATGGCGGCGACAATACCCTGCATGCACCTGTTTTTGCGACAGTTTAGTACCGGGTATTTGGGCACGACTTTGCAGCAGGTGGAACCGTCGATCGGTGGGGGGACGGGGCAGTTTAGTAGTACGGGTACGATGAAGGGAGCCAGTGGGAGTGGGAGTGATTCGTATATTTTGAGTAGTATGAGGAGTTCGCATACGAGGCACACGATTACGAGGACGAGGAGAGAGAGTCATATTAATAAGCATGGTGCACGCGAGACGACGCGACAGAGAAGTGGGTCCGGAGACGAGGACTTGTTGAAGAGGAATGATGGGAATACGACGACGACGTGCGTGATTCATCCAGATCAGATTACGACGGAGGGAGATGGAGAGAGTCGGGTGAGTGTGATGAGTAGTGGGAGTGATGGGATTGTGGTGCGGCAGACGGTCGAGGTGAAATGGGAGGAGGATGCGCCGAGGGCGGCGGAGCGGGCGCTGTTGCAACGCTAGGACTAGGAGGTATGTACAACGACGTAAGACGAACAACGACGAAAGACAGAAAGAAACAAGGGAAGTATGTACATGTAGAACAGACAGACGACCTATGCAGCAGTACCAAACCAAAAAAAAGGAAAAAAGAAGTGTACACAATTGTTTCTTTGCTACAAACTATTTTCTTTTACTGTCTAGCAGTAATAATCAAGCAGCAAACCAGCATTCACTTATCTTCGCGCGCGCGCTCATATTCAAAGCACGGCCGAGACCTCTACCCTGCCATAGTGTATAAGCCAGTTATACACAAACAGGTAGACATAGTAGAATGATCACTATGGTTCTGACCAGCATATATCCATCCATCCCACACATGGAAAGCCATGGAAGGTCTGCCAGTCAAGGCGACCCCATCTGCTCCCCATGACACACGCAGAGAAAAAAAAAGGACAACAATTCCAGAAACAGACGACGAACCACTCGAAGCAGGTCTACCTCCTCCAGACTAGCTATCGGAAACAAGCTTCGGAGTCTCAGCGCGTACCACAGGTTGGCGCTGGTCGAGTAACGAACTGAATCGCACTCCAGAAAATCTCGGGTTGTGTGGTTTCTGGGAATTTATTGTCCGTTCCCCTTTTTCGTGATGTTGTTTGTGGCAAGGTAGAGTACAGCCGGTCATATTAGGCGAGGCTCGAGACATGTCCAATGCTCGGGCGCTCAGGAAAAGAAAAATAGCCTGTCGTCAAGACAAAGTCCATCGATCACCAGTATCGACGTGCTTCCTCGGCGAGCAGATCATCGCGAGCCGTCATCACCACACCGTATCCGCTGACTGCACACCGCTTGCGCGATGTCATGTCCGGAGTGTACGATGGGCTTCCGGGCTTTGCAATGTCCGCAACGGCATGAAAAGAGAATCGAAAGTCGAATAGAGTCGAAAATCGCGGCATTCCAGATGTCGTCACAATCGTGTACGCGTCGCAGAAGTAGAGGGGAAAGTCCAGTTCCATGGTCCCATTGCACCCATCCAGCCCTTTCCAACATGCATTCATTTCACCCATAGCCCTTCCTCCTGGGTTGACCGTGAGGTCTATGCTACCCTCTTTGCAGTGCATGCCTCCCGAGATAAAATGCTGGTCCCACCGGTCATCCGATGGCCAACCCCCAAAAAAAGAAAAGATAAGAAACGGAAAGAAACAGAAAGACTCGAAAACAGGTCGCTCGCTTGCTAAGGTGCCAGATCTCAAAGAATGAAACAATTCGCTTGCATATACGCCGTTCACATGGCTTGTTGTTGTTGGTGGTGATGATGGTATCTCGTTGATGATCAACATCGGGTATCGTTTATATCGCATCGCATTAGGTGTAAATCGTGGGTCGCGTGTCGAGAAGTCCTGTGCGCATCAGGCTTCGGGAGTAGTGACATGATTCCGGATGTGGCCGCAATGCCCGATAGACTCTGGTCGTGGATGCAAACGTGAGAGCTCAGACAGCGGTGGCGTACTGGGTCTGCATGAAGCCTCCGTGATTGTAGCCAAAGTCGCCATAGCCATAGCCCATGTCCGAGCCACAGTGTAGGGGAAATGGATTCGAGACGGGGACGGGCGCGATTGGCTCCGGCGAGCTGTAGTACTGCGATGGCGCCGACGTGTACGGCTGGCTGAAAGACGGTGTCGGAGACGGCAGCTGCACGTTGCTCATCGACATATCTTGCCAGAAAACATTCGACTGGTTGTCACTACATGGCGTCGCCGTAGGAGAAGGGGTCGACATGAGCACTTTCCACGAATCGACAGGCGATGGGAGCGTTTGGAGCGGCAGTTGTTGAGGGCCTTGGGGCGCCCACCATCCACCTGATATCGGCACCGCGGGGACCATCGGAGCGGGATGAATGACATCCACGATCCGTGGAGGAGGTGGCAGTAGTGGAGCAAACATGTTCATGATGGCGCTCTGGACTTCCACTGATCGGCCGTCCAGAAGCTCGCCGGCTCCGTCTTCCTCCATACCCTCGAGAGCGCGGACTCCCGTGCGGAACACGAATCTGTTCGCGGCCTGGACGAATTCGTCTTGCATCTTCTTGACTTGCGCTTCCTTCTCGGGCCAGCTCCAGGTGCTCGCTGCCGAGTCTACCGAGTAGATGTCCTTGTGATATTCGATCAGTGCGTCAATGGTCTCGGGGGTCAGCTTGAAGGCCACTTCGTGCTGTGAAACCATGTCGACGTGGACCACGTAGGCTTCAATGTGAAGCAGCTGGAAGTTGAACAAAGCTTCCACCAGCGGGTCATCGTCTTTGCGCAGCTCTGAATCGGGCGCTTTGGGAAGCATCAGCGATGCCAGCGACCATATGGCAGAGGAGCCTCCCAGGGTTTCGGTCAGACATCGAAAATGCTGTGGTACACTGTTGAGGGGTCGCTTGATGCGATTGATACGCTTCAACGTTTGCGTTAGCCACGGCTCGACTTTGGTGTTGAGAACGATTTCAGGGCCGGATCGAGGTGCGAATGCGGCGGCCGAGGCCGGCAGTAATTGTACGGGCATCGCTGGATGTGGTGATTGATATGTGCTCGACCTTCCTGTTCCTGACAGTGATGGGTGATGATGATGTAAGCGATGTTGTGTATTGCGATGTGCGATTTGCGAGCAACAAGAGGAAGTGATACAAGGTGAACGACGTGATATGGGGTTCAAACGAGTCGCAACGATTCAATTAGACAGCGTGCCCTGGGGAAAGAAGAATGAAAGTAGAAGGGCGGATGGCTATGAGCCAATAGGCGGGCAGGAGGGCGAGGTGAGTGAGAGGGCGCAGTGAGTGGTTGCGCGGGGTGGCCAGGCTTTTAGTAGTATCTGAGGGAACCCACACTAAACTCAGCCTCTTTTCCGTGGCCAGTTGCATACACACCTACCAGTACCACCTAGCATCGTGCATATCGGAGGTAGCTCTGCAGCATGCATTAGCTTGAGCTTCTTCGCATGCTCATCACGTTTGTCCTCGTCGCGTTCCTCCGAGATGGAACAGATAGTCAGTACCTACCTACATGTACTGTACCTAAGGTGGGTAGTAGTAGTCTAGTAGAAGTGAAAGTGGTTGAGTAGGTAGAGAGGTGATGGCGGTAGTATCGCCTACCGCGGCGCATTCGGTACGAGAATGCGACACTAGATACCTAGAGGCAACGCGTTGTCATTTTCGGTACTATGGGGATCTTCTCGCGATGGCGGATGTGCAGTACCTTCTAGGTTCTGTTCTGTTGTCTTCCAGTGTGGCATTGCAAAGGCGGTTTGTTCGGCCGTGCACATATCAGGAATCTGCTCCGACATGCTTTTTGCCCTTGATCCCGTGCTCCGAGGATGCGCAAGTGTCAGCAGGCAAGGCAAGCAGGACGAGAGGGCACTCGCCTTGCTCTCCATACATGATACAGTTGTGAGACGCTGCGAGGCTCACCGTGGTAGACAGGGTGGCAGTCGAAGTTCATCGCAGTGCATCGCAGTGCATCGCCGCGTCGACTGAGCTTCGACGACGGCCAGTCGAGCTGGGCCCGGCTCGTCGTGCTCCTCCGTCCCTCAGTCAGTTCGTTCTGGGAAGGAGATGTGGCTGGTGGGAAGACGGCGCGGCAGAGAGAATGATGTGTTTCAGGGGAGAGGTCGAGTTGGAGCGGGCCAGGCCAGCGAGGCGGAAGCTCTTCCAGACCATCCGGATGGAATGCAGGCGGCAGGCGGCAGGCAGCAGGCAGGAGGCAGTCAGGATGTCGTGAGAGCAAGAGTTGGCACGACTTGATGGTTGGATGTCGCAGAACGGAGGTGCCGAACTACGCACTGGCGGGCCCGTCAGCGGGATGTTCGCTGCACCAATCACCGCTCGGAGCCGTCCTCCTCATCACACAAGCTTTTGGCAGCGTCCACATTCAGAGCAGAAGGAACTTATGGCACATGGAAGGCTGCCGAGTAGCACCAGCGCCTACTCTGACGGCTTACTTTAGGTACCTGAACTACCTTACATGTACATGGACACACAGACATGGAAATGGAATGGACCAGTGCCCGTGCCGACTCCTGCTGGCGACGTCAGTGTTGGTGGAAAGGGAGAGATCTCAAGAATAACCAGTGCATATCTCTACTCTTCCCAGGAGGGCCACGCGGACGGCGTCACGTGAGACAGCACATGCATGAAGTATCTAGCCTTAGTCTGTGGCGGTGTTGTGAGGCGTCGGTGGGGCCGAGTCTACATGTATTACTGTAGAGTACATACATGTAGGTGGTAGAGCAGAGTACATAGAGTGCGCAATGCAGAGTTGCAGACATGATTATGCCGTATGTACAGCAGACTCAGCAGTGCAGTAGTGGTAAAGGTACTAAGGTCAGTGAGGTATGGATTGCCATGCTATGCCATGATTGCCATCGTCATGATTATTGCCATGCCGTGTACCAGATCTCCCATGCCCTGTAGGGCAACATCGCATACTCACGGCTACTACCTCCTAAGCTGGAGGTAGAGTATCATTTGCAGGCCATACCGACATGTACCCTTTGATGATACACAACAATAGTACAAACCATGTGATCACTGCCATGTGAGATGGACGGTCATGGACCCGAGACACCACTAGAACCATGTACCACTCCTGGCAACGCGTGCAGGAGGATGCGAGCTGAAGGGCTCCACTCTCCACTCTCCGCTCTACTGGTCATTGTGGTTTAATAAGTACTGCACTGTTATAATATACCATTCTGGATCATCTCACTCATCCATATGCATCTCCCTCCAGCACCGTCGTCGTTGTACTCAACCGCATGTCATCCGTCTTCATCGACACATGTACATCATTATAGCACTCGTCGTGGTCGTCGCCGTGCAGTATGGATGACTACATCTTCCGAGTGGAGAGCATGCTTCCTCCGACACACCGAACCTTCAGCCACGTGATATTCTATCAGGTATTCAGGTTGCGACGGGAGATCTAGGCCTGGCTGGCGCACTGCGTGTACAGGCATCAGACTGCGACTCCAATGCTTCTACTGCCCACTGCGTTTCACAGCTGCACTATCTGCATACCACCACACGCACAACTGTATCCTCTCTCTCTCCCTCTCGCTCGCTCTCGTGTGACTCATCGGCATCAATCATCCGCCCACACGCCCGAAACATCAACCACCACAATAACAACACCGATAAGAACAACAACACCAACACTAGGTATCATGCGAGCAGTGACCATCCTGGAAAAACTCTCAACAACGCCGCAGCAGCATCCAGACTGCTGCTGTTCTCTTTCCCTCACCTTGCTCGACATCTTGATCGGGGAATTATTGCCGTGCCAGCACGCACCGATCTTCAGCGTACGTAGCATCCCATAACATGGCGCAAGAAGCAAATAATGTAGTAGAGCACATGTAAGGTACCTATCTCGCGTGCCGTGCTCTTTTCGGCAAAAAGTTGCCGGTCGAGCGCTGTTCAGTGTCGGAGAAGGAAGAGAATCGTCGGTCTCATTATCGTTTGTTGCTCGCTTCTCCGACTATTCACCCCCCCATTCCCACATGCATCCATTCCTTTCATTCACTCTGCAAGCATGATTGCTGGAGAAAGTGGAAGCTCTGCATGCAAACCTGCAGTCTTCACTGGCTGCGCTGCTTCGCTGTGGCCTCATTATTTCACACGATTGGCTTGGCTTGGCTTATTACCTTAATTCGCCTCGGCCGCTTTCCCCTCAACCTCATGTCGGATACACTAGCCTATTGCAGTAGGTACTGATCAGATCTCAGTGCGGAGCGGGGACGGGTCTTCTGGAGCAACTGATAATGGACCGAAGCCACGGCAGCATCGATATATACGGTGTAGAGGTCCCGTCATGCGTGAACAAATACTTGTCCGACGAGCGCATGCTGCGTGTTCACCACGACCGAGAAGTGCATGAGAGCGCTCTGCGGGCAGCAGTGTTGATATTCTGTTATCCCCGGAGTCTCCTCCTTGTGGAACGATACCTGTACAGGTACCTCCTGTCCCTCCTCTCCACCACTGTCGTCACTCGGACTCCGACCCTGCAGAAACTGATCGTGCTGACACACCGCGACGATTATCCGAGTCTGCGGGCCCTACTTGTCCCCTTCTTCGACCAGCTCTCCATCGTGTCCAACAGCGGACTTCCCGACTTTGAGGTCTTGGCCGTAGCGACACACATGAAGAAGAAAGAAGAAGAAGAAGAAAAAGAAGAAGAAGGTGTTGTTGCTTCCTGAGGCTGCTGCACCTGGAAAGCCGTGTACCTAGCGTGAGGTGTGCCGACCTGCTCTAGATTGTGAATGAAGCGTGTTCCCGTCAACCGTCGGTACTAAGGTATACTACCCACCGCAGTGCCACGCCACACCTGCACGCCGACACTCGTGCAGACGTGCACGCCTTTTCTTAAAGCAAACGGGGCGCCCTACCACCTGGAACTTCCGACACACATATACCGATTATGGCCACCTCACCAGTGGTACCCGCCAAGAACATCCGGAGAGTGTCTCACTTGCGAACTGTGGTCGATGATGCAACTGCGGGGGACGACATTTCCGACGATCTGATTGACGTCTGGGAGCACGCCGTCACGTTATACCAAGCGTATGAGTGGCAAGATGCGGTACGTGGGAAGAGCAGTCGCTGGACGAAGAGTTCCGAGAGAAAAGGAAACTGTTGACTGACCGGTTCCAGGCCGAGAGCTTCCTATATCTATCACGAGTGATTGAGCACGAAGTGGCGAGTACAGCATGTCTGATCAATTCGGCGGTTATCTTTGCCAGGCTTGGAGACTATGCTACGGCATCGCACATTCTCGACGACGCCATGCCCGTGGGTGAGCTTCTTGCTCTCACTCTCTTCATCACAGCGCACGTTGAGATTCAGCTGGGAGAGTGGCAGAAAGCCGAGGACTGCTTCACTGTTGCTGTTTCTGCTATGGAGGCACCCGTCCACGATTATCGCCGATTTGGCCTCACCTTTGCACTGCAAAGATTCCAAATTCAAAACGATCTCAACATGTTATGGCAAGGCAATTTTGAAGTGAGCATATTGCCAGCTTTGCCGGCTGAATGCATATTTGAGGCGCCGGACCGATACTTCAACACTCCAGCACAGTCCTCCAAGCGCAGTAGCTCCCTCGACAGCGCCCGCTTTCCTGCTTTGTCGGAGGGCGGTTCCTCGCCTCCCCATTCACCTGCATCGCCAATCATAAGGTCGATCAAATACAGCCAAGACGCTCTGACCTGGCACGGTGAGGAATACGACGAGGAGGTCCTGCCCGTGCAGAGTAGCGAGACCAAGTATGCGATCTCCTTGCCAACGGAAGACGCGGTTTCTCCAGTACCTTATCGAAAGCCGAGCGCAATCAAAGTGCTAGGTAGTTTGAGACGCAAGCTCTCGACACGGACCAGTACATCGAGCCCAGCGAAGCCAGTCGACACGAAAACGACCCAAAAGGCTTTGCTACCGCGAGATCCCAGAAGACAGGATGAGTCTATCAACGAGCTCGCTGGTTTCATAACAGATCTTCCTCGTACTGACCAGATGGCTCCTCGTGGGATCGAGTCGGAATGTGGTAATGTGGACGAGCTCTTAGATTTCTTCCGACTCGGGCCAGAGCCACAGCCGATTGCAATGGAACAGAGATATGCACCTGGTTCTGCGAGTAGCTCACTGTATTCTTGCGACCAGAGCGCCGACAGTATTCGATCTTCCCATCTGGCATGGGAAAGCACATCTCGGCCACCATCTCCACCATATCGATATCGCCCTGACGAGCTGGGACTCTATCTGACTCAAGGACCAGAAGCTGGCTTACCGTCTTCAAGTCCTCCACCTCTCGAGAGAGAGTTAGAGGTCACATCCTACCTTCCCCATACGACTTCGCAGCAGCCTCATGATGACTCGACCAATGAGAATCTTCATTCCCCAGAAGCCGACTTGAGTAACAAACCCAGCTGGTCATCGGCCGCGGAAGCTCCATCCCTTCCATCTAGCCAAAGCAACAACAACAACAACAACAACAACAACATCCCACCACCAACGAATCCCACTGCGATAGAAGAACCCCAGATCCCCTCCCGAAAGTCCTCTCTGCTCCGAACAAAGTTCTCCCTTCACCGCCCATCCTCGTCCTCGAGAGCCTCACGGCGAAGCTCCAAAAAGCCAGCAGCAGCAGCAGCAGTGCCTTCTCCTCCTACTCCTTCAGTCCCCACGAATAAAAAGTCCCCCAACAAGACAATTGGCCAATTTACCAAGGCCGTGTTGGAATTTGGAGCCTTTTGATTTTTGATTTTTTCTTTTCTTCTAGCGATGATACCACCTTTTTTTTTCTGCGGGCTGATGATAGAAAGTCCGAGACGGGAATTGGCACTGCACTGGACTGGACTGGCTTCAGGGAATCATATATGGGTGGATTCTCATCAATCTGTTATGCTATGGCATGCTATGTGAACTACCAGAGTTGGGATTGGATGAGATCGGATTGCATTGGGATTGCATGCGATACGATACGATACGACACGATACGACACAGTACATGTATGTATGTATAAATATCTATGAATGAATGAATGAATGATTACGAATCATCTCACCTACCTATCTATGTACCTGATCCTCTCCAAATGGATTCATTGCAAGTGCTGCCCAAGCAGAAGAAGAAGAAAAGAAAGCAGAAGAAGAAGAAGAAGAAGAGATCAAGGGCTACCAAACTAACCCTTTCCTACAATCCAGCGACGTCTTTTTCTTCACTAGACGCCGAACTCTTTCCCACTCCTGGTCACCATGTAAATGTACAACTGGGGAGGATCACACGAGTATGGAATTGGACTTCTTCTATTCACGAGGCATAGCATATGTACTGCTCTGGTCGCCTTCGTTGTCTGAGACGCCCTGCCTACCAAATCCTCTATTGAGCTCAGAGCACAGTCGACTAGTCGAAGTTGTGAGGGTTTGGTATGACGGTCATTGGAGATACTCGAGTTCCTCCTTTGCATCCCTGCCTGTACCCCGGGGCTAAAGCTGCCCAGAAGACGGCGAGGGGTAGGAACATGGTCTATGTAACATCAGAGTCTGCCATTGTTGCTCTCGGCCTGGGTTTCCAGGACCTCGATCAATCCCCCCACTAGGTGTAGGCTGCCTGTCGCCAAGACTTCAGTCCGTTCTCCATCTGCAATCTCTCGTGCCTTGTTCACGGCCTCTTCGATGGTGCTGACCACGTGAACATGTGCCTCAGGATCGATAGCGTCCCAGGTTTTGGCCAATTCATGTTGCACCCGCAGGTTGCTTACGTCGTCCTTGTTGGTGTTGATCGACACCAAGTCGGCTTTGTACCCGGCATTTCTATATGTCATGTTCGGACAGAATATTACGTGCTCGAATGGCCGTCCATTGCTCAGGGCGATGGCCAAGGTCTCGTGTAGACGCCGGGCCAGTGGAGCGGCATCGCGGGTCTGTTGGTTGAAGACGAGCACCCGGCGCGCTTCACTTCCCTCACAGCTTGCTAGTTTGGACACGAACCATCGAGCTGCCACGTCAATACTCTCCAGAGTATGACCGCCATCGATGTACCACGTCACATTGGGCGACGTGGTATCAGACCTTCGATCGCAGCGTCCACCTAGCCGCGTATCTCGCAAAGCCTCGATGAATTCGTCCGGGAGTGAAGCGTGAGGATCGTAAGGGTCAGGCACATTGCTGAAGCCTAGGCGGGCGAGATGAAGTGCTGAGATAGCTACCGCCAACGACGCATTCAACGTCTGGAAGTGGCCTTGCAGGCCCAGTTCCATTCCGGCGACAGCAGAGTGCACTGGAACCACATACAACTCTGTCTGGCGCTCCTTGGCCCGCTGGTGGAGCACTTCCAATGCTTCTGCAGGTTGCTCCACGGTGAAAGCTGGCACATCTGGTTTGAAGATTCCTGCCTTGTGCCATGCAATCTGTTCGATGGTATTGCCGAGCATCACCTCGTGGTCGATGCCTAGGCTGGTCACGCCGGTCACTGCAGGCTTGATCAAAATATTCGTTGAGTCGTACTCACCGCCAATACCACACTCAATCACTGCAGTACCGACCTGCTGCTGCAGATAGCAGTGTAGCGCCATCAAGGTGAGGTAGCGGAAGTATACAGGCTTGCTATCTGTGCCTCGTGCACTATCCTCGACCGCAGACGCCTTGGTCGCTTCGAGCCTGTCCCACACCTCCCAGAAGCATTCTGCAAATAGCTCCTCCGATATAGGCTCGTTGTCAATTTTGATGCGCTCTCGCACAAAGCGCAGATGCGGCGAAGTGTACAGTCCTACCGTCGACGGTATGCGCTCGGCATCAATGCTCTTCTTGGACGGGAGATAACGAGTCAATATCGACGAGATGAACGACGACGTGGAGCCCTTGCCCTTGGTGCCAGCAATGTGGATGGGGTTGAGGGTGTCGAATTCGGCGGGCTAGACCTGCAGTCAGAAGAGCGGACGACCAACATCATTCGCGGCACCGCACCGCACCTCACGGTGTTTCCGCCCACCTCATGTCCGATGCGTTGCACCCACGACAGCATCTCAGGAATCGCACGCGAATTCTTCGTAGGGCCGGCTTTCCTGAGGGCCTCGACAATCGAGAAGTTGCTCTGTAGGCCATTGAGCGCTGCCACGGCCGCATTGTAGTCGCGGCCGGTGGTGGTGGTGCTGGCGGTGGCGGCGGTGGTAGTGGTGATGTTCCTACTACCAGTCCTGTATGCTCGCTGCACCGCCAGCAGTGCGCGGCGACCACACGGGCGACACGGCGTCAACATGTCGCGACAACGGGAGGTGTTGATGAAGCTGTTTCCTCAGTGATGAATAATGATGACTACTAGGAGGTATGATCTTGGCTCCTGCCTCAGGCTTCTAGAATGGCGCGCCACTTAACGCGTCCCGTCGCGTCTCAACTTCCAGTCCGACTAACTTCCGTCCATCGACGGATTGATACAGACTTGATCGGTGACACTCTTCTGCACACGCGTCTCTTCCAGCATTTTCACCTCCATTTCTCGTCCGTAGCAATGGCACGGGGCGGCCAGAATGAGGCGTCGACGCCACGACCTCCTCCCAGCCTGAAGAAGAGCACGAGTACTGCCTCCAGCACGGGAAAGGCTAAGCAGCAGAGCATTGCCGGCTTCTTCCAAAAGCGTACCGGACCAGCTCCGCCAGCCAGCACTCCAGCGAAGCGCGCGGCAGACTTGAACGCGCCCACGCCGGTGGGAGCATCAAGCTCGATTGGCGCCGGATCGAGCCCTCGCACACTGCCCGGAGCATCGCAGAGCTCGGCCATCAATGGCTCTGGCAAGGAGAATGGTGAGTATCGAACATCATCACGAGGCATAGTGCTGGCTGACAGGCTGATAGAATCACCAGCAACCCTCTACTCCAGCCCTTCACGCAGGGCAAAGAAACAGGTCAGCTATGCCGAGTCCGAAGACGAAGACGATGCACCTTTCAGGCCTCTGTCAGGCAATGGCCGTGCTAGCAAACGTCGACGTATCAGTGCCAAATTGGACGATTCTGAGGATGAATTTGGGCTTGATCTCGCAACGCAAACGGCAATGCTTCAAAGTGACGATGGTATGTCTGCTGCTCCATCTATTTGTGATTCACTTACCATACGTCGAAGTACCTTCGTATATGGCGGCAAAAGCGTCCGAAGCGCAAGCTAATTCTTCCATGATAGAGATGGACGACTTTGTCGTTGACGACGACCTGGATGATAATGTCAAGCTACCAAAGGCGCGAAAGAAGACAGTTGCCAAGTCGTCCACGCATACACCTGCCGGTAGTGCATCCAGGAATGTGTCGCCACCACCTTTGCCAGTGGAGGAGAGTGAGGAGATTCCTACTACGTCTACTGCAACACAGTGGACCCATGACCCAGATGCTCCACGACCGACTGAGCCCCGCAAGCTGCCTCCCATGAAGAAGTCAACAGCAGGAGCGGCCAGAAAGCAGAAGGCGCATGTCACTGAACCGTCTGATCGCTATCCATGGCTAGCAGAGATACACGACGCGGACAGGAATCCGCCAGATCATCCAGATTATGATCCGCGCACAATCTACATCCCACCCATGGCTTGGAACAAGTTCTCGGCCTTTGAGAAGCAGTACTGGGAAATCAAGCAGAAGTTTTGGGACACCATCGTATTCTTCAAAAAGGGCAAGTTCTACGAGCTGTACGAAAACGATGCCACCATCGGACATCAGCTTTTTGATCTGAAGCTCACAGACCGAGTCAACATGCGCATGGTGGGCGTGCCGGAGGCTAGTCTGGATCATTGGGCAAATCAGTTTGTGGCAAAGGGCTTCAAGATTGCTCGGGTCGACCAAATGGAAAGCAAACTCGGCAAAGATATGCGGGAACGTAGTGATGACAACAAGAAAGCAAAGAAGGAAGAGAAAATCATTCGCAGGGAGTTGGCATCTGTGCTGACCGCAGGAACACTTGTCGAGGGTAGCATGCTCACAGATGATCTCGCCACATACTGTGCTGCCATCAAGGAATCAGAGGTCGACGGCAAGCCCAACTTTGGCATTGCATTCGTCGACACGGCGACTGCCCAGTTCCAGTTGGCCGAGTGGGTCGACGATGTTGACATGACGCGTTTTGAGACATTCGTTGCTCAGATACGACCTGGTGAACTCCTTCTTGAGAAGGGCTGCATTTCGGCCAAGGCCATGAGGATTCTGAAGAACAATACCTCCCCGACGGCCATCTGGAATTATCTGAAGCCTGACAAGGAGTTTTTGACAGCTGACAAGACTCGCATGAAGATCAATGGTGAAGCGTACTTCGAGACGTCGGACGAGGATGAGTCTGCTGATAACTGGCCGAAAGTGCTGAGCGAGGCCAAGGACAAGGATCTCGTCTTCTCTGCACTCGGTGCTCTTACATGGTATTTGAGCCTGCTCAAGATTGAGCGCGACCTGATCACATGTGGCAACTTTTCCTGGTACGATCCGATCCGCAAGGCATCGAGTCTAGTACTCGATGGTCAGAGTCTGATCAATCTGGAGATTTTTGCCAATACTTTCGATGGCAGCACAGAGGGCACGCTGTTCACAATGCTCAATCGATGCATCACACCTTTCGGCAAGCGAATGTTGCGGCAATGGGTGTGCCATCCGCTCGCGGACGCAAGAAAGATCAACCAACGCCTCGATGCTGTCGATGCCCTCAACGCAGATGGAACTGTCATGGACCGTTTCACATCTTCCCTGTCCAAACTGCCTGATCTTGAGCGACTCATCTCCCGTGTGCATGCTGGACGTTGCAAGCCTCAAGACTTTGTCAAAGTGCTTCAAGGCTTCGAGCAAATCGAATACACTATGTCGTTACTGAGAAAGTTCGGGGAGGGAGAGGGTCTTCTTGGGCAGCTCATCTCGGCGATGCCGGACCTGGCTGGTGCTCTGAAGCACTGGGCAGAGGCATTTGATCGCAAGCAGGCAACGGACGACGGACTTTTTATTCCACAACCCGGAGTCGAGGAAGATTTCGATGAAAGCCAACAACGCATCGACGATGTCATTCAGCGACTCAATCAGCTTCTCAAGAAGGCACGCAAGGATCTCGACTCGCAGGCCATCAAATTCACTGACAATGGGAAAGAGATTTACCAGCTGGAAATACCGATCAAGGTCAAAGGCAACATCCCAAAGAACTGGAAGCAGATGTCAGCTACAAAGCAATGCAAGCGATGGTATTCACCTGAGCTGGAGTCTCTTGTGCAGGACCTCAAGGAAGCCCAGGAGATGCACGCTCAAGTCGTCAAGGCTCTGGCTGGGCGCTTCTTTGCTCGTTTCGATGAAGACTACGCCACCTGGCTGGCTGCTACCAAGATCATTGCTCAGCTCGACTGCCTGATTTCGCTCGCGAGGGCCTCATCTTCCCTGGGCTCCCCATCATGCAGACCAGAGTTCATCGATGACGAGAATGCTCGGAGCGTCCTTGACTTTCAGATCCTGCGCCACCCATGCATCGAAACCACCACCAACTTCATTCCCAACACCATCTCTCTAGGTGGCGACCAGGCCTCTATCACCCTGCTCACCGGCGCCAATGCAGCTGGCAAGTCAACCATCCTGCGCATGACCTGCGTAGCGGTCATATTGGCACAGATAGGCTGTTATGTACCCTGCGAGTCAGCTCGCCTGACACCAGTCGATCGCATCATGTCTCGTCTCGGAGCCCACGACAACATCTTCGCCGGACAAAGCACCTTTATGGTCGAGCTCAGCGAAACCAAGAAGATCCTCGCCGAAGCCACGCCTCGATCTCTCGTCATCCTGGACGAGCTCGGCCGTGGCACCAGCAGCTACGATGGCGTAGCAGTCGCTCAAGCAGTGCTCCATCACGTTGCCACGCACGTCGGCTCCCTGGGTTACTTTGCCACACACTACCACTCTCTCGCGGCCGAATTTCAGCAGCATCCCGAAGTGGTGGCGAAGCGCATGGCGGTGAAAGTAGACGACGACGTGCGCGATGTGACGTTCCTGTACGAGCTCGAGAACGGCGTTGCCGAGGGGAGCTATGGAATGCATTGTGCTGCCATGTGTGGTATTCCGAAGAAGGTGATTGATCGTGCCGAGGTGGCTGCGCAGAGCTGGGAGCATACTGGCCGAATCAAGGAGAGCCTCGAGAAGGCCCAAGGAAGCGACTGGATGCCGTTGGGTATGCTGAGTGATGTCAGCTGGATGCTCAGAGACTCAAATGAGGATGAGGAAAATGTGGTCAACGAGAGGAGCTTGGAGGTATTGAGGAAGGCAATTGCTGCGTTGTGAGTAAATCCAAGTCTCGCATGCCGGCGTATTCGTTGCGACGTTGCTGGACCATGCATTATTTGTTTCGAGTGGGATGTACAATACGCAGGACTGGGTGGAGTTTGTAGGTAAAGCTTTATTCGCTCTTATGGCTCGGATGACTCGAGTTCTATGATGTACAAATTTAATAGTACAACATCAGACTGCTGAGTCTGTTCAGGTATCGATTTTATTGCAGAGTACTTCTGAAACTTTTGTGCGTGTGCATCATGATCATGACCATGGCTTACCGCTGTCCACTCAATCTCCTTTGCTGAACCTCTGTTAATGCTTGTGATCCACTGATATAAGCCACGACACCCAGAACAGCCGCAGCGCTCAGCGTCGGACCCAGTTTCCAGGAGCTATAGTACAGGAAGAAGACTCCCTCCAAGCCAAACACACTTCCCAGAAAGAGCCCATGGGCTACGGGTGCGGTGCTGAATGCCTTGGTAGCATGACTGACGTTACCACCGAGAGCCAACCACGCCCCCAGCAGGGCGGGCAGTGTTGCAAGGATCGCGAGGGTGAAGAACAGCGATATTACAGTAGGAGGCGACTTGGGCTCGCTCTTGAAAATGTGGTGGATTTCGGGCTTCGCAGTGTACCGCTCAGGCGCTGGTGAGCTTGCCGATATCGAAGGGTCAGGTTGGATGGTGAGGCGGAAGGCTTCGCTACTGTATGGCGCAGAGGAGCCGAAGGAGGCGATCGTAATCGTGGCCCGGACAGGTGATGAGGACGAGAGGAATTGGTGAGGGATATCTTTCGCGGACTGTATATACGTCAGCTTCTGTGACAGAGCCAGAGGCAGCATTGACACGTACAATATCCAATTTGGCCTTGCCAGTGTCCTTCACGCTGAATGCAAATGACTCCTCCAAGCCGGTGCTCTCCTCGTGCAGCGTGAGAAAGGCCTGGTGTGGTCTCTTGCCGCTCTTCGTCTCCTGCGTCGTGAGGAGGACCTTGAGTGCGGCGCCAGCAGGCACCACGACGGGGGCTTTGATCGGAGCATTGGGCGCGAATCTGCAGGCGGCGTGGTTAGCGCTGCGGTGCGGTGCTGGGCGACGACAGCTTCATCTATTGAGGGGGACATGTGTACTTTTGCTTGACAGCTTCAGAACCTTTGGACGATACCGACAACGTCGCCTCGTTGAAGGACCACGACCCGGCTGCCGATGCCGCGGTAGAGAATGCGCACACGATGCAGCCGAGTGTATGTAGCAGCTTCATGGTGGATGGTGTCGATGTTGTGGAAGAGGGACGGCGGAAGAGATCCATTGAGGGAGGTGAATTCAGCGTACAGCTTGCCTTAATCAAGGTTCAGTCTAGCCTAATACGGAAGAGGTGCTTGGAGGACGATTTAATGGCCCCCGGGAGTGCTGCAAACGCAGGTGATGGAGATGGATCCATATAGTGCCACACACGCGACATAGTACTGTTGATATCGACTCGCTGTAGCTTCTTCACTCTCCGAGTCAGGTAATTATGTAGCCGCCACGAATGAAGGACTGATTGACCGACTGATATATGTTCGCCTGTAAGCAATTACAGCCTTTGCTACTTAGGGGAGGAGAGCATTCAGGTTCCCCATCGTCGCAATCAATACGGGTGCTATCTACTACATTGGGCTCGTAGTCATTCACCATGTGTTCAGGAGCATTCCGTGCTCTCGCTATGCGTATCTGATGCTGTATCAAGGTGGACATGAAGCATGTGATGGTGCTGGGGCACGTGTTAAGTGGATCCCCACACTAGCGCCTTTCGCCTTTTGACCCACCTTGCATTTGCTTCCGCCTCGAGTGTTTCGACATTCGTTCACCTTCGACATCGATCCACATGCGGCGACCCAGCTTCAAGTTCACATGCCCCGTCTACCATCAAAAACAAGACCATCCACACGATTTCAAGTGAAAGTAAGCGACTATCGGGGTTATGGCGGCCGCCAGGGCTGAGCGCGCTCTTCAAAAAAGTGAACGACGCACCAGTGCGGCTGCTTTGGAGCTGAGCCAGCCATCTCCAAGCCCAGCAACGACCGACTCGAATGTGCAAGAAGGGCCTCCGCCCGCGAAGAAAGCAAGAGTCTTTAAGCTGCGAGGTCCCAAGCCCCAGGCCGACCAGGTCGAGGCAGACTCGATCGCCGTAAAGCGGCCTAAGAGAGCACGAAAGCTGCCTGCAGCCTTGCGAGATGACCAGTACACGGACTTTGTATCATCCCCTCCTCCGAAGCCAGTGAAGCGGGCGCCGTCTTTAGGCCACTCATCAGGCCTCTCGTCTTTGTCGTCTGCGCCGCCCTCGCCTGCTGGTGAAGACGGTGAATCACGCGAAGAATCACCGTTCCAGGATGAAGCACCTCTTTCAACCCTTGATGGCTACGGCGACTTTGCGTCCTTTTACATACAGGGCGGCGATGAGCCCGAGAAGGAAAAGACGCCAAAACGGGGAAGACCGAAGGCAGAGAATTCTAACGGCAAACGCAAGCGAGCTTCCACATCAAGCAAGCCCCCTCCGAAGGGTGGCACAGAGGCAAATGTAGCCAAGCCCAAGAAGTCTGTGAAGCAGCCAACATCGCGCAGAGCAAGTTCGAGTGCAAAGGTAACGGCAGCGTCAGGCGTTCCTGCTCCAAATTTGCCACAGCAACAATCGAAGATGCCTGAGGCTCCACGACTGCTGCCGCCACGGCCGCCACTGCCTCCGCCGCCGCCGCTGCCTCCTCGCCTGATTCAAGGTCCACAACTGGCTATGCAGCCACAGCACATGCCAAGGCCACCGCCTGTGCCGCACCATGGTCTGTCAACATACCCTCAAATACCGCCGCCATATCCAGGTCGTCATCCACCTCCTGAACCTCCACGTCCACCGCCTCTACCAGCCCCAGCTCCAGTGATTCGGTTCATCGAGGTCCCTGTGGATCCAAAGCCGTCCGAACCTGATACAATAGCTGTCATGATTGACAAGCTGACATCGCTGTCCACAACCCTTAAGCAATTCGGGGGGTTGCCTGCCGGAACATTGAGCCCTCCGCCTGAGTCGAAGGCATCCACCAAGCCGAAGCCAAAGGCCAAAGAGAAGCCGAAACCAGAGCACAAGCCTTCCGCCCAAAACGAGCAACTAGATAGCTTTCTGGACTTCTTCGCAGTGGCTGACGATTCCGATGAATCGGAAGATGCACCAGCACCAACCCCGATCCTCGAGCCTGAGACCAAGGATTTCAACCATGTGCTACCAAACCCGGGTATTGCCGACACGCCGTTGACCCACGGCATAGCATTCATCCAGAATGCGCTCAAGTCGTGGGCGCAGCAGCGCATGACTCATCAGATCATGGCTCAATGGAACGATGGCCAGGCACGAGGTCACTTCCAACCACAGAACAATGGTCGTCGTCAACAAGGCCGGTCGAAGCAGCTTGATGCTCGAACAGGTGGACCCCCTGCAGTGATCGAAATGAATCTGTATGATACACCAGAAGGTCTCGCTATCAGGAAATTCCAGCAAGTTCTCGACTCGGGCTGCTTGCAAGCCAACACGGTCCTGCCAATCGAGCTTGGCCGTGCCCTGCGACACTTGTACATGCAGATTGACAGTCTGATCAACCAGGGTCGCGCTGTTGACCATGGTATACCCTGGCACTGCATGTCATATGGGGCCCAATTCGCAGCTCATCAGATCCGTCTCAGCCAATGGAAGGAAGAAGAGACCAGACGTTTGCAGGACATCGGTCTGATGCAGCACCAGCAGCACCATCAGGTCATGACACCAATGGGTATGAACGTTCACACAACACCGACGGGACACGACGAGGCTCACTACCAGCATGCTCTGGAGCTGGAGAGACAACGAAGCGCGCAACATGCGCAACAGCAAATGTACAGCTCTTCTCAGCAACATCCCAACCCGCTTGAGCTCGGGTCGCAATTACCACCTACTCCTGACGGACCTTTGCCAGCGACTGGGCCTGACCAGCAGATTGCCCCTAATGGAAGTGGCGGTCCAGGAACACCAGACACACCCGACGGCGCGTGTGGCGTTGACGCGAACGGGGTGCCTCCGAGAAATCATCTCGAGAGGATGAAGATGTACATGCCAGGTTTCCTGCCCCGTTCTGGCCAGTCCATGAAGTTTTCCTTTGCGCCACAGTCTGTTGATGCTCTTCGCGCATTCGGCCAACAGGCGTTCCCCGTACAGAGTGCTTTGGGCCCCCAAATGCCCAATCGAGGGCCTATGATGGACGTGCCTCGTCCGCTGAGCAGCACCCCTGCTGTGCAGACATCCGTCGGTGACACATCCATGACTGATGCCGTTCGGAGCCCCAGTGCTAGTAACACGGCGGAAGATGCTATCGACTTGACCGCTTCTGATGGTCCCCAGCCTCCACACACCACTAGCACTGGACCCGCAAGCGGCGGGCCTCCCACCAGCAATGGTTTTGCTAGTGGTTTTCAGGCGATTAACAAGCCACAACCAGCTCCGCAGGCTCAGCCGGTACAGGACACCATCCCGGAGGTTGCAGCGTCACCACAGCCAGTGACTGCCAAGTTGACCCTCAAGCGGCGGCCTCGCGTTTCTACTGGCAGTAATGCAGTGCCGGATGGCGCTTCTGGTTTGCACTGACTATCGGTTGTCGCACGATAGACGGCGAAGTAGAGCCGGTGCATGTAAGAATACCTATGATGATGAGATGGACCCAGGTCTCAAAGAAGAAATGGGACAGACGAGGATGCGCAAGGCATATGAGAAGCGCGTCGCCTGTATGCGGAGTTGTTGGTCTACGCTTTCGCGCAAGACAAAAAAAGGTGCCATATCCTACCGTAATATTGACTGTATAACTGATGGCGCAAGGCATGTAGCTCATGCTTCATGTACCTTGTCGGTGCGAGCGAGTTGTTTGCAAGTATGTGGTAACAGAGGACCACGTACCACTTGCTGTAGCTGTATTCATGTATCTGTAAATGATATTGATACGAAATGCCCTTTACTCAAGCTCTTGGCACGTTCAATGCTCAGATGAGCAATACTGTAGGTATGTACCCATGTACTTCACGATCGACAGGAACGCGTCCCAACTAGCTTGTTTCAAGCTCTCGTTGCTATTGCTCTTGTGACTGTTATTGTTGTTGTTAGCTAGCTAGCTACATACAGCACTTCGTATCCGGCGGTGCACACAAGTATATACAAATACCTAGTGGCAGTTGGGGCTGAAGAGGAGGCACGAAATGAGGCGCACATTCAATGACGGGGGAAGACATGGTCGGTGCGGTGCGGTAAGTAAGCTTTGGCGATGACGTGGTTGAACGGGCTTGTTGTTTTGGTTCGCCCTTTTGTCCATTTGCGTTCCCTTTGTTGCTGTAGCAATGCCCGCTACAGCACTACTTCTCTCGCGGGAACCGGGCACTCCGAACTCCTGTCCCGGACTCCTTGATTCCCTGGCTGACTCCCTGAGAGAGCAATGAATGGATGGGTGGGGGAGAGTGTGTAGGTGTATAGGAGGGAGGGGGGAGAAGGAGAGAAGGGAGAAAGGGTGAGAGGCAGTAGGAGGTGCATAGCGGTATGATAAGGAGTCTTGTCAGTTTGGAGGAAAATGTGTGGTCCGGTCTGGTCTGGTCGGGTCTGGTCTGGTCTGGTGCCATTATTCATTGTCGGGGCGTGGGATCTACATCATCATCATTGTTGTGCGTCGTGCGATGCGATACGGTGGTCGGTGCGTGTAGGTACGGTAAGGTACTACGTGTGTGTATGTGCGCACGAGACAGGTTCTGATCCTAGCCAATTGATGGCGACGTCATGCCGGCCTGTCCTCCCTCTCTCTCCTCTCTCCCCTGTTTGGCGTCTACATAATACTGTACCGCTCCCAGCTCTCGCTGTGCTGCCGCCCATCTACCCATACCACTGTTCCCGTGTCCCGTCTGTACATACCACAACTACAGTCATCCTACCGATACCGCATCACACTCCCACGCAAACGCACGCGCTCACTCCACAGACTCGCTCCATCCGTTAGCTCGCTGTCCGCACGCAGCCTCCCTTCTCCTCGCTACCCTCACCGTCTCGCCCAGCATGCATCGCACATACTCCATGCGCCAGTCGCGCGCGCCCACCGCGTCGCAAATCCAGAACCCACCGCCCGCTGCCTCCTCGACCAAGGGCGGTCGTCTCTTCGGCCGCGCCAACATTGGTAAGACAATCGCCGCCTCGTACAAACATTGCGTATGGGATTGCTGACTGACGTTGCTGCTCAGGCCACACCTTCCGCAAGTCCGTTCACCCCGGCGCATTCGGTCCCGATCTCGCCAAGAAGCTGTCGCAGCTCGTCAAGATGGAGAAGAACGTCATGCGATCAATGGAGTTGGTGGGTCGCGAGCGTATGGAGGTCGCTCAACAACTGTCCATCTGGGGCGAGGGCTGCGATGACGACGTGTCCGATGTCACCGACAAGCTCGGTGTTCTCATTTATGAAATCGGAGAGCTCGAGGACCAGTTCGTCGACCGCTACGACCAGTACCGTGTGACCATCAAGAGCATCCGCAACATCGAGGCTTCGGTCCAGCCCAGCAGAGACCGCAAGCAGAAGATTACCGACCAGATTGCCCAGCTCAAGTACAAGGAGCCCAACAGCCCCAAGATTGTGGTGCTCGAGCAGGAACTTGTCCGTGCCGAGGCCGAGTCTCTCGTTGCTGAGGCCCAGCTGTCCAACATCACCCGTGAGAAGCTGAAGGCTGCCTTCACCTACCAGTTTGATGCTCTTCGCGAGCACAGCGAGAAGATTGCCATCATCGCTGGCTTCGGCAAGCACCTCCTCGAATTGGTTGACGACACTCCCGTCACACCCGGTGAGACCCGCAACGCATACGATGGTTATGAAGCGTCCAAGGCCATCATCCAGGATTGCGAGGATGCGCTCACCAACTGGGTGGAGCAAAACGCCAAGGTGACTTCCAGCCTATCGACTCGTGCCCGCACGCTCTCGCAGCGTCGCCGCAACAAGACCTCTGGTCACGACCTTGCTGAGCAAGACCAAGATCGAGAGTCCGGTCTGTGGGTCTCGGCTGAGCAGCACGGTGCCGGACAGGACTTTGACGATGAAGACTCGGTGCGCGGTCGTGAGGAGCACGTCGCCGCATAGAGTTAGTTGATGACAATCTATCTTGGACATGAATGAGAGTTCTATACCCTGGGAGGAGGACGAGGCCGGTAATTACTGTACAAGCAGGACAGGATCACAGCAGCGAACGACCTTAACGTGTCTTATTTGGTAGTAGCGTATATGATAATGTTTTGAAGAAGAAGAAGGATATGCGTGTTGTGTTTCCATGTCTCTTTTCACATGCGCATTGGTAGCATGGCCTGGTGTGTTCGGCTCGGCCCTGTACAAGCATGGTCAGTCATAACCTCGCAGAAACGGGATGGTTGCGAATATACCAGGTACCTAGGTAATCTCGAGAATGCGTTCGTGCAATGAATCATTATCGAAACACCAATAAACTGAACAACTCGTTCCGCCATTAATTAATAGAGGTGACAACAGCAGCAGCAGGTAGGAAGTAGTAGTGGTAGGTAGTAATAGTTTGGCCGTATCCTACAAGGTTTCTTGAGAGCTCGAAAAGCTGCTTGGGCCTGGCTGCGCTGGCCGCAAGCCTTATCCTGTCTGTCCCGCCGGCGTGTTCTGTGTGAGCTGTGTTCGCCGCAGCAAAAGAATTTCTTCCAATGCTTGCCCGAGTTCGGCAGCTGACTCCCTACCTCTCTCTGTCCATACCTACCTGAGGTAACTATATAAAGCTGTCCTTGCCTTGCTATAAGGTAGTTTTACTGTTGATTTTTTATTTCTTTTTGGCCGAGTGCTACCAGGACGGGAAAATCGGTATAAATTCAAGTTACCTCTCGCCTACCTTATCTGCCTACTGACCTTGCTTTTTTGATTAAACAGTTCATCTTCCAACTATGGCTACTACTACGACTCCAAAAGTCCCTCCAGCAGGAATCTGGGCCCCAGCCGTGACTTTTTTCGATCCCGAAACAGACGAATTAGATCTCGAAGCACAAAAGAAATACTACACCTATCTCTCGCAACATCTCACTGGTACGTATAATGATAATAAAATACATCAAACCAAAACATGTACAAGCTCATCATGGTAAAACAACACCATAAGGCCTCGTCATCCTCGGCACCAACGCCGAAACATTCCTCCTCACACGCTCCGAACGCGCCTCCCTCCTCCAGACAGCCCGCTCGGCCGTCGGTCCCAACTATCCACTCATGGCGGGCGTCTCCGGCCACAGTACGAAGCAAGTCCTCGAATTCATTTCGGACGCGGCGGCTGCGAAAGCGGATTATGCGTTGGTGTTGCCTTGTGCGTATTTTGGGAAACAGACGACGGGGGCCGTGGTGAAGAAGTTTTATCAGGAGGTTGCGGAGAAGAGTGTGTTGCCGGTTGTGATTTATAATTTTCCCGGGGTGTGTAATGGCGTGGATGTGGATTCGGATGTTATGGTGGAGTTGAAGGGGAGGTGTGAGGTATGTTTTTTTTTTCTTTTTTTGTCGGTCTTTTTTTTGGGAGGAAGTACTAATCCATATGAAAATTGTTGAAAAAACAACAGAACATCGTCGGCACCAAACTCACTTGTGCCCAAGTCGGCAAAATCACCCGTCTCTCCTCCGCCTTCCCAGCCTCCACCTTTGCCACCTTTGGCGGACAATCCGACTTCCTCATCGGCGGTCTCGCATCCGGCTCTGCAGGCTGCATCGCCGCGTTTGCAAACGTCTTCCCTCGCACCATTTCCCACATCTATCGGTTGTGGAAGCAAGGCAACACGGATGAGGCACTGCGGTTGCATCAGATTGCTGCCGGGGCGGAGAGTGTCACCAAGGCGGGCATTGCGAATACCAAGTATGCGGTGAGTTTGACGTCGGCGAGGTGGGCGGGGATTGAGGGGGCCGAGGAGAAGTTGAGGCCGAGAAGGCCGTATGAGGAGCCGGAGGAGAAGGTGAAGGGGGAGATTCGAAAGAGGATTGAGGAGATGATCAAGATTGAGGAGTCGTTGTAGTAGATGATGGTGATGGTGATGATGATCTGTCGTTTGATCACAACTCTCAACCAAAAAAAAATTATCTGCCTGCTTGATCGAGTCCATATCGAACTCACTGCCCTGATCAGCCTGTCCGTCACTTCTTCAATACGCCCTTTTAAACATTCAAGTTTCCCGTCACACCTGGCTCAATGGCCTCCAGCTTCTGGCTCAGCTCAGCCCACACTCTCCTCTGCAACTCGGGGCCTTCGGGACCCGTCACCAAAGGCGAACATTCAGCAATGTGGCAATCACTCATATACTTTCCATGTGTCTCCTCACTGCTCAGTCCCGCATTGACGAGCGTCCTCGAGCCCACTTCCGTCGTCCGGCACATGATCAACTTGACCAGCTGGAGAATGGGATTCATCATCTCGCGCATCAACTCGGAATGGCACCAGCCCGGATTGACGAAATTCAACGTCACATTCCCCAGACTGCCCGGATGTAGTCGAGCAATTTCGCGACAGGTCAGCACTTCGAGGAGTTTGCTGACATTGTACCGATCCTGCATGCGCGCCGTTTCCTTGGCATTCAGCGTGGCGAAAATGTCACTGCTGGATTTTTCGGGAAAGCTCGTGAAGAAGTGGACTTCGGATGACACAATGGTCAGCGTGGGGCGGATGTTGAACTTGTTGCTCGATTGTTGCAGTTTCGGCAAGAGTAACAGTGCGAGTAAGAATGTGCTGACGACGTTCACGGTGATGGTCGATTCGTTGCCGGCTACCGACTGGTAGTTGCTGGTAGCAATTCCTGCATTCTCGACGACCGTGTCAATTCGCTCGAGGCCTTGTGCTCGCTTGGCAAAATCCTTGACGCTCTCGTACGACGACAGGTCGAGTTGCCAGACTTCAATGACGCCTTTGCGGCCTTCGCTGGCTTCAATGTCGCGCTTTGCTGCTTCTCCTTTCTCGAGGGAGCGGCAGGCAATGATGAGCTTCTTTACGTTGAGTCGAGTGAAGTGCCGTGCAGCTTCCTAATGAATTACTGGTGTCAGTTTTCCTCCTGTTTGCTACCTATTCCACCCATTGCTTTGCTTCAGGACTGACCTTGCCCAGGCCGACATTCGCGCCTGTGACGATGATGGTCTTGCCGGTGCAGTCTTGCTCCGGACGCGGGGGTGTGACGAGGAACTGAGAATAGAGGAATTTGGACCAAAAGGCTGCCATCTTGGAGAGAAAGTGTGATGTGGTAATGTGTGTGCTAATGATGCGGATACTGTTCAACAAATGGATGACGGGTCATCAATAAACATATATATGCGTGCCGACATGTAGGGTAGATAAGGTAGTCTGGACTGCCTTTGTGGTCATAGACTCCGATAAATGCGGCGTTATTAACGCCGGGCCTTGTCTCCGTCGAGTCCGTCTGGTGCGCGTCATTCACACATCTGGGTTCAAAACATTCCAGTCGACCGCTGAGGAGCTTAAGCAGATGTGCTGTGTGAGACAAGCTACTGTCATCAAGTATACATGATGTATCTGGTCCAAGCTGTAAGTGGCTGTTTACCTTAATACAGCTCCAGCCAATGTATCGTTCTATATATCATCGCAGTCGTGAACGCCCGATCGGCGTTGTCATTTGAGAGTCTATGCCCATTTTCCAAGAACGGCCATGAGGAGTGCTCCCAGCACCATGCAGCCCACAGCGGAGAGCACCATCCTTATCGGCGCCCTTTGCATATAGGAACTAAACATGAACTCGTGGGCCATCAGTTCCACCAAGCCAGTGTAGATGAGGATTCCCGCCGAAATGCTGTCGAAGACGCCGTTGACGATCAGGAAAGACTGGCTGTTCGTATTTAATGCGGTGCGAACACCCAAGCCCACTCCAATGGCGATGGGAGTCGACAGAGCATAGGCAAGGGCCAGCAAGTATGGTGTTAGCCTCTTAGATTCGGGCCATTCAATGCTGCCCAGTCGTGAACCAAGCGCCAGTCCTTCGAATGTCTGGTGGAAGGTGAGAACCACGTAGAGCGTATCGAATTCCGAGCCCGAGACTGCCAAGGTAAGACCGATGAAGATACTGTGGAAGATGACACCGAATTCCAGGATGAACACTGCAGTCATCTGGGCAGCGTATGATTCGGGGTCGAAGGTTTTGTGTGTCTGGACCGTCGTACCCAATGCTGAGCCTTGGTGCTCTCGAGCATGCGATAGATGATCATCGCCAGGCACATGGGGGTTGGTTGGGCAGTCGTTGCCACTATCATTTTTGACATGCGGCTCATCCAGGTACCTGACACTAGTGACGGAACTGTTCAGCTCTAGCATTTTGTCTTGGCCGGATGCTTCATGCGCGGCATCATGGTCGTGAGAATGGCCGAATTTCGCGTAGCGCATTGTCATGAGCTCGACAAAGAAGAGGAGGAAGATGGTCATGAGTACAATGCCCTCGACCCCTGCCGAAGTGTCAGTTCGGATATGGAGCGTCGTGTATGGCGTTGATCTTGTTGGTGATCACATCACATACATGTGTATTCGGTGATGGGTCCGGTCAGGCAATTGCTCGTCAATGCCTCCTCGGCGGGTGCAAGTAACTGCTCGACACGTCAGTCACGCGCATGTGGCCTGCTGGGTGCAGCGATGGGCGTGCATGTATGAAGGCCGTGGCCACAATCACTCCCGAGCCAAAGTACTTGGCGATGAAAAAGGCCCATTCTGGCACGCCGGTTCCGCGATGTCTGGATGCATAGACAGGGAAGACTGCTCCTAGGGCAGATCCGACGAGAATCACGAAGATGCTGGAGATGCGAAGGCCCAGACGGCCGTCGAACTCGTTGCCTGAATTCGGTAAGGCAGACAGCGGGTCATTAGTAACCAGCGATGCAAACAGCGTAGGAGGTAGTCGGGAATGCGTATGCGTACCTGCGTCGCACTCGGACATGATGTCGGCCGAATCGTGCGGGCTGGCTTCTGAGAGACCACCTAAACGTCCGACGAGGGCGACCGCGTGCAAAGAGAGTGTGTAAGAGAGGCGAGAGGCAAGTCGACACAGGTTTCCGGAGAGCAGACAGCTCTAGTAGATGTACTGCAGGAATCGCAACATTCTCATCATCATCATTGCAAGAATGGAGCAGGTAGTGGAGGCATGGCCAGCAGGCCAGCGCGAATGGTCAATGAAGAATACCTTAGTGAATGACCTTGATGGACAAAGTGCAACTGGGGCTTGGCATTCAAGCATTTCATGGAACCATGATGGCATGAGCAGAGGTGGAAGCTTCCCGTCATGTTTCCATGTACACCTAAATATGTCCGTAGCAGGCTGCCTGGATCCCATGACTGAATAAACAATCATATACCGTGGATACATTATTCGTGTGCTGACCGACTGCTGCGTTCGTGTTTCTGCGCATATACTTGGTGTGTATTGTGAGTGAGTCGGAGTCCTGCACTTAAAAGCCGCCCGTTTGATACAGATAACTGCCCCTCCACTTGCCGATCGGGCACGACCTTTGGCCACGAGTGATCGCTTCCGCCGAAGTGCATGCCCGAATGCCCTGTAGGTAGTGGTGGTTGATCCTTTCTGCTCACGTACCATTGTATCATCATCTGCAGTACTATGGGCTGGCTGTGGGGGAACAACGGCGACGAGGCCAGCAATCCGACCAAAAAGCTCGATGTCGGGCTCCGAGAATTTCTCGACAACGAGACCACCAAGCATGATACCAGTGAAGCCAGAGCAGTCGCGCAGCAATCAGCAGCTTCATCTACGGATGCTGCGCCCACTACCTACCGTGAACAGCTAGGCCTGGCGGAACCCGGACTGGACCAGAAGCACCAGAACTCCGCGTCCTCTGACCGTGTTGGGGTACCTCCAGAGGCACTCTATCAAGACGGACGATATGCTCACCTGTGGAAGAGCTACAGGCCACAAGCGGAGGTGGAAAGCGCGGGAAAATCAGATCAGGATCGGCTCGCAGATGTCATAGCATCATACAAGGATCGTAAAGCAGAGATCGGACGCGCAGCGCTGGACAACTGTGCAGACTATCAACTGGCCGAGCGTGAATGTCTGGCCAATGGCTCGTGGATGAAGAAGATGACTATGTGTCGGGAAGAAGGCAAGGCGTTCAATAGGTGCTACACTATGCAGGCGCGCTTCTTGTCTGCGCTGGGCTATCTGTCATCTGTGCGCTCGGAGGAGGAAGAGGAGCGCATTGCCATGCACGCAGACAAGCTGTACCATGAGATGCTGGACCGAGAGCAGCTCCAGAAGGATGCAGAGGAGAAGGGCCAAGACCTCCCTGAGCTGCCACCTCTGATTGCGCCAGAAAAGATCACCGCTGCGCTGGGCGAGGATAGCGCATTTGCTCGAGCACGAAAGCTGGCGATCGAGCGAGGCATGTCCAATAACTTGAGCTCCTACACACCAGAGAAGCAGGAAGAGATCAAGAAGCGCATTGCAGGGCTCTCGCCAGCGGAGAAGGAAGTCGAGCTGCAGCTGATTGCAGCCGAGTCGCGGTCGCAGCTGGAGTATGCAGAAAGAATTGCCACGCACTTGGTGGAGGAAAAGCAGCACCGCGAAGAAAGGCGAGAGCGCGGGAAGGAGACGATTGGAGACACGCTCCGACGACTATGGGGCACATAATGTACGTACTGCAAAACCGTACTGACCTTTTGTGCATTAATAAACAGTTGTAGTACGACTGCTAATACTGCTGCTACTGTCGGGGCTGTCAATTGCTGATCACCAGTAGGTAGCTGACGATATGGCACAGAGCGGAAACGCGACTTTTGCCGTTCGCTCGGCCCGACCTCTATATCCGTCTCCATCCCCATCGGGCAATCAAAACACAACAAACCACAAATCACATCTACTGTGCGGCATTGAACACCGCCAACATGTCTACCGCAACACCTTCTAAACGTATACAGCTCCGCTTAGGCACCGCTCAAGTAGTACCACTAACGATCAACAGACGACAGGATAGAACGGCATATTCAGAGACAGCGCGGAGCTGGGTGCGCACTACACCACACCACCGTCGGACTTGAGCACGAGTGGTCCACTGACAGCCGACAAACAGTGTCCGGAGTTTGGCGACGAGCTTTGGCTTCTCCTTTGGCGCCCCGCATCCAGCACCTCCGCCACAAGGCGAGCGCTCCCCGTCCAGCGAACCTCCCGCGAAGCGTAGAAAGTCGCATGGCAGTCGTGGGCCCGGAGCAGGTGGAGAGGATCCTCTTGGCCACGCGAGGTACACTGATGCTTTCCATGCAAATCCAGTGGGCGCGCGGAAGGCCAAGCCGCGTCGACAGTTCGATGCGATTGACGAAGAGCCAGAAAGCAGCAAGAGCAGCAAGACCGAGGACGATAGTTTTCTCAAGACACGAGTGGTAGTGAAAAAGCGCGGAAGACCGGCTAAGGCTACACTGGAACATGTTGCAACCACTGAAGGCCCTGCTTCCAATTGCGCAATGAAGAGGAGAGGTTCAGCGAAAACTGCGGTACATGAAGGGCACGACGTCCGAGACCCTGCCATGGGTGCTACACTTGTGGTTAGAAACGCCTCGGCACTGGACTCTGCTGCGCCGAAAGCATCAAATGCATCGGGAAATAAGAGAGGCCGACCACGGAAGAAGTTGGTGCACGATGCAATCGTGAGCCTCGCAGAACCAATTGATAGCTTCACGGAATCGAAGTCGAACCAGAGACCCAAGAGGCAAGCAGCGGCCGCCGCTCGGACAAGGGTGATAGAAGGCTTGAAAGAGGAAGACTCTGACATAACGAAAAAGCGCCGCGAGGTCCATTCTGCGCACACTACTCGGGACCCAATGTCCGATGAACGGCAAGCTAAGCGAAAAGAGGAGCTTCCAATATCACGAAATGCGGGGAAGCTGCAGGAAGCCGAACATACTGTCATCAGTCATACTGAGAACGAGGGCTCACTGGAAACTGCAGCTGGAGATCTGAAGCAGCATGGGCGAGCAGTTGCCGACTCCGAAATGACACTCGCGCCGAACGTTTCCGGCAGACCTAGAAGGAATGCAGCACTGGCGGCAAGTGCAAAAGTGCTCAGTGGCTTTGCCGAAGAAGCAACAGATATTACGAAGCGAAGACGGGATTCCAGCCCTGTTAGTCGGAAGAAGAGGAAGCGCGAGATTCCCGTGAACAGCAAACCTTTGACAATAAATACTCTGACCACTACAGGCAAAGCTGACGCGGTCTGTGATCGACCGGCGGTGCCTAGGAAGCGAAGTCAAGCAACGGATGGCACTTCCGACTCTACTCCTACGCTTCTCGATATGCGTAGACCACTCGCGGAGACGAATAGCAACATCTGTCCCATGCCACAAGAGATGATGACCAGTGACGGATTGCAGGTTCCAGGCAAAGCGGATGTGCAGGCATCTATTCGCACTGAGACTCAGGTGGCATCCAAAGTCTCTATGAAGGCGAAGCGACAAGCGCGGAACCCTGACGTGAGTCGTGATGCATTTGCAGATCCGGCAGGATCCCCTGGGAACAGGGTCGAGCAAACGGAGGCATTGCCTCTACCACAAGAGCCAGTCTTGAAAACAAAAGTGGTCGCAGCTGAGTCAAGAATGCGAACTAAAAAGTCTGCCCAAGCAGCATCGATCTCTCCCATATCCGCCCCGAGAGATGAGAAGCGTAGAGTGAAGCCATCCAAGATTAAGGCCAGCCGTTCCAAATTACCTTTGGGTCCGGCTGCTACACAGACTGCTGCTACTGATGGTGAAAGAGAGGAGAATATGGATTGGCTTGCCCAGAAGCCAGAACCCACAAAGTCGATCCGAGCGCCAATAGCTTCAAGAACGAGGAAGGCGGTTCTTTGCCTACCTGACATGGATCTCGACGACCTATTGTCAAATGTTGCGAATTTTGTCCCTCGACTAGGTTGAATCGAGAGAGCACACGTAGCTTTGAGTCTGTACGCATCAGGCGAGGAGCTTCAATCTTATGCAAGAGCGCAGGGTCTATGGCTTCAAGTTGGACAAGACACAATTGCAGGATATGAAGTCTATCACTGGGCTGTCGATCTAGGCTAGGCATTGAATACCGGACTTGCTGGTGCAGGGAGAACATTAGCCACACCTATCATTACTTCAATGGAAGTTGATCAGCCGCCAGCGGAGCTCTTCTCTGCAGGGCAAGCATGTAGCCTCTGCGCGCATTCGACAAGGCTGTCACTTAGGAGGACGACAAAGTACAAGTTGAATCACGAATCCAATGTCTCACTGAAGAATCCCCGCCCAATTTAGAGCTGCTCCGGGGAGAGTGCCAATTGGCCTCGATCCGGCTCTGCTCAGGCTCCTGTGTGTGCAGCATAGGCGGTATGTAGTCGGCATACCAGGTTTACGGCAGTGTCTCGGCAATGTGAGATATGCGCAGGCTCATGTAGTGCGGCCGCCGCCCGCCGGCATGGTGAAGTTGGAGCATTCTGAATCTGGCCTGTCAGCCTGTCCCTCGACCGGGTTCGGTAGATGGTGAGACCGGTACGATTGAGCCAAACTCTCTTGCAGCTCCAGCGAAACGGATCTCGTGGCTCCCACTGCTTTCCGATCTGTCACGGACACACACACACTGCAGTCGACCCTGGGCGGTGTAGCCACGTTCACGCAGACTACACGAGTGTAGCACAAAGACGTGGCTCAGGGCCAGTTCTGCAGCTGCTGCAAGATTTTGCATCTCTACTGTGTTGAGATCTCCTCCCTGTCTCTCTCCAATCTGAGCGCACTTGGAGCGTTACACACAACGCTCGCAGTCACTACTGTTGATCGGGGGGAACGTCCATCATTAAAATGCCCCCTACCCCCTTCTCCAAAACATCTAGCAGCAACAACATCCCCCTCGTACGGAAATTATCGCAAGGCGGCCACGCGAGAGAGTGAAAGAGCGAGCCTGTCATTCAATCCCGCGGCACGACCTGCCCTGCTTGTTTTCAATATATTATACTGAGTCCTCTTTTTTTTTAAGCTCGCGCGGCACTTGTCGGGGGCGGGGGGGGATCGGTTTGCGTCACGCCAGGGCAAGGCTTGTTTCAGTTATTTTACGCATGGTTTTCTTTTTTTCTCTTTCGCAACGTTGTCGTGATGAACCAGGGTCATACTTTCCGACAGACAGAAGACAAAAAAAACCATACTTTCCCACTTCCCCCTTGTTCCTTGCCAAAACTTCAGAATTTATCCCCCCTTCCCGCCCTTGTCCAAAGGCGCTAGGGTAGGGTACCTTGTAGGAGAGGGTAGGGTAGGGTAGGGTAGTTGATGATGATGGCTCATGGCTTCCCCCTTGCCATGCCCTTGCCATGCCCTGCCCTGCCATGCCCTACCCTACCCTAGTCCTTGTATAGATCATCATGCTTGCTCGTAGTATGGGATGGGATGGGATGGGATGGGATGTATGGGATGGGATGTAAGGATTCTGTATTCCACGGCTCTGGCCGGTGGTGGGAGGTGTCACATCACCTGTCAAGTGTCTCTCTCTGCTCATCATCAAGGCATTTTCCCTGGATCGATAAGACCAGGGATCCGGGGGGAGGGGCGGAGGAATGATTTGATTCATGGGTAGTGATGAGGGTCTAGGCCTAACAGGACTGGGCTTTTGTTTTGTTTCTTCTCTCTGATGTCTGATTGGAATTGAATTGAATTGAACGCAAACAAGAGATAGGATTGACTTGAGTAGGTATTGCGCAGTCGGTCGTGATATGTAGAAAAAAAAAAGAAAAAAAGAAAAATCTGATGATGGCTTTTTGGTCCCGGGGGATTATCCATATATATCTACTAGTAAGATGTCGAATGTAGGTATTTTACTAAGTATATGTAAAGGAAGTTGAGTGAGTTTTTCCTTTTCTCTCTCTCTTTGAAAAGAAAATAAAAAAAAAAATCAAAAACCATCCCTTTATCCTAACTTACACACGCGGGCGCCCGCGCGCGGAGAGCGGGTGTGTAGATGTAGGTACTGTACATACGACGTACAGTATGTACACATGTACATGTACATGTATGAGGTAGACAGGGTTTATGGACTGACTCAATCGGGAAAAAATCTGTCTCTCTCTTCTTGCCAGGGCTGGGGGGATGGGGGGATGGGGGCGGAAACGGAAACAGTTGAACACTAAAAAAAACACCCCCAAAAATGAACCAAGAAGAATTTGAAGAAAGAAAGAAAAAGAAAAAAAGAAATGTGTGTAGGTATACGAGGATACATTATACAGTAAGTACCTACTGTAGGGAAAAAGGGATTCGGTTTTTCTTTTCTTTTTGTAGGATGAGGTAGGCGACTACTAGAGTCCGTCTATAGTCAAAGTCTTCCTCTTTCCTTTTTTTTCCTTTTTCCTTTTCCTTTTCCTTTTCCTTGTCCTTTTCCTCTACCAAAACCAAACCCAAAAAAAAAGAAAAAAAAAAGAAAAAAAAAAAAAAAACACCTCGTACACAACATTCCAAGTACCAGAGTACCTCACAGGCTCACAGGCTCTCACACCGCACCCACTACCACCTGAGTAATCTATACAAATGTACAAATATACAAACAATGTACAATTGTAAATACCCGACATAAGCCGGTCCCGACCAGCACCAGCACCAATACCAGCAAGCACCACGTGGCGAGCTAGACTAGTAAGTTACATGTACCCACAAGTACGTACCTACAAGTACGTACATGTACCTCTACTTTCCGGCGATTTTTTTGTGTGTATCGCGACGACAGGGATGTTTGACACGTTTTTTTTCTTTCCCTTTCCCCTTTCGCGCTCTATTGTGGTGTGTGGGGGTAAAAAAAAAGTGTATGTGTAGGTGCTATACGATGGCGCGTGTAGGGAGGGTGCGGATGGAGCGCTAGAGGAAGGTAGGTACATGTAGTAAGTGCTGGGTTGGAAGGGAGTGAGGGAGAGAGGGAGTGAGTAAGGGAGAGAGGGAGGGCATACGTGAGAGGTATAATGATGAACTGAGGACTACCTACTAGACTTTGCAAGAGTACCTGTATATCTATCTATAGTCGTACGAAGAATGAAAAAAGGAATATCTTGTCTTGTCGTATTACTTACTTACTCGCTTACTCAGTCCAACTCCGTAGTATACAGGTAGTATTGTACCTCTTCTCGGTATATACGTTCCGCCGAAGGTACCTACCTAAGGTACCTACTGTACCGTACCTAGATACATACAGATCCCTCGGCAACACGAAGGAAGCTATCTATATATATACCTCTCTACCTAGTAGCTACTAGCAATAACAACAACAAGCCAAAAAGGCGATTTTCATTTTCCATAAATTCCTATCGAGCGCACTACTTCCGATTACCAGCTATATGCAACTACTACCCTACCTACTAATATATCGACAAACTACGCCGTCGTTTCTGGTATATACACGGGACATGTCTTCCCGCTTGCCGGCCTACTCTCCTTGGGAGCTTAAAACAAGTAGTGTAGTGACGCCGAGAGCATCTAGGAGTATTAGTCGAATTGGGACATGAGAAGAAGAAGGAAGAAGAAGAAGACGAAGCAAATCGAGAGAGTGAGGCGTCACTGTGCCTGCACAATAGGTGACATGCATTATCTTGCTATATTAATCGGTACAGTAATGTGTTGTGATGATCGTGACAGGGAGACTTCTATGTGAGGCAAGCAATATATAAAACGCTATACAAGATTGGGGTATCTTCGAAAAGTGCGAAACAAAGTGAAAAAAGGGGTACAAGAAGTAGTTGCGCCTTATCCATCCATCGCATGCAATGCCTTCGCTATGTAAAGGGGTATCGAAATTCCAAAAGCCCAGTCTCGTGCAAAAGAATCCAAAAAGAAAACAAAGTAGAAGATTGGCTCCATGCTGGAATAAACGCCGTTCCGTGTCCATCGAAAAACAATCCCGTCACAGGATCCGTGCTCCCTTGGTGTTGGTGTAGCCGATGCTGCTGCCTTGCCAATGAATGCTTGGTCCCACTACCTGTACGTCCACATTGCGCGTCAATGTGGATCCATTTTCTGACATCGCCCCGGGATACAAATACTAGGCGTGGTCTCCGTGCTGATGTTGTCGATGTTGCTCATGCAGTTGATGTTGTGGACCACGGCGGTCAGCGTATGGATTCCAAGGTCCGCCTTGCGGCGCCGCTTGCATCACCTGCGGCGGACCATGGGACCCAGCCGCCGGCGGCGGCGGAGCAGGCAGAGTCCCTCTCGTCATGGGCGAGGGAAGTGGATGCGATGCCTGCTGCAAGCCTAGGTGAGGCTGTGGTGCGATTTGTTGACCGTAGTTTGGCGGAGGATAAGTCTGTGCCAATGGAGGTCCTGGTGCAGTATGTGTGCCTTGGCTTGGCGCTGGGAAATGGGGCAAAGACAGGGTAGAAGTTCTTCTTCGCACGTTGCGCCCTGAATCAGGACTACGCGCTCCAGGCTCTTGATACTGCATATAGCTGCTCGAGGCACTGGGTCCGGAATAACCCGACGATCTGCGATGTCGTGGGGATTGAGGCCGTGGGAAATGGCGATCCCCTCCAGGCACTTGCAATATCACGCCAGCCATGTAGTCCCTCTCCCGTTTGTAAAACTCCATGTCTTCGCCAAGCTCTTTCAATTGTTGCTCCAGCCGAGATATAGTGGTCGAGGCCTCCTTTTCCTTCTCCTTTCGCCTCTGCCTGAATCGTGCACTTGCTCCAGCATTCCGTCTCCTCTTCTCATCTGCCACTCGTGATGCGGCCTGCACATCTACAGGTAGCGAGACAGTTCCTGAGGTTGTCTCCAGAGTCATCATCTGATAGACATTTTGTCCAGCCGAGGATGAAGACACGGGCACACCCACAGCACGCTGATGCTCTCCACCATGATTATCAACGGCATGGCCACCACCATAGTCTTGACCTGCAGAATAGGATGCTGATAGAGTTGGCATGGAAGATTGGCCATACGTGGTAGCAGGTGACGCGGATGAGTAAGAAGATCTTGGACTCTCGCTCTGTGAAGGAGGCCTTGCGCGAGAGTGTGCATCGACGTTCCTTCCGCCTGGTGCGTGAGGCTGGGGATCAATAGGAGCAGAGGAACCATAGCTTGAATGTCTCGCGGACGGTGGCAGATGTGGCAACGGCGGTGCACCGCCTGTACCTGGCTCGACCATATATGTCCGACTCCTCGGAGATCCTGCAAAGGGAGCATGCTGAGCACTGAAAATGGGAGCTGAAGAAGCATTCAGCTGGCTCAGACTAGAGGCGCGATGAACCGAAGGAGATCTCGGTGTCAGGATCCTTCGAGGCGGTCTGTCTGCACCATAGGTAGCAACTCCATATCCGGCTGTAATACTCATTGCAGATGGCGTAGGCGTGCTCGTGGCTGACGGAGGTGGCCGGTTGCTGAGCCCCAGGGGCGGAAGTACATTCGAGGAGGATGGCGATGAATGTAAGTGAGGAGCCTTGCGTCTTCGAGACTGGGAACTATCGTCCGAGTCGACAGGATTCAGAATAGAAGACACTCCTACAGATCTGGAGCTTGGCTGGTAGGTGGCAACTTGACCGCTAGGCACTTGTTGTTGGAGAGGCGGCAAGTCCATCGATCTGCCATTGTTTCCTGGGTACCGATGCAAGGCTGGCGAAGCGGCGCTTGATGTGCCAGCAGTTGTCCGCGGGCCATGTTGCTCAGCAGTCGATGGAGCATGAGGGGCAGGAGGAGGAGGAGGAGGCTGCTGCTGGTTGAGAGAGCGTTGAGAGGAGTCGTTGCCACGGACAATCAAACTATCCGAGGGCTGCTGCTCTCGCTGCCGCTCTGACATGAAATCCTTCCCGAAGTTCCCAGACTGATGTCGCAATTCCGACCATGGACGTGGTTGCCCTGGCGTTGGTGAGTCGGGAAGGTGTCGTTGGAGGGGCCGAAGGGTCGACTCGAGGTTCTTGAACGTTCTACTGAAGTCCGGGACGGTTGGACTTCTGTCGTAACCAAACGGCCCACTGTAGTGGCTGCAGGAACGATGAACGTCGGTGGCAGCCACGTTGACTGATGACGTGGGACGCCGAGCGGACGTCCTAGCAGGCAAAGTTGATCGGGTGAGGCGAAGAATGATTGATACCTGTAGGTACCGGTACCTGTAGTTGCCGTCCGGACCTCGCCGTCGTCACAGCGCAGCTGGCGGAGGAGCGTCGTGTCGCTACTGCAGCTGTGCAGAGGTGACGAGCACGCCACTCATAGCAGCAGGAGGGAGGAGGGCGCCAGAAGCTTGCACGGTGAGTGGAGGAGGTGGCGGGAGTGTCGGAGGTAACCTTAGGTGCCTGCCGTTGGGAGCTAGAGAGAGGGTCGTGAGCTCGCTGTCGAGGCGCTGTGATATGGACAGCGGGAACGGGAGCCACGACGGTGGTGTGGTGACGGGTGCGGTGAGTGTGATGACTCTGGAGTGATGGCGTCGAGGGAGGGGATTGGACGCAACGGACAGGACAGGACAGGACAGGACGGGACAGCACAGCACAGGACAGCGGCGGAGAGTGGATGGGACAGCGGCGAGCGCGAGTGCAGTGCACTGCCCGCGATCAGGGACATGACCAGTGATATAGAGCTAGGTGGGCGGTCGGTGTAAATCATGACAACACTATGAACGGACGGCTTGGCAGCACAGCGCGACATGTCTTCTTCTAGGCGAAAGGCTCTAGTGCAGAAGCTGTCGTGCATCATCGCGGGCAGGACAGGGAAGGAGCAGGTCAGGGCAGGAGCAGGCCAAGGAGCAGGGCAGGACAGGGCATGGCAGGGCAAGAGCAGGCCAGGACAGTGGGCTCTGAGGGCAAGAGCCAGGAGCAGGGGCAGGAGGCAGGAGCAGGAGCACGCTCAGACCGACTCTCACAATAATGCACCAGCCCAGGGGCGTGGCATGCCCATGCTACCTCCGCTCCTCCAAAAGTCTGTCTTCCTAGCTTTTTGATACATCAACTTCATATATATATAAACACGTAGAATAGGAACTATTACAGAATCTATTGATAGGGGGTAGTACAGAATTGCTCGCTCTATTAGATAGGCTATAAAAATATAAGAGAGATACCTTCCCTATAGTATAAATAATATAAATAGTACCCTACTTTTAAAAATAAGACACTTAATCTTTACTACTTCTATTTGGTTTTGATATCTTGTCTATCTTTAAAGTAGCTCTAGATATCGATTCTATATACCTAGAAGTACCCTCCCTAGGAATAGTTCTATATTAATATATATATATAAGAAGTTATTCAAGATAGCTCTCTCGTTAGCCCTATCGAGGAGTCTCTAGGATATACGAGTATTTATACTTAATAGGAAGGTCCCTATATAGGAAAATATATATCGATCGATAGTATAGAGTCTAAGGATTACAATACAAGTTTTATTATCAATTTCTATTAAGAATTGGTAGAGATACTAGGCTTCAAAGTGAATAAATCCATCTCAAAAGGTACTGGATTGATGCCAAGAAGACAGACTAACGGAGGAGCGGAGGTAGTGCTGCCTCCTCCACTGTATCTGGTCCAGCCCAGGACAAAGGGCTTGGGGCCATGTGAATGTGTGTTCAGGCAGGCAGAGGCAGGAGCCGGCCCGTGGGATGCGGCCTCCTCGAACTAGCCTGTCTGCTCGAGCTTGTACCGTGCTTCAATAAGGTGGTAGGCAAGCGCAAGGTACCTTTCAACCGCATTGTGAGCCTGATGCGACACTAGCGTGCGCGCACCTCGGGACGAATGATGATACTGATGCGGATGCGCTTGCGAATGCGGATGCTGATGCTGATGCTGAAGCCGAGGATGCCGATAGTGCTGATGATGATGATGATCGTGGTGATGATGATGATGAAGACGATGATGATGATGATGATGATGATGGAGAGCTCATGCAGGTCACACCACACCGCAAAATAGTGATGCGGCTGTGAGTGGTCGCAGCGAGACACACAGCAAACGAAAAAGCACATGCACATGCATGCACATCGACATGTGCATATGTACAGGATACCGCAAGCACTAGTTCTGGGCCGATCCACGGCTCTGGTCCAGGTACGCAGGGCCGGACGACAAGCTCCTCACTCGATGCATTTGCCATTTGCCGCGAGCGGTGGCGTCCGCGGTAGTGCGGCCGCCATCTTCTCCAAGGTTCCCATCGGACAAATCATGATGATCGTAGCGCCATAGCCAGGGCGAGCAGCACATACATACAGCAGTCGCCCCGACGCTGCCGGAGGAGGGCACCAGGCAGGGACAGCACAGCACAGGACAGCGACAGCACAGCGCAGCACAGGACAGAACCGATTCCCACTAGTGGACCTTGCAGACCATCGCCAGCAACTCGTGATGTAGCGTGCGTAGCGTCACGTAGCGTGGCGTAGCGTAGACTATTTGGCGGAGAGGCCAATCCGGTTGGACAGCTCGTCACGGTAGCCTGTTCCTGGGACGGCAACTTACATGGCAAAAGTCAGTACAGTCGTACCTATGCTCTACGGGGTGGTAGCGCTCCGGACGGCTTGGTGCTGGAGCAGACTGGTGCGCAGACTGCGCGGACTGCGCAGATTGCGGCCCCAATAACCATATGGAGAGATACACGGGAGGCTACTGTGTGTATACCTGAGGTGTACATGTACTTCCCGTAGTGGTACGGTATCGAGTGACGCCTTCTGACGACTGCGACCATGTCGTTCCCACAGCGCACGCCTACGCCCACGTACCCACGGCACTTGGGGCTGTCACCAGTCACCACTGCATGATGATGCGGCCGCCTACGGCGCGTCTCGCATGCATGACCTGCGTGCCGTCCCGACCTTCGTTCCGAGACAGCAATAAGCAACAGCAAGACAACCCAGCAGGCATCATCAGCATCGTCTGTCGCGCGCGCGCGTGGCCCGGCTCGGTCTCATCTCATCATCAAGCAAACCGGTAGTTGTGGAGGTAAGGTACATGGAGTACAACAGCAGTGAGAGTGGGTGATGGATGAGTAAATGTACCTACCTTGTAGGGAGTGAGTGTCCATGCCGCGCCCCCAAATTCCCAATGTGCGCTCCTCAGCGGGCTTCTGCTGGGAAGATTGCACACACGGAAGTCGCCGCGATATACAGCATCGCACACCCTGGTATGGCTGGTATTGGCGAATGCTGCTGCTGGTTCCAGTAACAGGGCGTCCAAGATGAGGGTCATCATAAATGGAGATCTGGTCCACGTCCAGTTGGGCAGCAACAATCAAAAGGAACGGTGCAGATCCTGGTCAAAGTCGCAATGCTCCTCCTGTTGCTGAACCGCCGTGACAGGCATGAGCCTACGGTCGGGTACTAGGTACGGTAGACTAGTTCTACCGTCTACGGTGCACCTCCTGGCAACGTCAAATCCCGCCGGAACGGTTCACAGCAACGGGCTGCCGCCATGAGTGATATTTCCAGATGGCGCCGGATCCAGGCATATGGACGGTACAACAGGAGTACATAGTGGTAGTAGCAGCTGCTGCTGCACAGTGACTACTTGGAGCAGTGGGTCCAGTCCTCGACTCTCGCATGCCATGCCATACCCCCCTCCCCCCCTCCCTCCCGTTCTCCGTCTCTCGCATCGCATCGCGTCGCGTCACTGCGCCGTACCTCGCCCGTCGGCCATCTGGCATCAGTCAGCCAGTCAGTCAGCCCGACAGGCCAGGTCACAGACTTACAGGCTCGCAGGCTCACAGCCTGTCGTCTCCCGTCTCTTCACTCATGCTGGTCGGAAGGGGGAGGGGGAGGGGGAGGGGGGTGGGAAAGGCCCATGTGGCTGAGCTTGTGACGCACGCGATGCAACGGAAAGTATGCAATAATGTGATGCAACCCGTCTCTGTCTAGGGCTGGCAGTACGTACCTGTACGCGGCAGTACACCGCACTGGCAAAGGGTCATGTTATTTAACAGCATTCCCACCATTCACCAGCCAGCAGCCCTTCCGCTGCCCCGTTCTGCAAAGTCGTGCATAGCCGCGCTCTCGTTATTGGCTGTGCCGCTCCGATTAAGGCAACGCGCAACCTATCACGCAATTTGCGACTACTGCTGAGGGTGGTGTGGGTGGGTAGGTGTCTGTGTGTATCTTGCTTGTGTGTGTGTGTACAGTACTGTATATGTACATTACCTAGGTAGGTATGCTTGCTTGCTTGCATATATACCTATGCCCCCTTCTGCCGCTCCGAGACTCCCCCCAGGCGGCCGCGCACGTGCTGTACGTTGTACGAAGCTCGATCCAGAGCGCGTCAGGTAATGTAGGTGTGGACGCACTGCGGCATGCATGGCGTGATTGCGCTAAAGGATCGCATTTTAATCATTGCTCGCGTGCGTGCGTGGGCTGCTCGCATGAGGTGAAGCGGGTCCGACGACCGCTTTTTTTTTTCTGGCAAATGACCGGCGAGATGACTACCTTACAGTACTGTACTGTACCTCCAGGCTAGGTACCTCTCCATCTCGCGCCAACACACGGAGAAAAAATACATTATCACACTTGCCGATGTCACTGTCATCATCTACGGGAGTTCTACTACATGTACCTAAGGTATCTACATCATCTTTTCCAGAACGACTAGGGATAGGTAGATAGGTACCTCCTATATGTACATGTACATACATACATATATACACAGGAGAGAACCTGTACAGAGGTAGTCACCTCGTTGACTCGACCCCTTTTTCCCACCAAAAGGTACCTCTGCACCTTGGTATTTTTTTCTAGCTGCCTGTCTTAGTGCTGGAAAAAAAAGCGGAGCCCCCTATTTCTCCCGCCGCGCTCCCGCGCTTCCGCGACCGGTTCCAAACAAAATCCCACATCGCACGTGGGAGCGAAGCTTCCTCTACCTTAGCGTTGGTTAGGTGCGGTTAGGTACGGTTAGGTGCCTACAACCTTGGAGGGGAGGGGAGGTATGGCTGGCTGCGGCTGCGGTAGATGGCTGATGGCAGATAGCTGATGGCTGATAGGGGGTGTTTTTTTTTTGAGGATGGGGAAATGATGAATTAATAATAAATTGATGATCATTGTAATGGTTGATAGTTGATGGTTAATGGGGTTGTGCATCGGCCGTTGTTGACGTTCCTGCAGAGACTCAGGTTTTGCGTGTTGCAACAGCTCCCTGACCTATCTCTACCGTAGCGTTGGCCTATTGCGGTTGTTATTGAAGTTGCTTGCGAGCGGGGCGCATCGAGGTAGGAGGTAATCAATGATGAATGAATGAATACGCTCTCCCTACCTACGGAAACAGATATCCGCGCGGCGCTGTAAGTGTAGCCTGTATGTATACGGGACCTCGATGCTTCTTCGGCAGTCAGCTAGCTAGCTACATTGTAGCAGAGTACTTATTATCAAGCACTTACTAAGTCTTACCTCCGAAGTAGCCTAGTAGGTAGTAAGTAGCGGTATCGTTCGTTGTATACAGGTACAGGTAAGGTATATGCGTATAATACATACAAGGCGATAATTGCCCGATAGTACGAATGAAATGTTCATGTTGGTAAGGTATATAGTAGTACAACTCTATCCATTCATTTATCTATTCATTCATTCATCTATACATCTGTCCATCCATCCATCCATCATTCATTCTATTATTATTAGAGTAGATCGCAGCCCAGCCCGACTAGAAGGGATATATTTCCCCCTACCGGCCCCCGGAACAACTACCGTACCACGTCGTATAAAGAGATAAGGCAATGCTAAGTAAGAAGAGCTTCCTTCTATCAGATTCTAGTAGAGGTCCCACGTGGTGGTCATGGTCATAGTCCTGTTGGGCGCCGCTGTACATGTCGGATTGTATAGCTTTTTTTTGTACCGACGACTGCATCTTAAGCTTAAGCTTGAGCTACTGCCTACCTAGAGCCGAGGTACATTAAGAAGAACGACGATGATAATGATAACGGGATAGGTTGCCTGCAGACTTAGAGAAACTTGTAGAGAGATGAGAGATACAAAAACAAGCCTACTCCCCTACCTCCCCTACCGGAAAGCAGACTTGTTGATTTTTTATTTTTATTTTTATTCCTAGCTTCCTCTAGAACATCTCTCCTACTCCCTCCCTTCCTCCCTCTGTCTCTCTCTTTCTTTCCTAATCTGATCGTAGCTAGGGCAGTACAGGGCTACATAAGGGTCCAAGTCTCTAAGATACGATATATATATACAATACAGGGGTTTATCGAAAAGATACGGCATCGTATCGTATCGTATCGTATGTTTCGTTTTACGGTTTCACGACATCGTTCTTCTCTCTTCTCTCTCCCTTCTATTTCCCTTCTATCTCTTTCTCTTATCTCTCTCCCCGACCGGCGATACAGAATAGCTATAAACGTATGTGTATGGATATGTATTACCCGATCCCAAAGAGCCGAGAAAATTCATTCTACTTTCGTGTCTCGGTTTGTTCTAGGTCAGGTCAAGTAGTTGTACAACATATAGAAGTTGACGAGATTTTTATTTCTACAAGGAAAGAGGTATCTCTCGATTTGGACTTTAGACTTTCTTTGTTCTATTCCTCTGTATCTTTCGTACCTTGTTTTATAAAAAGAGACATTTCGATCTGTTGTCATCCCTTCTTAAGTAAGTTCCAAGCAGAGGCTGTCGATATCGGCTAGAGAAGGGGATGTCAGTATTATTTAAAGATATAGTCGCTTCGCGATATATTTGTTCCAGAGAGGGGGGGGGGGGGGGGGGGGGGG